TTCTTTGCTACGTTTTCAATAGTGAATATGGAAAAGTATGTTTTCTCTTTGATTTTTCGATAACAAAGCATTTTTATAGAAGAGGCATGAATATTTCTCGCCGCGCCAAATACAGCTGGTTTAGTGCCGCAATTTTGGCTCCAGACAACACAACTGTAGACTTAAAATGTCGCTAACGTTATATTTTGTCACCTAATTACCTTACCGTAACGAAATGTGGAAGATGGTTAAGAAAATTGTGTCGAGTAACTAATTTAGCCACATGTTGCCAATACTTTTTGCAGGTTCGTACCTGACTAGTTAGGGTCAAAATTTGGATTGCGTTATGTTTACAAGATTTAAATCGGAAACACGATTATAAACACTACATTAGATTTATCAAATGTGTTCAAAGTTTCATGCCAATTTGATAACGCATGGCAAAGTTATAACCAATTTTATTTAGCTTGCGTGGGTGTTGCCAATACTTTTTCCATTGACTGTATGTATACGCACATAATGACCTATTTTACCCTGCCTTAAGTTATGTCGTGATGTACTATAATCCTGAAAGTGAGATCATCCTAAAACCTTCGTGATTCCTACGGCGTTGATTCTGACAGCATGGTCAAAATTATATCAAATACATTTTGGGATTTACATAGATAAAGGGCTAGAAATTGATGTTTTAATAGCTAACTAAATCTTGGCAGTTGGAGCTATGAACATAAATAATTTTCATACAAATTACATCACATTTGAAATTTATGCAAGTTCACTCCGCTTGGAGATGTAGCTTTTAACACAAGAGGTCCTAGAGCGGGTTTACATTCATATTGTGACCAAAAGAGTGTCAATTACTGTCAATCCCTCACAACTTTCATAAACATAAAATTTGATAAGGCACTAGCTGTCAATGCTAAGGTGATGAATGCACCCAAAGACGATAAACCGCACATTACACCTTATTACACCTTACAAAACCAAAAGTAAAACCTTATAAAACTAAATCTCCATGTATCAGAAAGTCTATATACACCAAAATTCGAAATTAGGCTATCACAGGTTCCCAGCTTACGGAAAATTCGAATATTACACCAATTTTTTCCCGCTTATCTGAGTGGTGCATGAGTAGCCACCATGTAGGTTTGCTAGCACAGGGGCATAGCTTCTAAGTAAGGGTATTCCGAGCCTAAGAGCCTCACGCGTTTTCGAGCAATTAAAATCCGAAATTCGGTTTTCTCAGGTTTCCAAATTAAGGAAAAGTCGGATATTACCCGAATTTTCTCTCTCTTATCTTAGTAGTGCATGGGTAGCCACGACATATGTTTGGTAGCACTAGGCCGTAGGTACAAAATACGGGTATTCCGAGATTGAAAGCTTCGCCCGTTTTCGAGCAATTAAAATCCGAAATCCGGTTTTCTTATGCTTCCAACTTAGGGAAAAGTCGGATTTTACCCGAATTCTTTCCCTCTTATCTGAGCGGTGAATGAGTAGCCACCATACACGTTCGGTAGCACTAGGCCGTAGGTACAAAATGCGAGTATTCCCAGTTCAAAAGCTTCGCCAGTTTCCGAGCAATGAAAATCCGAAATTCGGGTTTCGTATTGTAAAAATGGAAAAGTCGGAGTTTACCCGAATTTTTCGTTCTTATCTGAGTGGTACATGAGTAACCGCAGTATACGTTGGGTAGCACAGGGTCATGGCTACAAAATAAGGGTATTGCGAGCCCAAAACCCTTTCCCGTTTTCGAGCAATTAAAATCCGAAGTTCGGGTTACTTGTTCTTGCAACTTATGGAAAAGTCGGGGTTTACCCGAATTTTTCGTTCTTATCTGAGAGGTGCATGAGTAACCGCAGTATACGTTGGGTAGCACAGGGTCATGGCTACAAAATAAGGGTATTCCGAGCCCAAAACCCTTTCCCATTTTCGAGCAATTAAAATCCGAAATTCGGGTTTCGTATGGTAAAAATTGAAAAGTCGGAGTTTACCCGAATTTTTCGTTCTTATCTGAGTGGTGCATGAGTAACCGCAGTATACGTTGGGTAGCACAGGGTCATGGCTACAAAATAAGGGTATTCCGAGCCCAAAACCCTTGCCCGTTTTCGAGCAATTAAAATCCGAAATTCGGGTTTCGTATGGTAAAAATTGAAAAGTCGGAGTTTACCCGAATTTTTCGTTCTTATCTGAGTGGTGCATGAGTAACCGCAGTATACGTTGGGTAGCACAGGGTCATGGCTACAAAATAAGGGTATTCCGAGCCCAAAAGCCTTTCCCGTTTTCGAGCAATTAAAATCCGAAATTCGGGTTTCGTATGGTAAAAATGGAAAAGTCGGAGTTTACCCGAATTTTTTCGTTCTTATCTGAGTGGTGCATGAGTAACCGCAGTATACGTTGGGTAGCACAGGGTCATGGCTACAAAATAAGAATATTCCGAGCCCAAAACCCTTTCCCGTTTTCGTGCAATCAAAATCCGAAATACGGTTTTCTTATGATACAAGTCATGTGTTTTCGTTAAAAATTGAGTATTTCATTCGATTTTGTATGCTTAAACCATAGGGTTGCTACGTTGATTAAATCAAAAATTTAGTTTAATTTTTTAATAAACTGGCAGCTTGCTTGTTGCTTTAGTATTGGTGTGAGTGCAGTTCTTGTATGACAAAAGTAGTGTGTATGTAAATACTAGGCAAAGTTGAAATAATAGTAATAATTACATTTGTATATGCACGTGCGTATGTGCATATTGAGCTGTGGTTTCGTCCTGGCTTCACTAGTTGAATATCGTGTTCTAGAACCGAGAAAGTATTGATTACGTGTTCATAACACTTAATTGGCTCGATAATAGCCAAATGAGACCGAATCTCAAATTACCCCTTAAAATGGGGCGGGAAGGCAACAAGTTTGAATTTCAACAGTTCTGGAGCTGTGGGGAGCGAATCTCACGTTGCCCCAAATTGGCGGGATTTATGGGCGGTAAGTCCAAGTTTTCGGATAAATTCGGCTTAGTCGGCTAACTTCATCCAAACAAAAAAAAAAAAAAGGAGAGGCCAACTTCACACTAATCTATTTCAGGAGGACCTCGAAGAGACGGAAATGTGTCGCCAGCTCTTGGATGACAAATTGGCCCAGTGGAAAATTAGCGAGAGTTTGATGCCTTATTCAAATTTTAGTCATTGCGAGTATTAAATAGTTGGTTAATAGATTTTTGTCGTTTACAGTAGCAATCATGTTGGTTTTTTGGTATCATTTTGGATGTATAATTTAAATAGATTTTGATAATCGAGGAGTTTCTTGTATGTGATAAGTAGTTGGAATTTATGAGAATTGCGTAATATTCTTTTCGTATTTTTGTTTATTTATTTTATTTTATTTTTTACTTACGACATAATTGAATTATTAAACATGTTAGCTCCATAGGTTAGGAATTTTGTATGTATTTTGTATATCTGACAGATATACAAAATACATACAAAATTTCGTGATAATCGTATTAATTTTTCGCAATTATTTTATTTTTTGACTTGCGCTATAATTTAGTTATTATTTTCATAGGTTATGAATTTTGTAAATATTTTATTTATCTGTTTTGACATTTTGTAAATATTTAGTAACAATCCGCATAACAAGAATAAACTTGTAAGTTTTCAAAGTAAACAACTTTTACATTGCACACGTCGAGGTGGATTGCATACGCATAATTTTCATTAAATACTTCAACAAAGAAATATGTACATAAATGTCATACAGTAACTACTCAATAAGGCATAAAATTACGAAAATATAAAGTACATGTGCAAATACAATTCTGATCTAAATATATAAACACCCTTACACCTGCATCTGCATACTACATTCATACATAGATATGTATGACTATGACATTCCAGTAGAAATATTTCCACGAATTTACACATGACCAAAATCGTCAAAATTATAATGCATTTTTAATGATTACTCGGCTCTGAGAATTTATTTTTAAAATTTCATCCCCCCCCCTTCAAAAACTTTCAAAATCTGGAGTACATATTTTTAGAAAATTGGTAACCACTTGATATATTATCGTCCAGAATTTTAAATAAATTCCCTGAGCCGAGAAATCACTAAATTTTACACCTTCATTATTGAATTTTTCAACAATCCGTTAACGTTTGTGTAATCTCCTATTCATTTTGATCTGTAATACGACATGGTTTAGAAAAATTTTAAATTTCTCAAGTAAAAAAAATATCTATGTTAAAAAAGAAATTTGTCCAAATTTCGTGGTGTTACAGACCGACCAAAATGTTTAAAATTAAGGGGAGATTACATATCTGTGCATTGATTGGCAAAAAAGTCGTTCATAAAAAAATAACTTGTAGAATTTTGCCTCATTCTCCAACATTGGAGGATTTTGGACATTTTAGACTTTCAAAATTATTTAGAAAGTGTTCTTGCGCCTTGCATTTCTCCCAGGTCAAAATATTCATCCGTTAAATAAAAACCACTTTCTTGCAGTCATTTCTTGCACGTGGTTATTAAACTCTGTTTCACCTTACATGGTATTACCGCCACACGAAAATAACATGGGATTCTCATGTTCCTTACCTGTGGCGGTAATACCATGTAAGGTGAAACAGAGTTTACTTGCACGAGAAACGCTAAGAAAGAATTATGTGACACTTTTGTCGAAATGGAATCTGAGCGTAGGCTGGACAAGAAAAATTCTGGATACGATTGAGTCTGGATTTCGCAATTTTTCTCGTGCAAGCAAAAGGACGCATGCATTTAATTTTAATGGAAATATTGCAACCTGAAGTTTTAATTACTGTGCAAAAAAAAACGTACAAAACTTGTTTTAACCAGTTTTGGACACGGATTTTGGACTTGCACAATGTCCAAAAGTGTTCAAAATAGAACTCCATCACATCCGGGGCAGAATTGTTTGCAAATGTTGAAATTTGCATGACATGCAAAAAAATTGCAATTTGAGACAATGTATTTCACGTTGTCATGTCAAGTTGAGAATTTCAACTTGCCTCATTTGGACCGGGACTCATTTTGCACGGCATTTCTTACTCAAGAAGAAGTTGTCCCAAATATCAGAATCAATTTCATCCAACAACATAATTATTTTTAACTATTAATCGTTCCCTTTGACCATTTCGAAGTTAAGCCAAGTTTGCGTTCATCTAGTGCGTCGAAATGAACGCACCCCCCACCTTTGAATCCTTCGTGTTGTACGAAGGAGAGAAAAAGTAAGTAAATAGATACAAAACAAATCGTTCATAATTACCAATTATTGGCTGAATTACAAATTATCCAGAGGTCGGAAAAAAGGTTTGGACGTCCAGGGCTGGCACACCCACAAAAAGACCAGAATTTACGTGGAGAAGGTAGAAGTCTTAGGAAAATTCAGGGTTTGTGAAGAAATTAACTTTTTATCACTGGAAAAATACATTGATTTCACGATTTCGTAAGAATAACGTATTTTGACAGTGGTAAAAACTTAATGTATTTACAATACCTTTATTTTCGTGTGACTGCTGCAGATTATCGTGTTTTTGTGGGTGTAACAGCCCTGGAATGGAAATCCAAACGCTTGGAAAAACGGGGCTCAACAAAATACTGCATTTTGAGTCAAAATTTTAAATTTTGACAAGAATTTTCCCCACCCCTTCAAATTATAGTATTTACATGCCGTACTCCTAGTATTTCTGTCTATCCCGTGTGTATCTTTCATTGACTTTTAATTTCTTTCTGTACATTTCAGAATCTTGGTAGAATTAGACACGAAAGTTCCAAATGCAGCAATATTTACGATCAATAAGGAGGACCACACTTTGGGAAACATGATCAGAATGTATATATTCAATTAAACGAACAATCGTTGTTGATTACATTTAACAAAAGTGATTAATAATTATTTATTGTGTATTTTACAGGCAGTTGTTGAAGGACCCTCACGTCCTATTTGCCGGATACAAGCAGCCGCACCCCCTGGATCCCAAAATCCTTATCCGAGTTCAAACAACGGCCGACTACACGCCTCAAGATGCTCTAAAAAACGCTATCACGGACTTGATCTCAGAGTTGTCCCTTTTGGAAGAACGATTTAGGGTACAGTATTTAAATAACAAGGAGATTTATATGAATGATGACACGAATTATTTTTTTAATCGTCTTGTATTGCAGGATGCCATTAAGGAAAAACAAGAGGGGATCGACTAAAGTTGCATGGCCGACTTTCAGATGTCTTCAATTTATTCTGATTATTTGGTCTGGCGTTTATTAATTATATAAATATTTCAACTTTCAACCAGGGCAAATATTATACAATTTTGTAATACGTTTATAATATATGATAATAATGATATGAAAGAAACATCGCGCGTAAATCTGATAATTGATTGTATAAATTTTCATACAAGGTGTATATTATGGAAAAATAATTTTGTACATTCCTAGCAAACAGGGCACACAAGTCGCTAGCTTATATTTTGCATGAAAGCATGAAAGAGTTATGACCCATTGAAAATGGAGGTCTCCCAGTGTATTATCTTCAATTTTCAGTAATTTAGTGTCAATTGATCATAAATTTAATTCATATGAAATTACTAAACGACACGATCTCCCAATGCTAAAGTTTGACAAAGATATTTGGATCCAAAGAGGAGAAAATGCGTCCTAAGTTTGACAAATTTTACCCCGTCCAAATTTACTAAGGATTTTCTCTTCTTCGGATGCAAATATCTCTGCCAAATCTGACCATTAAGAAATCGTTCTGCTTTCATACTCATTAATTTTTTTATCGATTGGCTTCAATTTGTTCAAAATCGGACAGCATACGCTCTGCAACCTCCAATATGAGTCACTGAAGCATTGCATTTTAAATTTTATGTTTCATTCCAGCCATACATTATCTGCACACCTTTTTTCATGAGAATATCTAAAATGTTATATACCTAAAAAAAATATATATGCATACATACCAAAGTTGGTACATGTATATATACATACACATACATATATATATGGCCCACATTAAAAAGGACACCGCCCGGATCCGGGTATTTTATTCGGAAGAATTCTCCCACCTCAACTCCACTGCCGGAAAACCCGTACTCTCCTCGGCGCAGGGAAAGAACACCACCACTCCTTCCACATATATCTCCTCTAACCTCAACGTCACGAGCTTTCGCCAATTTCTCGGACGAACCATGGACTCTTCGCGGAGAACGTGACGCCAAAACCCGTTATTTTCGTGAGATAGTTGCAAATTTCTAATATGCAAATATTCGCAAGGTTTTATGACAACTTTATAAATTTGCATTTTATTCTCAAGGTTTCCCTATGAAAAGAAGAGGACCACCAAAACGACCACGTCCTGACCGAAAGGCCCCCTTTTTTTCCTACTGCTCGAAACCATCGGATGTCTGCCTGTCTCAAGCCGTATTTCGGATATCTGACTCTTTGGCTTATATAGTGAACTTTGGCGATTATACATTTCTACGTACGGCCTGCATTACTCGCCTTTATTGATCTGCCAGAGTAGAGTGTGGTGTGGTGTGGTTCCTCACTTTCAACCCGGACATTATTTTCTAATAACTGGTTTAGTCCAAAAGTGATTAAAATATTCTTCTCGAAATTCTTTCAGTGTTCATAAATAGTTGCTTGCAACAAATTTTCAACTCACTCCAACTCCAACCTACTTAACGATAAGCCAAGTACGCGTAAGTATAAACTTTTTTTGTCACGGCATTTAATAATTTATAACCATTTCATAAACACCTAATTGCTCTTTAGAGGCGAATATATATTAGCCAATTACCTTCCCTCAACCATTACCAGAGTTATCATTAGGATAATTTTCTGTCTAGGAAATTCTTGGAATATTTAATGAATTTGTGGGATTATAATAAGCCCATCATTTCTGATTCCTTTGTCCTCGCGTGGCGTGGCCATTTATATAATCATCATGACAAAATATGTAGATAAACGTAGCTGAAAATGAAAAACTTTAAAACTACAAATCTCTGCGATCAAGAAATTCATACCTAAAAATAATATTGCTTCTGCAGTATTGGCACATTGTTCCGAACATTTCGTACGATTTCGATCATTCATACATATGTCCATGAATAATTCAATTATTTTAAATTCTGAGAACATGTACATGCAGAATTTTGTCCAAGAGTTGCGTCGTCGTTTCTTAATGAACTTCATTAGTTATTGGCTCATTAATACGTCATCTAATAATTTACCATTTTTCATCATTTAATTAACATTGGCAAAGTTAGGTCAGAGACAAATCATCATTTAAATACCCTTACGTTTATATTAGTTCATTCCAGTTTTGCATGGTAATTTCATTTTGATATATGCATAATAATGCAGCCACTATCTAGATAGGACCATTCCCTTCTTTCCATTGAACAGAAATAGAGCAAACTTTCTCCTCTCAATCATCTAAAATTATAGGTTTGTAATACCTACAAACTTTTACTTATTGGCAAACTTGTCTGGACACGAGACGAAATTTTAGGGGTGTTGGCTACTGGATATTATTCGAGAAGAAAAGGTAGTACCACAAGAAAAAAACCGTGTCATCATCATCGTCATGGGTTGACATTTACGTCGTCATTGCACTCTAAATAAATTCACACGTGATTAATCTCAAGCATCATTAGCGAGACAAAATCTCATGTCCAGTGCGTGCTATTTAAATGGCACGCCTGCATTTACTAATGACTTCATCACATTATTCTTTCCGGTCGGTCAGTGTAATTAGTGCAGAACTAGATGAAACCAAACCTGCAATAGAATTGAATCTCATTGCAGGAACGGTGCTTCATTCTTCATTGAATTACTTGTCTGCAATCATAAGTGCAATTTTCTCCTTTCAGACGTGACGTTCCTCAGCCAAGATGTCGGACAAGAAAGGAAATAATGACGGGGGATTCATGAAGTTTCTCTACAACAGCGACACCGGGGAGGTTCTCGGACGAACGGGAATGTCATGGCGTAAGTGGAACTTTTTCTTAACCAATACATATTTTTTATGGACAAAGAAATTTAAGGGGAACTTATAATGGAGGTCTCCCAGTGTATGGCGTCCGATTTTGAGCAAACTAGTGTCAATCGATTACAAATTTAATCAATATGAAAGTAGCAAAAGACAGGATCCCTCAATGGCAGAGATATTTGCATCCGGAGAGGCGAAAACAGTGTTCGGGTGCAAGTAACCAATTGGAAGAAATAAAAGCAAAAAAGTGGTATTTTGTAGGTATTTTGACCTGCAAGAAATGCACGGCTCAATAAAAAACCACGCCCCGCCGCTATTCTTCATATGGCTGGATGGCGCATATTTCTTGCACTTTCTCCCAATTTCTTGCACCTCGCATTTCTTGCGTTTCATGAGTGCAAGAAATGTAGCAAACCTGTAAGAAACGAAACGCTGCAACGCGTAGTAAATTTGCAAAGTGCAAAATTTGTCAACTTTAGCACGCGTTTTCTCTTCTTCGGATGGAAATATCTCTGCCAAATTTGCTCATTGGGAGATCGTGCCCTTTGCAAACTTCATATTCATTAAATTTTAAATTTCTGATTACTTGACACTAATTTGGTCAAAATTAGAGAGCATACACGTTGCGCCCCCTCCATTGTTAGAGGTTGCACACTTATCATGAGAAAAAGGTGAAGCCATACTTTTATTTCTCTCCGTGGACATAGAAAAAGCCGGATAACAGTGCATCATCAAAGAAAGAGAGATACATACATTTAGCAAATAATGAAGTAACTCATTCACATGTGGTTCCACTAGATAAAAATAAACTTGAGAATGTCAGAGGATGAAAATAGTCGCGTTATACGAAAAAAAAATGCTTCATAGTGACGTTACCGTTAAGATATACCCGGGTTTTTCTTTAATCTAATATTCATCCACCTTCAAAGTGCAGATATATTTAAGTACATATGTATCCACTTTATGTGCATTATGAAAGATTGGCTTGTTCAGTAAATTCTTGCTAGCAATTAACGAAATCAAAAGATTTAATTAATGACTAGAGGGCGGATATGTATGTAATTATTTTCAACTTTATACTATGATGACGACCGACGGTCAAACTCTGTGGGTGTGTCCCCTAACTCTTATAGATTTTTAAAAAATCAAAATATTTCCACGTATTGTCAAATATTTCTAGGTTTTTTGAGACATAAATTCAAAAAACACGTAAATCTTTTACATTTTAAAAAAATACATCTATTTTGTAAATATTTCAACGATGTGAGACGAATTTTTTTTTGCTCAAAGAAATTCCACCACACACCACAAAAAGTCCAGAGGATTACATATTTACATTCGGATATACAAATTTTGCAAAAATTCGTTTTTGTACACATTTTGCAAATAGTTCTGCATTTGTTTCGTAATTATTTCATGCATACGTATTTCAGCGATTTTTCTTAAATGCATATCCGCCCTCTGATAGTGAATCATTTTTTCCATCATGAAATCCATCAGACGTCGTACACACCATTAAACAAATTGTCCTAAAACTTTCTTATTCCTCCCTCCCAGTGAAAATCATTGTCTTCTACATCATTTTCTACGCCGGTCTGGCCGCCTTCTTCGGCCTGATGCTCTACATCTTCTATCAAACGCTGGACATCAATAAACCCAAGTACCAGCTAGGCGATAGCTTGATTGGATCCAATCCAGGCGTCGGATTTCGACCCCAACCCGATCAGGACAAGAATGTCGACTCCACCCTCATCTGGTTCAAACGAGGGGATCGTGACGACTTCAAATTTTGGTCCGAACAATTAAAGTCATACGTCGAAGGTAGGAGAATCATTGCTTATCATAAGAATTGATGCCTTATCTCTACAAAAATCGTCAAAATCAGGACATTTTTAATCATTTTTCGGCTCTGGGAACTTATTATTTTAAAATTCTGAACGGCAATTTTGTAGTCAGTAACTTCATTAATTGAATATCGGTGAGTTTTTTGAGCTAGTTTCGACGAGTTCAAATTTTTCATAAGGTTTCTTAAACCTGAGATCTTCTTCAAAAAACGGTCAAAATCTGGAGTGCATATTTTTTAAAAATTCCCTGCTCTACAAATTCGTCGTCCGGAATTTTAAAATAATAAATTTCCAGAACCGAGAAATGATTAAAAATGTGCTGATTTTAACGATGACGATTCATCGATTATCACTTTATGCAAAAAATAAGTACATACAACTTTATTGAATTTATCACCTAACTTATTCCAGAGGCAAGAAAGACAGCAGGAAAGAATTGTGATTTCGGAGCGGACAAAGCCAGCGATAAGGAAGCCTGTCAAGTGATTGTCGATGAGAAAAAGTTCGGCAATTGTACCGTAGCCACGGACTTTGGCTACAAAGACGGCAGTCCCTGTGTTCTAATCAAACTCAATAGGGTACGGACAACAATACAATACATTCCTCGCTCACCTACTAATTTATTCATTAGCCTTTCCATCGGTACATATGCACGAGTCACGCATTTATTATTGATTCCTTGTTTGGCAGATATACGGCTGGAAACCGGAACCTTTCGGCCCTGCGAGATTTTCTGAGGCCGAGTTTAAGAAAGCCATCGATGGTAAATTTATGCATATCAATATTCCAATCCTAACTAACTGAGAATGGAGGTCTCTCAGCGTATGCTCTCCGATTTTGAGCAAATTAATGTCAACTTATCACAATTATAATTAGCTAATACGAAATTTGCAAAAGACAAGATCTCCCAATGTTCACGTTTGGCAGAGATATTCGCATCCGAAGAGGAGAAAACGCGCAGTAAATTTGGAAAGTGTAAAATTTGTCGACTTTAAGGCGCGTTTTATCCTCTTCGGATGCAAATATCTGCGCAAAACATGAGCTGTCGTTTGCAAATTTCATACTAATTAAATTTTGTGGTCGATTGACACTAATTTCACCAAAATCGGAGAGCATACGCTCGGGGATCTCCGTTGTTAATGTGCCGAGTCGTACTTTAAACGATTGTATTTCCACCAGACAAAGCCAACAGTGACGCAAAGTTCCCCAAGATTCTGAAGACAGCGATTGAAAAGAAGCTTCAGGAAGTTAACACTGAAGCAGCAAAGGTACATTCCTCACAATTTATGTACATAATTTCTCGAGTAAGAATTTTTCTAAAATTATTATTACTCCTGGCCAATGTAGGAAGACGTAGCGAAAAGTGTGTGGATCAATTGCGACGGAGAAAACCCTGCCGACAGGGAAAACATGGGGAAAATCTCGTACGCTCCGATGCAAGCAATTCAATCTTTCTACTTCCCATTCATGAAGCAACCTAACTATGTCTCTCCGTTCATCATGGTTCAATTCGAAAGTGTAACACGTACGTCACATATTAAATTTCCAAAGCACAATAATTCTCATAATTTTGACCAGTCCAAAAAAGTGTTTCGTTTCTTGCGGGTTTACTACATACATTTCTTGCACTGCAAAGCAAGCCACACAAGAAATGCGAGGTGCAAGAAACTGGGAGAAAGTGCGCGTCATCTAGCCACGCGCCGTATGAGTATAGCGCTGGGGCGTCGTTTTTTGTGCCATGCATTTCTTGCAGGTCAAAATATGTATCTGCAAGAAACCACTTTCTTCCCGTTATTTCTTGTATTTGAAACACTGCTGTAATGTTTCGTTTCTTGCGGGTTTTCTACATTTCTTGCACTGGGAAGCAAGGCACGCAAGAAATGTGAGGTGCAAGAAACTGGGAGAAAGTGCAGGAAATATGTGCCATCCAGCCACGCGCCGTATGAAGTAGAGCAACGGGAATGAGTTTCTTGCGTCTTGCATTTCTTGTAGGTCAAAATACCTGCAAGAAACCACTTTCTTTCCGCTATTTCTTGCTAGTGACCCGAAAAACTGATCCAAACGTCTCATAAAAAATATGTAAATTCTCTTTCAGGCGGAGTACTGATCAACATTGAATGTAAAGCCTATGCAAAGAATATCTTCCCAGATCGAGCTTCTCGAACCGGCTCAGTCCATTTCGAGTTGATGGTTGAGTAAGGAACGTCGTCGCCGTGCAAATAATAAAACTCAATTGTTCGCCTTCGCTCACTGACATTGACACTCCAATAAAATCACTGTCGTCAAATTCCCCTTTTAATTAATTAAAATCTTAGTCATCACAAGAATTCAGACATAAATAACTAAATAAATATAGATTTGCTTTATCCCTGTACGTATATTTTGCTCGAAAAAGAAAGTCATAATTTGTAGCTTGATTATTATTTTTTGGTTTTGCAAAATTTCAGCCCAATTTTATTAACTACGTAGATGCGACTATCAGTATTAAGACAATTCATAAATTAAATACATGTAAATATGTAAAATTTGCATAATTTCAATAGCTAACCCCCCCCTCCCCCCCAAGTTCATGAAAGTGAAAGTAAACTAACACGTATTTCTCTGTCATGACCAAAAATCCTACCACTTAAGAATAACTATGCACATATTTTAAAAAAAACTTAATTTACTCTGAAAATCCTGCTTTATTTCTTTTATAAAATCAAAATTCCTCAAAATTTCAAAAATAGTATTACTTAAAAACAACGACCCAGAAAAAGTGAATGTAGTTATTTAACATATTAATAATCTCAGGAAACAATGGATAAAGTGAAGTGAAGTTGGAAGCCCCCGAATAAGTAATAAAAAAGATTAGAAATGACATGCAAATTAACTACTAATCTGTTTATAAAGCATAGAATTACTAAATAAGTATTATTTCCGGTCGAATTGTTCTTCTGCATTAAATTTTAGGACGGCTCTTCGTTATCCGAGTGATTAGAAAAATGTATGTATGAAAGGTGCAATTGTTATCAGGATAATGTGTATTTCAACCTTTGCTAGTACTTTTTGTAGAAATCTTACATTTAATAAGTAAAAAATGCTCTGTTGTCACAAGTATGTATGTAAATAGGAAAGACAATTTGCATCCCCGACACATATATGAGTACTTTCTCCCCCAGGAGAAATCATTTGTCCACTAAAAAGTTAAAGATATAAAACCATAAAAAGTTAACCTATGCAAAGTTCATTTAAATACTTAAGAATTTAAATAAATAAGTATGCTTGTCAGGATGATGTATGAAAAAAAAATCATTGTTAAATAAGATACATAATTCCTTTTTTTCGAGTCGTAAAGTTAACAAATTTTTCATTTCCTAGAAATTTATCAACTCCAGTCTCCCGTCTATTTAAAGGTTAAGAGAAGTAACTACACGATATGCAAAAAAGGTCAAGAAAATACCTGTAATAACTAAATGAGCTACCAGTAAAAAAAGTGATCCTGTAGAATAATTATCTACACTTTAAGGGGAATAATTACCTTCTGTTCAGTATAATAATTTGAATTTTGTGTATGTTTTTTCCGTAAAAAAGAAGGTGTTTATTCGTTAGAAAACTGTGTATCTACTCGTGAAAATAAATTCAAAGTTCATTAATTAATCTAGTAGTGAAAAGAAAAGATTGTAATAATGAGAAAAGGAATTCTTCAGTCATTTGTAGCAACTACATAAAAAACTGTATAATTAGTTATTATATGAAGGTTCGTTGTTGTTGGAATGGATTGGCTTTGTGCTGGATGATAAGTATGGGCGTATATGGATTTAAGGAAGATAAAAAAAACAATTACAAAAACCTTGCGACAAAATACAAAAATATAATAAAATTGTTAAATATTAAATTGATGTGTGGGGAGAGATAGGTTTTTATTCAGTTTTAGCTCGGTCGGTATGGCCAGTAAATATGAAATGCATACTTGTTTGCATGTCATGTATGTAGATGAAGAAGCATTTTTGCACATATTTGGCGATGTGCTCGAAAATACTGTAAAAATTGGTATATGTACAAATCAGTGGCATTGCATTAATGGTATTCACATTCTTTAACGTAGATTACTCGATAAAATCAGCACATTTTTAATCATTTTTTTATCTGAAAATTTATTTTAAAATTCTGCTTCCTGACAAATTTGCAAACAGTGAGTTGATTAATGGAATGGTGGAGAGCTTTTTCAGTCAATTCTGATGAGTTCCAATTTTTCAGAAGGCTTCTTAAACTTGAGATCTCCTCCTTCAACAACTGTCAAAATCTGGAGTGTATATTTTTTTTAAATTGGGAACGACTTTCTCTACAAATTTGTCGTCCAGAATTTTTAAATAAATATGGTTAAAGGTGTGCTGATTTGGGTCATCAAGTCCTACGTAAAATTCAAAATCCCTTAACTTTTCAAATTTTAGCCCCAATTAAAAAATTCGAAAACAATTCCTTACTCGAATAATTAAAAATTGTTCGTAAAAAAAATTATGACACAAATATATCTTTAAACTATTAATCGATTTATTCACTTGAAAATTTTAATTATCGGTGTCCATGTCACGCAAACAAAAGGGCTGCATAAATTGCCTCATTGTGTGATGTGATAAAATACCTAAAAAGAATCATTACATCGTTGCAGACACATTACAATTATTTCTAGTTACACAGCTCAAAACTTCGAAAAAGGTCACGTCCAATTTTTTATAATTTGTTTTTCTAAAACTTAAAGCATGTTGTTTGATTTTTTTAGAATTTGATGTTACATTTCTGAACTGATTTACAACTCAATTCTCATTCATTTCCGGTATGCTAAATACATAACGAAAATAAATAGAGTTTTACTTAATCATATTTATTTTTCTAGGATCAATTCGACACTGAAGTGCTACTTGGTCGCGACTTTTATTAGATATTTATTAAACATACAAATTTCAAGTAATTTCTAATTTGTTTTAAATAAAAATTGTAAGATGCACCGTGTTTTAATCAGTGATTGAATATCAATCACGCCAGAAAGTGGTTTTATTATAATTTAAAATGGATAAATATGTTACAGGTTCGTTGTACCGTTTGGAGTAATCAATGCAATGACGGTGAGTTTTTTCAGCCAGTTTCGTTGCGTTTTTATTTTTCTAAAGGCGTCTTAAACTTAAGATCTCTTCTTTTAAACCCTGTCAAAATCAGGAGTGTACATTTTGTTTTTAATTGGCAACGATTGTCCCAACAAATTTCCAGAATTTTAAATTCCCAGAGCCGAGAAATGAATAGAAAAGTGGTAATTTTTTCATCCAATCCTACGTTAAAAATATCCAAACCCACGCCACCCTTGATTTTCTTGAATTATCCGTAAAAACCCGATATCATTCCACATTTCACAACGACTCAAAAATAAACTTCGTGCAAACATACACACATTTTTGAAATTAGTAGGACAATACTTTCCACCAGGAAAATTGTATATACTTTTTTTCCACAAATTTAAATATTGATGAGACCATTTATCTAGGTCGACACAGTCAACCGACCGCAATTTCTCTTCTGTAAAATAAAATCCCGGTTGAATGAGGATTGCAAAATTATGAAAATATATTGAACGTCTCGTACATATTTAGATTTTATTTTTCCACTAATCAGACCAACTCGACGTGTCGCCTGAAATGGAGAGTTGCGTGCCGAGCTGAATCCACAATTTCATGAATAAATCTTGGCGAGTTTCATGCATATTTTACTTTCCTTGCAATCCAAAGCTTTGCCGCACAGCGGAAGTAATTTCATGCGGCATATGTACATGCACATGCTAAATTAAATATTACCACCCAGTGTGCCTGGTCTGCTTCAAATAACAAGGCCAGATTTCACACCGTGTCAGTGTTCAATGTCAGAAGCAAAGATTTTAATATAAGCAAAATCAAAACAAAAAATAAACAATAAACAAAATCTATTAAATAAAATACCACTATTTTGTCCAGCATACATAGTTGACCTTTAAAATGACCTTTAATAAGCATTTGATCTGTTGGTTAGCAATTTTGACCTTCTCGGTAGGACGATCATCTGCAGGGACGCTGGTCAAGCAGAATGGGACTGATTTCTTCAGCTCCAGAGCTATCAATTCTAGACCGTTTGTTGGAAATCCACCAGGACAAGATGGAAATTTTGATAGTTCTCCATTTGTCCAGTCAAAGTGGACAATTTGGGATAAACCTCAAGACCAGTTGGCCGTGGAAGGAGGACAAAATGTCAGAGGTACATTAAGGGAAAGTAAAAACTACTACGGTACAAGACCCATTATGGGATCGTCCTTAAACAAAGAAATTCCGGCGATGTCATATTCTTTCCCAAATGGCAATACCGTAAGTAAATACATAACTTATGGATACTTTGGATGATGATTTAATGTTGCATAAATTTTTAATCCCACTCCACCGTTAATTGTCTTTATACGAAAATTTCTAAAATTAGATCAATTTAATGAGTTTTGAAATAAATGTAACTTTTCATTCTTTAAATTAAAGTTACTTAATTTTTGGTATATACTACAAAACTATCGATTTCAGAAAAATGAGCGAATTAATTTTTGAAAAATTAACTTTACATCAAAGTTGCATTTATCTCAAACCTCATGAAATTGATGCTATTTTAGAAATTTCCATTTAAAGACATTGAATCGGGGTGAGATCAAAAATCTATGACCAAATAAGTCCACCTTAAACATTCTAAAATTCCAGGGTTCGAGCCCAACCCAACGGCAAGATTGTAACAGTAACACGCAAGTGACCGTCTTCCCAATTATTATGGTCCTAATTGCAGCCATCGCGGGTTTAATTACGGTCGCAATTGTGTGGCTGATTGCCAGAAAATGGTAAATTTTATGCTCCCAGTGGTTACAAATTTAGTGCACAACTAATTATTGTCTGCATCTTTTTTAGGACTGATTATGGCTCCACATCCTCCACAGGACATCAATACAGTGGTTACAACAATGGTTACAACAATGGACGAGGCATTTCTCAAAATTTGCCAGCAATTTTGAAAAATTTCGATTTTGATCAGTTGACCAATCTTGTAATTAAAGGGATTGAGACTTATCGCTCCAGCATAGAAAAGAAGTCCGCCTAAAAATGTTCACGTCATACTTTTACCATGCATTATCATGACATTGACGAATATTATTTAAATTATTTACATATGCCTTTATGAAATTATTTTTAATAAAAACTTTTAACTAAACTAATTAAACTTCCATTTAAAATTACAATTATTATCAATGCGTCATAAATACACAGAAGAAAAGTAACACAAAAGCAAGTAGTAATTATCAGATGGTGGATATGCATTTATGAAAAAGAGCTGAAATATGTACATAAATAATATGGTTAAGGATATGGCTAAACATGGCAAACAAACCTGTAAATTTTTGGCACGTCAAATATACAAAAAATATGAATTTGGGCAAAATTTGTATTTTCGAATTTAATCCGGTGGATTTTTAGTCATCCGATTTCTTTGAACAAAAAAAAATCGTCTCACGTTTCATTGAAACATGTAAAAAATTTACATATTTTTCAAATACTATCGGAAATATGTACATGTCTGAAAACCTACAAAAAATGCAAAAATATATCAAGATACTTTGAAGTTTTTGTGATCGATAAAAGTTAAGAGACACACCGACAAAGTTTGACCCTCGGTCGTCATTATGAAAAAACTGAAAATAAATACATATTCGCCCTCTGATCTGCTAATTACATAGTAGCACTGTCAACTGTGCCCATACATTCGTTCGGCACATTTACTCCTACATACATCGCATACATACAAATCTCCAAATTATTATAATTCCACCACTCAAACTCAAACAATTTACTTTCTTTTTTGGCTCCATTAACCAGATCTTCTCGGAGATGTCATGAATCCTTATTTGCCAGTAACATTTGAACCGCACTTGAACCTGCATGAACCCCACACCTAAACACGTTCATAAACACCACTACCGCACTAATTATGACGTCTACACCTTACATCCTCCTCTTCCTCACCACTGCCACAAAATGGTCAAAGTCACAATAATTATTAGTGTGCGAGACGACGCACCAGTCCCACTCACAACTTTCTTCACCATAAAAGACGCATCCGGGGTTTAATTCGGCCTAAAAATATATAAAATGTGGCGAATTCCTCCATCCCGGCGTCTCTCTACTACTTCCCCCCACTCAAGAATAACAATAATGAAACATCTAACAATCATTTATTGTTCCCTAAGTGTTCTTGTCCTGCATGGGGTCACCGCTCAGAAAATAAAGAACAACAATGGAACAACAACTGCTCCTAAAAATTCCGATTCACTGATCCCATCCGACTCATTATTTTCCGCAGAAGAAGAGGAGACAACAGACAACTACCGACAATTCCTCCCCCCACAATTTCACCCCCAATTTCCCCAAAATATTCCCCAGTTTCAAAGTATAAATCCTGCCTTTCACCGATATCCACCGTACCCCCAATTGGGTTACGTTGACCCACAACAAGTCCAAAATCAGCAACAATTTCAGCAGCAATCTTATGCAGATCCTGACCTACTAAATATTCAGCAAAGCAGTTCTTCCAACCGGAAGACGAATAAACAGGGAAGCAGTTCAAAAAAGAGGAGAAAGCGTCCCCAGAAAATTGAAAATGAGGACACAGATGGAAACTTTGGACCACCGCCAGATTTTTCACAAATTACCGGATATCAAGTTCAACTGCCCGAAATACCGAAAAGAATACGGAAGAAGAAGCGACCACAGCGAGTCCAGGAGGACTATGACATTGATGGCGATGGAATTATCAATGTTTCCGATTTGCACGAACCAAATCGAAGTGTGAAGAAGCAGTTGAAGAAAAAAGTCGAGCCGGAACATGAACTCGGAGACGTGAACAGTAAAACAATTGAAGGAGGGGATGGAATTGAGGGAGATGAGAGAGCGTGTCCGGTAAATACGTGCATATTTTTTGTAAAGAATTTTTTACCACTTGGTAATAATCATTAAAATAATATCTGTCGTGATAGGGTTGCATTTCCGGGGGTTGCAATACGAACAACGTTATTTCAGGACTTCCGCTTATCCAGATATTGGCTGCAATTAAGGTTTAATCAATTATCATGAGTGTAAAATTAAGTGTCATCAGTTAATATTAATTAATTAATTCGCAGGCTGGAATCGTTTGGGCAGGAATTTTCTTGTTCTTGTACAAGAACTTTATAGCTGGAGGGAAGGGCGAGAGTCAAGAAGGGTATTGTCATATTATTTAATGCAAATGAATTAAATCGTCTCCTAATCTTTTATCATATTTTATTAGATATGGATACGCCCCAGCCCCACAAATGGCGTACGGGCCCCCTCCATCCATGGCATACGGTAACTCAGCCAATTATATACAAAGATAACCGATATATCGTACCATCATGTGTTCCGTTTCTTGCGGGTTTGCCACATTTCTTGCACTGCAAAGGAAGAAATTCAAGAAATGGGAGGTGCAAGAAACTGGGAGAAAGTGCAAGGTCATTTAGGTTTTTTAGCCACACGCCGTATGAAGTACAGCGGCGCGGCGTAGTTCCTTGCGCCTTGAATTTCTTGCAGGTCAAAATAAATAGCTGCAAGAAACCACTTTCTCCCCTTTATTTCGTGCACGTCGTTACTTCCACCAGAATCATTTCAGCAATAACATATTTCGCTCCATTCTTCCAGGTCCACCGCCATCTCCAGCGTACGGTCCACCCCCTTCGTCCGGTTATGGCCCACCCCCTGCCCCAGCTTATGGTCCGCCCCCTGCTTCATCCTATGGTCCACCCCCTGCCCCAGCTTATGGTCCACCCCCTTCTTCCGCCTATGGTCCGCCTCCTTCATCCGCTTATGGTCCACCTCCTTCGTCCGGTTACTCTACTCGCATTTCCTACCCCACCGGAAGAAAATCCGCATCCATGATGGACTCGTTATCTGACACAGTCTACAACTCGCTGGATACCTTTTCCAAAACTTTTCAAGACGACAACAGTTCACCCACCGGAACAAATGTCAAAGTAAAAACAAGCTAGCCAGCTTAAAAACAAGCTGGGGATAATGGGGATAGCTGGGATAATTTCTTAAAACTAATGTACATGCATATAAATTATTAAGTATTTATTCATCAACTTTAAGAAACAATAAAAAACAACTTTCGACTGGACTCGATTCGTTCATTCAACGAAAATAAATAAATACATATCCATTTCAAGATCAGGAAAGACTCTCGGAGACCTAGTGACACAATTTCATGTACCGAATAGCTTGGCATCCTTTTTTCATGCAAAATAAATTATCTATATTATGCATGCATACTGGTCGGGTAGCGGTACCACCGGGGTGAATTACCATTTTTCTCATTACTCGTACTTAAGTAAGCAATACACAATCTTAAAACTGCGTTACACACAACTTCATTGCCCAGCTTTCTTTCTTGACTGCAAAGATAAATAGGTAGCAAAATTGCAAAAATTTGCAAAAATGCGGGTCCTCAAAATTTGCTCGCTTTTGTTCTCACTCGGCCAATTTCTGCTAGTGTTAAAGTTGATCGAATTAGTGCGAGGAAACCCGACCCCACCCTCAAATCTACAAATTCAAGAAAATATCCCCCAGCAAAATGACGCCACTGGACGAAGTTTTTTCCTTGCGCCGTCCAAAGTGAAGCAAAAGAAGTACAAGCTGTGGGGCACCACGACCACTGTTGAGACGCCCACAACCGATCTCGTTGACCGCTTCGGGCTCGAAAATGAGGAAGAGTATCAATTCGAATCGGTCAAAAACTCGTCAGATTTGTCACCACTTCGAAAAAATGGGACGATTGTGCCGACGGTTGAGGGGCGGTTGTGTCCAGTGAGATTCTTTTTCTTTACCTTCTGCCCGCTTGACATTCCCTTTGCTAGACTTCTTTTCTCCAAGGAACTCATGGACGACTACTACAAATCACAAAACTGACTCTAGTATTTTTAACGGCTTGACGTGTAGAGTAATATTTATTAAGTAATAGTGATTCAGATACCAAATTAGCAGTGATGAAATTCCATTAAGCACTTAAATACTTTAAGGTAAGACATTTTTAAGAATGTACAAGGACTACCAAAATGACTTTGCATATGAGTTCACTGCTACAATAATGCTTAATTTCATACACCAGAACCGGATGACTCATCGCTAAAATCGTAAAAATCATTTTATATCATTTCTGCTCGGGTCTGGGGATTTCTTTTCAAATTCTGGACGACAAATTTATTAGTTGAATGGCGGCGACTTATTTAAGCCAATTTCGATGAGTTCCAAATTTTCTGAAGGCTTCTTCAAATTGCTTCAAAAACTGTCAAAATCTGACAAAAATTGACAACTCCCTGCTCTAAAAATTTGTGGTTCAGAATTTTTAGATAAATTCCCAGAGCCGAGAAATTATAAAAAATGTGCTGATTTTGACACTTTTGGCGATGACTCATCGAGTCCTACATTATCTGAAAGGGTGACCTTTTTGTTGCAGGGTTGTGAAGGTGGGACATGCGGAGGAAGCCTTTCCTCCTACGGCTTCCCTGTCATTCCCGTCGTAATTGCGATCATAATCGGAATTATTTGGTTCTTCATTTTCTTCTTCTTATGGTACTTTGCAAGTGAACCCGTCAAAGCTGGATATTCAGAGTCAAACTCGTAAGCAGTCATATATTTACAAAAATCTTGGGATACTATCAAACTTGGAGTAATTTTTGTATTAATTAAAACTTCAGAAATTCTGGAGGTTACGGTTATGCAGCAAGTGAACAAAGTGGGGGATACACGTCAAGGATGAATAATGACCCTGGCAGTATATTTGGCCTTTTTAACTCCAACAATAACTTTAACCAGCTAACGACAATGGTCACCGAGTCTTTGTTCAAGTTGGCCGCATTATACAATTCAACTTAACAAACTATTTATGTACATATGTAATTCAGATGCCAATCTCATTGCCATTTAATTTGTCCGGATTGACACATACATAAGTTTTAACAGGTTTAATTTATTTTGCATAAAGTATATCTTATCTCGTTTATGGACGCAGTCGATATTAAATAAAATGAACAAAATGTAAAATATTTGCTTATCGAGTTTTTCATTCCAAGTCTTTCATCTTCACTAATCTACGAACTGCATTGCTGTATCCTTCCTTAAAGCGGAAATATATTCCTGATGTCCGTCCTAAAAAAACAAGGATCAGAAACATATTGTCTAGTTAAACATGTACAATGAGGTCTTTCAGCTCTCCGATTTTTACCAAATTGGTGTCAAACATAATTAACATGAAACTTGCCAATGCACAATCTCCTAATGCTCAGGTTTGTCTAGAATATTTGTATTCGAGGAGAAAATGCACAGTAAGTTTGGAAAGTGTAAAATTTGTCAAATTTAGAACACGTTTTTTTCTTCTTTGGATTCAAATATCTCCAACGAACCTGAGCATTGGCAAATCGTGTTTTGCAAATTCCACATTAATTAAATTTGTGATCGATTTATACTAATTTGGTCAAAATCGGAGAACATACGCTGAGAGACCTCCATTGTTAGAGTTCTACAGGTTATAAATAAGTATCAATATTCAAAACTAATACGTACGTTTCAACGCCAACAAGTCTTGAGTTTTTTGCGCCGAGAGGGCAACCGTTCTACCAAAAAAATCCTTTGTCGTCATTTCCTAAAAAATCATGTAATGCGGAAGAAGCTTATTATTTATTAAATTCAGTAGCCCCAAAAAAAACAATAATTGGATTCCCATACAGCTTTAATCCTTGAAGAAACAGCTACTGGCTTGGGTACTTTAAACTCTTGAGTTTGTTTCTTCACAGTTGTTTGAGAATTATTAGCCTCAATTGGTTTTGGCAGGAGAGATTGTGATCGTGAATCTATTAAAACATTATCATTCCGACGCATTTTTTCCGTCTCTATTTCCCGAGCTACTAGCTGCTTAACGGCATATGCAAAAGTTCTTTTTGACCCTTGGGTGTCCTGAAGCTTCAGTTTTGTCAGTGCCTCAATATCTCTGAGTTAACAAATTATGTAATTAATTAACTAGTTTGCTTGATTATTAAAATTTAGTCAAATAATCTTATGCTTTTTAAACTCACGGTTCCAGCACAAAATTGTACGCTCCACTTTCCACGCTTTTCATTTGCGAGTATGATAAATTGTATGCGATCATGACTTCCACAATGTTGCGTAATGTTTCCCTTTCACGAGCCGACCAAATCTGCGTTGGTACCTGTAAAAACAAAGAATGCAGTACTTCAATTAAAATAATATGACAGTTACATTACGGTTCTCATACCGGTCTAATCGTAGACGGCTGAATTACTGAGAGCAGGGACGGAAGGAGATCAGTTATGGCGTTATGTGCGTCCAAAAATCTGCCAACGGAAGGAACAACTTCGGACAGCATGTTACTGATGATGTTTCGAGTTCGAGGTATTTTTTGGGTCGCCTAAAATTTAGATATATGTGTTTATTGCCCTTATTTTGAAATATTCACGATTAATAAATGTTTATAAACTTACATCGTTCGACGGAAAATTAATTTTGAACCATGCTCGCTGACCAAATAGAAAGTGACAGGCGACAAAATGAATAGGAAGATAACCCATCAGGGAGTAATTTTGATGTTGCTGAATTGATGCATTCATTTCGCAAAACCAATTAGTCCAACTCAGCCCTTCTAGAATCTATGGACCAAAAGAATGAACAATATCAAACAATCATACACAAAAAACGAATATGATGTAACAATGGAAGTCTCCCAGAGTATTCTATCCGATTTTAACCAATTTAGTGCCAATCGATCGCAAAAATTATACAAAATTATACAAAGCGACACCATCTCCAAATGCGCAGATTTGACGGAGGTATTTGCATCCGAAGAGGAGATTTTAGCGCAGATTTTACACTTTCCCAATTTACTGTGCATTTTCTCCTCTTCGGCTGCAAATATTCCTGCAAAACTTCTAAAACTTGCGCATTGGGAGATCGTGTGTTTTATAAATTCCATAAATTTGCAATTAATTCGGTAAAAATCTTTGAGCATACGTTGGGAGATCTCGAGTTGTAGAGTGACCTGAACGTGAACTTACCGATTCAAAGTAACAATCTTTAAATTTGCTTCTTAGATAATTTTCAAAAACACCACCGAGTAGTTTTTCATACTCGCCATAGCTTTGGACCACTCTCAGAACTGAGTTAAATCGGACAGCAGGTTTAGAAGGGTCCACATTGTCGTAACGGTTCCGTTTACTAATAAACATACACAAAAATGTCAAAAATGGAACATTTTTGAACTATTAGATAACGTGGATGCTATTCTCTTACCTATCCGGAATCGTAAATATATCCGACCACACAGAAAATAAACCTTTCGATTTATCCTTCATTCCTATTTGCGAAAACAAGGCATCTTTCGGAGTGCAATTCTTCTTTTTCAGAAACTGCAATGTGGACAAACATGAGCGAATGTCACACTCTGATTTCTCACAAAGACTTTGAATCGTTCCATTATCAAGGTGAAGGTGTTCCCGTAAAGATATTTCGTGCAGTCTTTCTCCCAAACTGCAAAAAATCAGAAATATACCATAATTTCCGAAAATTAGTCTAAAACTTCACAATGAATAAATTATTTTACTACCATGCCACAGTAACTGGAAAGAATTGCAGAACGAGTGCATGTTTTCTCAATTCCTTCAATGACGGTGCATATAAATCATTGCAGATGCAAATAATCGGGCGTTTCAGAACCTTCTTTAACTTCTTTTTCCCTTTTTCCACCGAATTTCCAGATATCAACTCAATCAAGACGTTGACCGTGGCCTTCAATAGATTTCAATTGTTAGAAATGGATACAAGTGGTGCTATGCTACAAGATATCAAACTTACCACAGGAGCCCCATCAATTTCATCAATTATTAAACAATTGGGCTTTCCATCTTGAAAGATTTCAGACTTTGACTGCAAAGCATCGTCCAGAACTTTAGTAATGTAGTCCACGGATCGATCATCACTGGCATTCATTTCCCGAACACTATACCCTACAATACAAAAATATACTTGTATTTATCTACAAAATATTTGAATCACACTAAACAATATATGAACCAACCTGCATGTTTTGCAATAACGTGGGCACAAGTTGTTTTCCCCAAGCCCTAAACAATAAATAATAGTATAACGCAAATTAAAATAGAAAATGCCCTTAATAAGTGAGATCGTCATAAATATTAATTACGTACCGGTGGACCAAACAACAACGCCACTTTCAGTTTTGGTCTTCCCATTTCGTCATATTCGTCAAGACCGGCGTACGCATTAGCAGCAGCATTAGCACCTTTGGAATGGAATTTCTTCTCCAGTTTTTCTTTTTCCTTTGCCTCTACAAATATGAAAAACACAGCACAAAATTATGTATATAATATGGAGTAGATATAATGCAGACGTTAACGTAGGGCTTGACTCATTACCTAAATCGTAAAAATCAGTACATTTGTAATCATTTCTCGGCTCGGGGAATTTATTCTAAAATTCTGAAAGACTAATTTGAAGTCACAACTTGATTAATCGAATTGTGGTGAGTTTTTAGGCCAATTTCGATGATTTCTAATTTTTCTGAAGGCTTCTTAAACTTGAGATCTCCTACTTCAAAAACTTTCAAAATCTGGAGTGTATATATTTTTTAAATGGCAACAACATGCTCTCAAATTTGTCGTCTAGAATTTTCAAATAAATTCTCAGAACCAAGAAATGATTAAAAATGTGCTGGTCATCGAGTCCTACGTCAATCATTATTCAAATTGTAATACCCAAATTGGCATATTTATCCTTCGTCATTTTGACTTTTGCCAAAAAATCAGTTCCGAACACAGATTTATCCCAGAGTTTTAACCAATGGAGCAGCGTTTTATTTGTTCCCTGCAATAAAACAACTCATTCTGAGAAGCCGAACGTTATCTTATAAATAAATATGTATAACAAATATGTACCTCTTCACTTAACAAGTCCAAATACGACCTAGGCTTATATTTTTCAACCCAAAGTGACTCTTCGCACCGGTTGTCCACCCCCAGCCCCGCCACCACGTCTTCATTTTCGACTATGTTTGCCAAACTGCGATGAAACCTGTCTTTCTGAAACGTGTCAAAAGCAAGCCAAAGATTTAAAAATTACGAAACTACTTTAACAAATCGCCTCGTTTCTCGTACCAAAATCCTTGCTTCCGCTTTAATTGCGCCCCAATTATTAAATAGCTGGCAGTTCTTCCCTCCTTCTGTGGTTATCAATTTACGAGGCTCATCCTCCTCATCCTCACCTAGTTCTTCACTCGTTTTTTTCTCCGTTTGCAAAATTCTGAGATACACTCTCGACCCGGACTCGGTGGTTACTGGGACGTATGGAATATCCTGCGGGATGTGGCGAAGAACGCGGCGATAAGGCACGATAAATGGGACACTTTCCGAGTCAACATTCTCATCCGTGTCGATGATGGTATCTTCAACGTCCAACTCTGACGTTGGGTTTGACGGTGTTGTTCGTTGCCTCTTGGTCAACTTGATGAATTCCACGTCGTCTAATAAATACACAACGATATCGATAAGTCATTATTTCATAACACATGCTGTATTTCAAATTATTTGAATTATTTACCTCTCGATCGCCTCTTCCCAGTTTCCGTAAAAAACAAGGGGTCATCATTTTCCACGTCACAATCCATTTTGAGCAATGACAGTACTTACAACTTAATTTCAAATCACAAGAAATTGATGATTTGGATCACAATTAAGTTAATTATGTTAAATTAAATAGGAAATCAGTTGCAAGAACTAAGAAGTGAAAAACTTCACTCAAACCTGGTCCCGCTATGTAATGCCGCTCTGAAAGCATTTTGCTTGCAGAAGGAGACAAAGAGAAAACTCAATCTCATCTCAATCCCAATGTTCCACTTTATCAAAAATGAAATCGGAAATTTCACCACTAAAATATAATTAATTTAGAATTTATATTAATTAATTTATATTTAAATCTCCTGATATTCCTAAGAATCTCAGAAAAATTGGATGAAATTCAGCAGTCGATCAAGACATGAAATCGCTGAAAAAGCAACACAAACATCTCTTTGATATTAAATGGAGGTCAAAAATGTCTAAAAAATGCTATATTTTCTTGAAATCAAGATCAATTAATTGGTCAAAATTGCATGGGTGGATGAATATGCATACGCTATTATTTACATATACTGCGGCATAACACATGTAATCTTCACCTCTTCTTCCCACTAACCATTAAAATTTGGTAATTGACACAAAATTACATCAATTACCGACACATTCCAAGCTAATTGTCGCGTGTTTAGTAAAGTTCAAAAACCCCTTAACGTGCCGATTTCCCGATGAAAATTGTACATTTGCATGACAAAAAAACGGTCAAGTTTTTTACGGTTGCTTGCAGTCCATAAAAATACAAACAAGCCGAATTAATATGACAGTTTTTGGTCAACCACAGAACTTCGCCGTAGTGCAAACTTGTACAAAGGTCAATTTTTTTAAGAATGGGACCACTCTTCATTGTTTTAGCCGTTACTCTTGGAGCGACCTTACGTACAGTGACATCATCAGTACAACCCCCCAATCATGGAGAACAATATGGCAGAGAAGGAAACCATGGTCGAATAGATGGTCACGACGAAACCAGTAGAAGTTTGTGTCCGGTACGAATTTTACAAAAAAAATCAAAGTATATTTTACGAGTCGTAAATTACGATATGAAATTGCATGGATTGTTCTTTAAACTGTATCTTCTACATTTTTAGAGGAGGATATTTTTACTTATATAATTTTAAATGACAATTTATTCTAGGCCTGTGAAAATGGAGTCTGTCCCAACGCCAACGTCGTAGCAATGACGCCCCCACTCATCCAAGCCATTCTTTCCGTCATTGCTGCAATTTGTGCCTTCTTCATTTTCATTTTGTTCTTTTAAACGATTAAATTCAACCGATTTGTTTAATAAAAATTTACTATTGTAATTGTAAGATGAATAATAATGACTACGAAAAGTCATTCATTTATTATGCATGCATACGTCATACGTACATAGATGATCTATTCATTTATACCACATTTTGCACCGAACTGAACAAATCTGTGTTAAAATGCCACTCTAAAAGCAGTGATTCACTCGTTTTCAATTTTTTTTGCACTATACAAATTCTTGTTTGTCTTGTAACAAACTTGAGCGTGGACCTCGTCTATACATCTTGGAACACAATTTTCTACATGAAATGGAACGTTTTGACAGTGTTTCTCCACGCCTTTATCCCCTGGTCAACAAAACTGCACTGATTAACCTGACCCCGGATGACTTCATACGTCCCGTAATCTACAAATATTTATTCCTTCTTTTGTAACTATTTCCTGACCTAAATAATATTTAATATTAATTGCAGGCAGAGTTTGGCTTGGTCCAGTCAACCCTTCCAATTCTCCAAGTCCTCTTAAATTTTGCAGCGTTCATCGTGTGGATTGTGATTGTCGTCTACTTCTGGAAGATAATCTATTACCAAGTGGACGACCCGTATGCCACCAGCTAGTAAGAAAGCACTCTTAAAGAACGTTATTACTTTATGCATAATTACATATAATTTGAATAAACACAATTTCTAGTGGATCTTACCCCGCAAATTTTAACAAACGTTCCGATCAAGTAAAAACATTGTGGGAGAAGGTGTCACACGCGGTGGGAATCGACTACTAAAACAGATAAATTTTGTGTTAACAAACACCTAAAGTGTTATTTTTACAGGAATAAATTCATACATCAATAATAAATAAATTTCATAAAGTCTATAAAGAGTACAAAAACTGGTCTCGATCGGGTCGTCATTTGGCGTTCGGTTCATTATTAATTCAATTCATTGCATAATTTAGAAATAATTTTCGGAAATAAATTATTGATGAGGGTGTCAAAATGATATATTTTTTTAAACGAGACCTACACAAAAAAGTGTCCCAAGGGACAGTCCATTAATTATGTAATGCAAAAATCGCGATTTTCTAGACCCCCCGTTTAATATGTGGCACATATGTAAGCACGATATCATTGGAGCCTTACACCCCCCCCCTGCCCCCTCTCGTTTTGCTTAATTTATAAGCGGTTGGAAAAAAATACTCAAAAAAATAAATTTTGCATTAACAAACACCACAAAGTTTTATTATTTATACAGAAATCCACCAATTAAAACAATTTCAAGTCTATAAAGAGTACAAAAACTTGTCTCGTGTCGTCATTATTTTGGCGTTCAGTTCATTGTTTACATATCCATTTTTTAAATTATTTTTATAACTAAATTATCGAGGTAGACGATATTTTTTTACACGAGAGCTAGATACGCGGAAGTGGTGGCGGCTACAGGGAGCTCAGAATCGTCCCTCGGCCTTGGCGACGTCGTCGGTTTGGGCGCCGTAGCTTTCTCCGCGGCTCGTAATGAATGCTTGGCAGCGGCCAAGAGCCGATTCTTGGTGTCCAATTCTTCCTGCATGGCCTTCAATTTCTGATGAAGGGCACTCACATTCGAACCGAGGGAAGAAGGGTGACCTTGTTCCACGTCGACTAATCCCTGCTCAGCAGTCTCAGAGGAGACGGGGGAATTATTTTTGTTGGTAACATCTGAAATAAAACGAGAGTGAAAGTTAATCATAGTAACAAACTCGTGGAAACGGAGATGCATACTCTATGTGCATCGTTTGTCAGGAAAATTGGGTATTTTTGGCATTTCGACATTTTATGACCTTTGACCTCGTTTACCAGTACGTAGAAATGGTGCTGGTTTCTGAAACCTCCGCCCTAAACTATGTCTAAAATCGTCAAAACAAAAAATTTAATACTCTTGACCGTTGAAATCATCGCCGTGGCGTCGTGACCTTTTGACCCACAAGGTAACAAACTCCCTCTTAAAATAAAATTAGGTGTAGAAAGCAGAACTAAAAAAATGATTTCTTCGAAAGTTATTGGTCTGACAGATCGATCCCAAATTGAAATTCCCAATCATTCCGCTTCACTTCGTTTCGCTCGTTAATAAATGTAGCATAAGAAATATTTACATATGCAAATATCTGCAAAATATTTTAACTACAGCTATAAAGTAGCTTTACCTAAGAAAGTCTTTAACCTCATTTCTGCACTTTTTGCCCGTTTTTCTACATCATTAAATTTCTCCTCTAATGACTCTGTTCTTCCGTTCGCTTCCAGGAATTTTCTAGTCAATTTTTCATTTTCATGCTCCAAATACTCCACTTTGTCAAGGAGCAGTTTTTTCTCTTCAACAATACTCCCAACCGACGTCTGCAAAAAATCGAAAAGCTTTAACCTTAGGTTTAACCCATCAATTAAATACCTTCGTCATATAAATACTGTCACCTTCAACTTTTCACTGCTGACGACGTTCGAAACTGTGGGTGGTGGACGCATTTGTAGCTTTTTATTTTCCGACTGCAATTTGCTGATGACGCCTTTGAGTGCGTTAATCGTTTTCTCCAATTCGCTCAGAGACTTTTGACTCTTTTTGTCCGCGTCACTGTGCGCTACTAAAGGCTTCTCGGACTTCAAGGCTTCAACCATTCTGAAAAAGCAGAGCAGTTAATGCTTAAAGTTTAGACATGTGCTATATAAATATGTAGATTTACTTTTGCAGGTGCTGAACCCTATCCCGAAGTCTGGGTGATTCGAGGCGAAGCTGTTCAATCTGGAGGTTCAAGTACAGGTTGTCCTCTTCCAAGCGTCGTATCTCTTTCTGAACATGAGCCTCTCGAAGTGACATATTTTCAATCTCTGTGATCACTTGGGCGTCACCCTGGAAGAAAATTTCACAAGTGTTTCATTGTGTCAAATTCTGCAGTAATCGACACAAAAGCTCGTTGCATATTGTATTCTGCATAATTGTTGTTACACAATTCTGCAGAAAATTTCTTTCTGCACAACCGTATGTGCATAACCCTGCATAATTTTCTGCACAAATCGCTCTGCGTGCAGTTTTTCTGCAGAAATAATTCAAAAAATTGGGCCAAACTTGTGCAGAAAATCAGACCAAATTTCTGCAGAAATCGGGCCAAATTTCTGCAGCAAGTTTTGCTAAATTCCTGCAGAAAATCGGGGCAAATTATCTGGAAGAAAGCAGTTAAGATTTCTGCAGAAAATCGAGCTAAATTTCTGCACAAAATAATCCCAAATTTCACCAAAACTTCCCACTTTTAGCAAACCATGCCTTTTGTGCGATTTGATACGCCGTCAATTGTCTCTCTTGCGAAACGACTCTTTCTTTAAGCAGCTTCACTTCCATTTTCAATCGCTCAGCTTCCTCCCGACCTTCGAACTCGGTCTTCTCGTTCAACTCTTGCAAGTCGTGGATCTCAATTTTTAGCCTTGCAATTTCTCCCTGAGCCAAAATGTGCGCTTGTTGAGACGACAATTGGGAGTCTGACGAGAATCTCGTCGAGGCAGAACTCGATCTCGTGTTGTCATTTTGTCGCGACGAGGATAACTTGGTCTCCAGAATTATCTTATCCTTCTCCATCCGGCTGATGCTCGTACGCAAGTTTTGTACAATGCTTTTAAAACGCTCGATTTCCGACTCTAATTCGCTTATTCGAATCTCGCCCGTCTTTAAGGTGGCTTTCCATTTCTTGGACTCTTCAAAACGCGCAACCCTCTCGGCCGACTAGAAAATTATATTTTAACATATAAATTTATGCAAATTTTGACGTAATAATTTAGTAGGAATGATCAGTGTTTCGGGTGAAAGTAACCACGTGCAAGAAATAATGGGGAGAAAGTGATTTTTGCAGTTATTTGACTTGCAAGAAATGCAACCTGCAAGAACCTACGCCCCGCTGCTATTCCTTCACGCGGCGCGTGGCTAAATGGCGCATATTTCTTGCACTTTCTCCCAGTTTCTTGCACCTCGAATTTTTTGCGTTTCTTCGCAGTATAAGAAATGTAACAAACTCGCAAGAAACGAAACACTGAGACAATTTATGAAATTGATTACTTTGATTTTCTTCATCTCGTCTTCATCTCGCTTTCTGTTAAGGTCAGCAAAATCCTTATCTACCTTTGCTTTCGCCTCGGTCAGTTCTTGCAGCTTGGCTCGTAACGCGTCAAGATCGGCGGATCTTTGGACAACGGGTTTAGCAGACTTGCTTATCTTGACTTGTTGGGCAGCCACCTATTTTCATGTACATACATTTGCATATACTTACAATCATTGTGTTGACCACTTTGCAGTATAAATAGTTGAGTAATAATTATTAAAAATCCCACAGTTTTATGAAGTTCGTTAATTTGCTCCTTGAGAAAAGAAACTTCAGAATTTTTCGTTTGAATTTTCTCTTCCAGAGAACTCTTTTCTGTATACGTTCCAGAATTCTGTGTAATTTACCAATAAACATAATTAATTCAGTCTTTACACAAACCAATACGTCCTCAATTCTATGTAATACCACCTTAAGGTTATGCAAACTCTTGGAGTACGCCTCAATCTGTTTGTCCTTTTCCTCTAATTCACCCCTTAAAACGTTCACCAAATCTGTCATCCCACTATCTTTGAGGGAATTGCTCCGCACGTTTTCCAATTGTTGGTGAGACTCCTCCAATTTTCGTTGTGTTTCACGCAATTCTTGCCGAACGGAACCAAGTTCTTCTAAACTTTCCAAATTCACCTGTTGCTGGTCACGCACGGAGTCGGCCTCCTTCATTTTCGCTTCGGCGTGACATCTCCATCGATGCGCTTCACTCCGGGCAGCTGGATCAGGACAAAAAATTAATTGGAAGATTGTCATAAATAAATCTAGTGTTTAAATAATAGCATTTACCCGTTAGTTGAGCAGCAGTATTACTCATTGCATGCTGAAGCTGAGATACTTCATCCTCGAGTTCATGAATTCGTGTCAATTGGTCCTTTATGGTCCCTTCCACGTTCAGAGAGTCCTTCACTGGATGGCTCAGTGTGGACTTCATTCTTAAATATTCAATAAAAAATCAGTAGTAAATGATTAAGAATATACTTATTTGCAGTGTTTCGGGTGAAAGTTGCATGCATGCAACCCAGAATAACGGGGGGGAAGGAAGTGGGTTTTTAGCAGCTATTTTGACCTGCACGGTGCAAGAAACGACGCCTCACCGCTGTATTTCATTGGGCGCATGGCTATGTAGAAAGCGCATATTTCTTGCACTTTTCTCCCATTTTCTTGCACTTTGCATTTCTTGCTTTGCATACGAGAACTGGAGCAAACCCTCAAAAACCGAAACACTGCATATTTATTATGCACACATGTAGATTAGATACCTTGTGAATGCTTGTTGTTGTTGATGTATAGTCATTTGAAGTGCTATAAATTTGAATATTGTTAAATATGTAGGTTAGAAATTTAGAAAAGTATTTTTCTGCTCCTTATCTAACCTCGCATTTCTTGGACATGACGTTCAGTCGATGTCTGCATTTCATTTCGAACTTCGGCCAGAAGTCGACGATACTGGTTGACATTTTCTTCCTTCGACTTTAAGCGTTCTTGCAGTGAGGTCATGCTTTCCCGTGCAACCTAAACAAAATCCTCAGTAACTATTCGGCAGAAATGGTGATAAAAAGTTGTGTTTAACAAGTTCTTACCACTAAAGCATCTTGGAGATCTGAATCCGCAGACGTTGGTCTTTTATGATGACCATCTCGTTCCTGTTGTTGTGCCCGAATGAATTTAATCTCATTTAACGCTTCCTCCTTCGCCCGCACGTTTCCCTCCAGCTCCGCAACTCTAATCGTCATCATTTGCAAGGAATTTATCAGCCCGTTCTTCTCCAGTAACAACTCTTCCACGTGGGCAGCAGCGGACACGTGGTCATGCGAAGGAACGCTGGAGATTTGACATTCCTTATTTTCCGTCGCATTCGTGTCAAGTCTGGTCGAACTGACGGCCAACAAGGGCATCGAGGTTGATGAGAGGGTCTCAATCAGAGGGGGCCCTTGATGATGAAGCCCTTGATGAGAAGAAGGGACCATCCGGAGGTGAAGGTCTTCCACAGATTTTCCGATTAGTGTGGACGTCAGGGAGTCCTTGAGCTCCAGAGCGTGTTCTAATTTTAAACGGTCATCCTCCAACTCGTGCGTTATGTTTTCGAGTCGATGGACCGATTCTTGCAGGGATAAGCAGTCTCTGCTCTTCTGTTCGGCTTTCCTTTTCCATCGTGTCGCCTATGCATAAATTTGCATTTTGCACATTTTTCAACAATACTAAACTATTTTTTCATATTTTTTTTAGAGTTGGACGAAATATTTTATAAAAAATTTAGTATTTTGAGCCCTGTTATTCCCAGGGTTTGGATTTCCAGGGGCGTTGTTTGTTACACCCACAAAAAGACGAGAATTTGCATGGAAAATGCAACAATCAGACGAAAATATAGGTTGTTTTAAAGATATTAACTGTTTATCGCTGTCAAAATACTTTATTCTTTCTAAGAAATTGTGAAAACACTGAATTTTGATAGCGATGAAAAATTAATTTCTTCACAAAACCTGTATTTTCGTACTACTTGTTTTCTACTCTGTCTCTGTCTTCTGAAAATCCAGGTTTTCTGAAGAAATTAATTTTTCATCGCTGTCAAAATGCAGTGTTTTCACAATTTCTTAGAAAGAATAAAGTATTTTGACAGCGATAAAAAATTAATTTCTTCACAAAACCTGGATTTTTTTATTTGACTGCTGCAGATTCTCGTCTTTTTGTGGGTGTAACACTCCCAGAAATCCAAACCCTGGGAAGAACGCTGCTCAAAATACTACATTTTTTTCCATCCCTTCTTTTCTTTAAAAATTACCTCAACCCGTGCCTCCTGCGCTTTTTGGACCGATTCAAAAACAACTTCCTGTCCCAATCCGTCCTCCTTCAACGAATTAACCATCCCCTCCAAAAGTTTACACTTTTCCTCCAACTCCTCCCCCTTCAACCTCTCTTCCAACAACTGCTCTTCCAACTCCCCACAATTCCTCTTCGTCTTCTCAAACAGTTCAAACGCTTCTTTAACATCACTGTTCGACGTCTTCATCTTGGTCACGCTCCTCGTCGTGTAATTATAATTCTGCGCTGTCTGCGAGTCATGCAGCGCCGCGAAGAGATTCCGATACCGCATGATGACATGTGTATGCATCGAAATCAGCGACATTTCTCTGTCCTGGTGAATTTTCGATTGTTGCAAAGAATGCGCCTCCAACTGGGACAATTTCGACAGAAGTTTTTCCACCTGTTGGATCGCCAAGTGCTTCTCCTTGTCGCCGGTGAGCATGTGATGATGCGCTTTTGCGAGTAACGATTTCTCACTGGATTCGGACTGAAGTTCTAAAACCTGCTTTGCCAAATAATCAAGCTCTACTTTTTCAAAGTATTTTATATTTTCGATTGCCTTGATCTGATTTTGCGTCATTTCCGCTAATTCCTTCCACTTTAGACATTCGTCCTTCGCCGTGACCAAGATTTCTTCCGTGTTGACCAACTTGTTGACGAGGAGGTCGTACTCTTCTCGGGCCACGGTGTCGATATATTTCTCATTCACGGTGGAGACACAGGTGTTGTATTTCTCGGTGAGGTCGTGAAATTCGGACTCGATTTTTTTCTTGGAGGATTCTACAGCGTCAAATTTGTCCTTCAGGTCGTCGTATTTTTTTAAGGATTGACTTAGTTGAAGGGAAAATTCGGGGTTATTTTCTGAATCCGGTGGTGCTGGGGAGGTAAATGTTTTTTAAGTAGGACTCGATGACTTATCAGCAAAATTGGAAAAATCAGCACATTTTAAATCATTTCTTAGCTCTGGGAATTTAGTTTAAAATTCTGGACGACAAATTTGTAGGCAGTGAGTTGACTAATAGAATGACGGCGAGTTTTTTAAGCCATTCGAACAGTTTCAATTTTTCTGAAGGCTGCGTAAAATTGAGATCTCCTTCAAAAAGTGTCAAAATCTGGAGTGTATATTTTAAAAAGTTGCCAACTCCCTCCTCTACAAATTCGTCTTTCAGAATCTTAAAATAAATTCTCCGAGCCGAGAAATCTCTAAAAATGTGCTTATTTTGCCAATTTTAGCAATGCATAAGTCATCGAGTCCTACGTTTCGTCTTGTCCTCAAATTTCGCCGCAGTTTCCAACAATCTCGCCTGACATTTGCCAAGCTGTTCTTCCAGAGCGTCCCTCTCCTTCCTAAGTTCCGCAATTTCCGCCGTATTCTTATGAAACGCGACCGTCTTCACCACCACGGTGGCTTCTTTCTCCTCCAACTCCACCAGCTTGTCGGACAAGTGACGGATTTCCTTCTTCGCATTGTGGAACAGATGGATTGGCACGCTATTTTCGAGAACTTGATGAAACGTCGTGATCTGGTGGATCGCTTTTAACTGGAATCGTTCCAGGTGGCCCAACCGAGCCATGTATTCGTTCCCGACTTGGGCCAATTTTCTAAGCAGCGAATTGATCTCGTTCGTCTGGTTTTCTTGGATGGCGACCAAGTACTCGATCTTGAGTTGGGCGGCAGGAGGATCGTCGCCGTTCTTCGTCACGAGCTCATTCGCCTTGCTGACCAAGGCTTCGAGTTGTTCCATTTTTTGACTCTTTTCCTGCTCCACGCTGCGTGCCAAGGACTCATTTTGGGTGCGAAGGGAGACGATTTCTTCTTGCAGGGCTTCCACCACGAAGTCTCGTCTTTTTGGAAAAGTAAGGTTTGTTGAGAACGAGTCGTGATGTAAATTTCCTGATTCTTGACGAGTTTTGTTTGAAATTTCGTGAACTTCGGAATCAATGCGGTCCAATGATTCTCCTCGTTCGAATGTGACACGTCTCTCTTGATTTGATGGTGGTGGTGGTGGTGACGATGATGACATGAAATGTTGCGATGGACGGGTGTCAACTCCTGATTTTAGTTGTTCGGTTAATGTTGAAATGGTATTTTTAGCTTCGAACAGCTCTTCGCGACATTGCCGTTCTTCTTGTCTGGAATAATTGTACAGAAATATATGTATGTATTATTGTGTCATACATATTTAGCGAGAAAATTTAGTGACGAACCGTAAACGGTGAAGATCTTCCCGAAGCTGGGAACACTTTCCTTCTAAATTGCAAACTTTCATGTGGAAGCTGGAGATGGGGTAGGGATAGTTGATTATCCCACGGGCGGACATTTCACGGAGGAGTTCTTCCAAAACGGGGGCTTGGATCATGACTTCCGTGTTGCCATCGTCTAAATCATTGTAATACGCAATGATGCACAACTTAAGGATTAATGGAGGTATATATGGTCTCCCTCTTTTGGTGTTAGTGTCAATTGATCACAAATTTAATGAATATGAAATTTGCAAATGACACGATCTCCCAATGGGCACGTTTGGCGGAGAAATTTGCATCCGAAGAGGAGAAAATGCGCAGTAAATTTGCAAAGTGTAATATTTGTCAACTTTTAGGGGGTATTTTTTCCTATTTGGATGCAAATATCAAACGCGACCGTGTCGTTCGCAAATTTAATACCAATTAAATTTGCGATTGATTTACACTAATAGTTTTCTCTTTGCTCAAACTTTGAGAGAATACTTTGGGAGACCTACATAAATTGCAACAGTAATGGTTCTATTATATTTAAAATCCTACCTGTCATTTTGTGCATGCAATCCAAAATCTCATGCAGTCCCCTCCTCAACGCACTATTCTCTTCCAGTATAATTTCATACTTTTCCTTCCACTCTTCACTCTTGACGCCAAATCCGGTCAAATTCCTAACCAAAATATCCCCCCTCGTCGTCCCCACAGGATCCGTCGAAACACGATCCGACACCACCGACCCCGTCCCCCCATCCGGCCCGTCTCTCTCTCGATCCATGTCCGGCAAGTAACTCCCACCACCCGAATTCGGAACCACAATCTGCTCCGGATTCATGTCCACCTGCGCCAACTGCTTTTTCAAACTGTAATTCCTCGTCTTCAGGGTGACCACTTCTTCCTCCAAATTCCCCACTTTCGACCTCAACGCGGACAACTCGTTCTTCTTGGTGCGCGTGTAGCGCTTCGTTTCTCGGCTGATGTCGGCCTCCTTCTCCACGCCCAACTTTTCTCTGAGCATCTCGCTCTCCTCCTGGAGATCGTTGACCTGCATGTAAAGAATATTTATTTCCTGCGTGACCCCTTCGACCTGCTTGTCCCGGATGCGGATCTGGATTTTGAGGTCCTTGATTTCCGAGACGGCTTCCGGCAGCCCGTATTGGCCCGCCTCGTACGCGGCCATGCGCCCCATGAGCGAGGTCACCGTTCTGGACTTGTCCTCCGCCTCTTTCTCGACCGCGGACAACTGTTTGGTTCTCCGGTCTAATTTATCTTCCAGCTTTTTGACCGTTACTTGGAGGGATTTGACGAGATATTCAGTCTTTTTGGAGTCCTCGGTGAGGTTCAGTTTTGATTGGAGGGATGCGATGAAGGAGGAGGTGGACTCGAGTTCTTCGGTGGCTTGGGCAAGTTGTTCGTTTAGAAGGGCGATTTGGTGTTCTCGTTCGACGAGTTTCTAGGGGCAAAGAAATTAATAATTGTCTCTCAGGGCATCCTCTTCGATTTTGACCAAATTAGTGTCAATTTATTGCAAATTTAATTAGTGTGAAATTTGCAGAAGACATCATCTCTCACTGGGCAGGTTTTGCGGAGATTTTGCATCCAAAAAAGAGAAAACATGGCCTAAAGTTAACAAATTTTACACTTTCTAAATTTTCTACTCATAAGATGCAAATATCCCTATCAAACGTGCCAATTGGGAGATCGTGTCGTTTGTAAATTTTATACTAATTAAATTTGAGATCGATTGACACTAGTTTGGCCAAATATGCATTTAGACAAGACGAAATATGTAAATTACATGATTCAATAATTGCACCGTCGTTCTCTCCGAGTCCATCTGGGTGTTTGGGATTTGACTCATTAACGTAGAAATTTTTGCGTTTAGGCGATCAATTTCCTCGTCCTTGTCAAACATCATTTTCTGTTCGGAATAAAATAGTTATGATTTTTATTCCTCCCAAATAATGCTCATCATCAGAGACGGCGGAAGTTGGGAGATCCCACATTATTAACATTGTGGGATTGGAAGAGGAGGTAAAACATGGGCAACATACAATTTTCCTGAATTTCTGGGGGGGGGGCAATGACCTCCAGTCCCCGCACTTCCGCTTCCAATGAAATTATGCATACCTTCCAAACATCCACCCGAATATCAACAGCGTTACAGAGATTTTCCAAGTACTGGTCATGTCTCTCTTTATATCCCAAAAGTTCTCTTTCCCGAATCGATAACACGGTTTTCTCCTCCTCCAATTGCCTTATCCTCTCGTCTCCTTTTTGAAGTTGACCCTTCTGCTCAAAATGGTCACTCGTCATGGACTCGATTTGTTTCGTCGCTTCACTTAAAGACTCCTTCAACGTGGTCAATTTCTCTTCTAGGGACCTTTTCTCGTCATCCAGACGCTGTTTAATTACACAGTGTAATTAATTGATCAATCAGAAAATCATTAAAATATAGAAACATTAATTTTTTATGTACGTATATAATTTGTTCATCCTTAATTTGATTAACGTAGGGCTCGATGACTTATCACCAAAATTGTCAAAAATCAACAAATTTTTTATCATTTCTCGTCTCTGGGAACTTATTTTAAAATTCTGGACGACTCATTTGCGATCAGCAAGTTGATTAATGGAATTGAGGTGAGTTTTTTGAGTCAGTTTTAGTTCTGAAGGCTTCCTAAACTTGAGATCTCCTCCTTTAAAAAATGTCAAATCTGGAGTGTATATTTTCAAAAAATTGGCAACACACGTTGTCCAGAATTTTAAAATAAATTCCCACAGCCGAAAAATGATTAACAATATGCGAATTTTGACCATTTTGGTGACGAGTCCTACGTTAATGGTTAATGTACCTCCGTATCCTCAATTAGCTGCTGTATTTGTCGATTTTTCTGCTGCACCGTCATATCAAACCCACTCTGCTGACTTTGTTGTTTTCCATTCCCATCATTGTAGTACTCATCCCCCTCATCGCTGTTGTCATACTCGCCCCCCGCCATCCTTTTCCCCCCTCCGGAAGAAGAGAATTTCTTCGCTGCACGCTCCTTATACTCGTCCAATGCCCTCCGATAATCCTCCGCCTCGTCCCGCAGCCCTTCAACTTCTCTCCTCAAATCAATCTTATCTCTCTCCAAGCGTTTAATGGACTCGATACATTTCTCAGTTTCGATCCGCTCCTCATTTAATTCGCGATCTCTCCGCTGCAAATCTCTTTCTAAGCGATCGATTTGTCTCTTCAGGTCGGACGCGTCGATAAGATCGTCGTCGTTATCTTCGTCGTCGTCGTCGTCGGTCGAGTCCCTGCGACGACGAGTTCGAGTACTGCTGCGTTCTCCTCCTCCTTTTTTGACGGGGGGATTTTTTTCTAATGGTGTCGTTGTAGGATCGTCGGCATTTTGTTGTTGAGGTTTTTGCGTCGTTGAGGTGGAAGGAATTGGCGAAATGTTGTCTACTTCTGGGTCATTATTGTTATCTCTTTTCCGATGAGGATGGAGGTCCGGCCTTTTGATGGGAGACGGCGAGTCGGGCGTTGGAGTGGATAAGATGGGAGAAGTGGGTTGGGAGTCGTCGTAGGAGGCAGAATTCTTGCCACGATCACGGTCACGATTTCTCCGGTTTCGTGTATTTCTGTTCCTCGGAGCGGGTTTTGGCTTGTCCATTATACTTTTTACAGGAACGTGCTTCTCCTGTAATTAGGGGACATTAGGGTTAAACACGTATTTCCTTTTTGTGTATGTAGTGGCCGCGGAAGCTGTGGGGGCATCTGGGGACGTGAATATTGTAGGATAGGGGAGGGAGGGGTTTGTATAAGATGGGGAGATGATGGGGACATCAAATAACCTTGGGGAAATTGTCCCTCTGTCCTCACCCGGCTTCCGCGGCCACTGAACGTATGTACATATACCCATTGGATATTTGCATATTAGTATGTAAATAACAATACTGTTTGTTTGCATACTTACTTTGTGTCCCTCTTATTAATTCGCTATTATTAGTAGATCGACAAAAATGTGTCTTTCTTCTTGCTACACATGGAATTGGACCACATCCAATTTTGCTAATTAAATTCTATCCATTTCCAGATTAATGCAGGCTACATAATTGTCGGACTAACTAGAAAATAGTGAAACGGAGAGGGGAGATCATTTCAGCTTTTGTGTGCGTGCGTGTTGTGACGCTCGTTTCCAGGAGCAACCATGCTCCTAAAACCGTACATCGCAAAAAGGGGTACGGAAACCGAGTAAAGAATTTTTATGGTGGGCCGTGTGTAATAAAGGATTTGATAATTTTTAATAAACTGTATAATTCTTATAGTACACATTTTATTGTAAAATATATGTAAATTTTAAAAACATCGAATAAAATGACGGACATAATTAGATCCATTATCAACGAACTTGCGAAAAAACCTTTCTCAAAGTCGTTCACCGTAATCTCATTCGACTCGTTGAAACCTGACCAACTTCTGCAGGTTAATTAATACATTTACAAAATCACAATAATCAAGTAATGTCATCCGCAAGGGGACCTTGTCCCCTCAGAAATTCAGTAAAATTATATCTAGCCCATGTTAATAGTCCTTACTTCTCCAACATAATGTTTTTTCTTCCTTTTCTGATCCCATGATGCTAATGTCCCCCCCCCCCTTACGCCGCCACTATGTAATGCAGTAATTAAATTACTTGATTGCGGTACCCTTTCAGGTTTTAAACGATGTCCTGGGTGAAATTGATACCGGAAATAAGCTCGACATTCGGGAGGAAGATCCAGAACAAACCGTAATTAGGATGTTGAACATGTTACGAGTTCTGAAATATAAACCGGAAGAAGACGACCCGTAATAATTTTCAGAAATACTTTTACATAATAATGCAAATATTTGACCAAAGGGATTTCTACGCGTATATTTTTAGCATTAAATAATTTCATACGATTTAAGTTCGCCTCAATTCTGGGTACCCTTCCTACCGGAAAGAAACTCGGCGAAATCTTTTATTTATGAGTTTTCCATACACACTTATTAATCATTGTTGACAAAATACTCTGTAAATAAATAGTCCTTCATTATTTTAAGTTCTTAATATTTGTAGGTCCACTTTGAGAACAGGCCTGGTTTCCGGTAGTTCGAAGGTTATCTACCCAATCTTGGCGTGGCTCCTGCCAAGAGTCGCAGACTTGCAAGTGAGAGCATATTTGGCCAAATTCTTGGTCAAGGTTGACATCCCGCAAGAAATTCGGGCGGACATTGATGTCGAAGAACTTTATCAACAGGTACATATTAATTTCCTCCCCCAATTATCCTACTTTCCCACTTGGTATATATTATAATAAGCCATTAAATATATGCATTTAGTATGAAGAGCGGATAGAACAATTCAAAATTACACATAAGCAACTCGAAGAAGTGAAACGAAAGGTAATCATATTATGCAATTCGCAAAAAACCTACATTTTTCAAATTTTCGTAATTAAGTTTCGTCAAAATTTTCGGACACGGTATGCAAAATATTCAGAAGAAATCCTACAATTTCAACTCCGTAAATTTTGATTAAACTCAAAAAATAGCGAAATAAGTTACGCAAATTAAAAAAATGTATTTTTTGCTAATTTGCAATTACTTATTTATTACATATCTCTGTAAAACTCATTCTGCAAAAAATATTTATTTGTTTTCCGGTTTTAGGGTTTCACAACTTCCGAAATCCGGAAAGACATTGACGCCATGGAACAAGAGCAAGAAAGCGTGTCCAGGAAAATTGAGAAATTGAAACAACAAGTATATTATTAATGCATACAATTTTTTCTACTGTTTCCGTAATTTGCATATTTCATATTATGTAAATATGCACAGGTGGAAGGGACGCCAAATATTGACCAGACGTTGGAAGTGGTGGGAGCATTTCGGAAAGAGAAGGAAAAATCGCGAGAGTTATCTCAACAGCACATCAGCCAAAACCAACTTTTGAACCAGGCCGAACAAAGAATTCAACGTTTGCAGCGACAGGTCAAAGAAATCCGGGCTGCAAACACGGGAGCAACGGCGGAAGGAATCCTCCAACGTTTGGAGGTACTTACCTTTGGTCACATAAGCTATCATTACCAGAGAGCGGTTATGAATTTATCTTAGTCATTTTACGAAAAATTCGTAAATCTTTTAGATATTTTTTTTCAAAAATACATACCTATACATGTTTCGTAAATATTTCAAAAATGCGAGACGATTTTTTTTGCTCAAACAAATTGGACCACAAAAAATCTAAAATATCAAGTTTGTTCAAAAATACAAATTTTTTGAAAATTCTATTTTTTCGTACATATTTTCTAAAAATATTTTGGCGTTTTTTTTAAATTAGTAAATGCATATTTCAGCCCTTCTTCGTAAGTACATATCCGCCCTCTAATAATCACCTACAAAATTGTAATGCCCAGTTAATTTTTTTAATTACACTTGAATTTTTTTTTATAAATCGATCATGATAATTCATGAATTTACATGAATTTTGATTTCTTTATTCCTTCAGCAAGACGTCGACGTGGCGAAGTACATCGTGAATGACAAATTACCCAAGGAAATAGAAATGCGGAAGAAAGATTTATTCATTTATGAAAGAGTTTTGAGCGACACGTCCCTCACCGCCCGGGATTTGGAGGACATCCGCGATAAGATTGACAAGGTCAAATCCGACATCAACGAAATGATCATGAAACGCATGATGAAGTCGGAGGACAACAATTTGGTCATGTTTCGCCAGCAAGCGGCCATCGTGGCGAACAAAAAGTCCTCCCTCGTCGAAAAGATAAATGAACAAAGGTCCGAATTGAACGGATTGAAGGAGGACGAGCAGGATAAGAAGCAACGCCTCGGGACCTTGCAGGGCGACACAATCGTCAAGGAAGACGACTTTAAGGAGTACGTTAAGAACTTGAGGATTAAAAGTACCAGGTACATACATATGCAAATATATCGCGTACATACATACATATGCAAATAGATATATCGCCTCCAAGATTATCGTAGGACTGGATTCATCACCAAAATCGCTGTAAAATGAACCCGTTTTTAATAATTTCTCAGCTCCGGAAACTTATTTTGAATTTCTGGACGACAAATTTATAGCCAGTATAAGTTTATTAATTGAATGGCGATGAGTTTTTAAGCCAGTTTTGATGAGTTCCAATTTTTCAAGTCTTCTTAAATTTGAAATCTCCTCCTTCAAAAAAGTGTCAAAATCTGAAGGGTATATTTTTTAAATTGGCAACTCCTTGCTCTACTATCGTCCAGAATTTTAAAATAAATTCCCAGAGCCGGAAAATTTTGACGGTGAGTCATCGAGTCCTACGTTAATGTCCTCATCGTCACATTCAACTTGATTCAACTGACAAATGTATCTATTTTCATTCGTAAAATTGTCCCCTTTTTACTATTTTTATAAACGGCTGTCTAACTAACCATTTATTCTTCATGACCAGGTATAAACAAATGAAGGGAGAGATAAGCTACTTGAAATCCGAGTCTGGCGTTCTGAGTAAAACTATTTTTATTCTTGAAGAACAACTAAAGAGTTCCGCAGTGGATGTCGTAAGTCGAAAAAAAATCTAAAGCACAGCCCCCCAAAGAATTATTTACTTTAAAACCAACCCCCTACTTTACAGTCCGCTTTGGAAGCACGCCTTGGAATTAAGGGGTTCACAAGTGTGCAAGGGAATTTGGAAAAAGTGTCCACCGATAAGGCCCGAGTGGATGAGAAGAAGTCACAAAATTTGCAACAAATGTCTTCAACCGTGCAAGAATTGCATGATCAAATTGCTGCAAAAAAGGTGGATCTTGCTCCTCTCGTTAAAAGTATACAAAATAGGCAATTACATACTTATGCAAAACAGTTATTAATTTACATATGGAGCCTAAGATAAAGTATCATTTATTACTCCTTAGATTTAAACAGTTTGCGACAACAAGCTCAAATTCTGGGGCATGAGCACGATACCACGAAACGACGGTATGACGGCATCGTGTCCTCAGTGGACTCCAGCCTGGGGTCCATTGTTCGTGTAAGTTGTCGTCAAAATTATATCTTGTACCGTTTTTAGCAGTGTTCCGTTTCTTGCAAGCTTGTTACATATATTTTTGCACTGGAAAGCAAGAAACGCGAGAAATGCGAGGTGCAAAAAACTGGGAGAAAGTGCAAAAATATGCGCCACCCAGCCACGCGCCGTATGAAGTATTTATAGCGACGGGGCGGCGTTTCTTGAGCCTTGCATTTCCTGCAGGTCAAAATATTTAGCTGCAAGAAAGCACTTTCTCCCCGTTATTTCTTATCGCAAATGGTTATCTGCTTTTACCCGAAACATGATCTGATTTTTTATTTCCTTGTGTATTTGATCATTAGGAAGTCGAATCCATGCGAAAACGCTATCAGGACGACCAACTACGATATTGCAAGCTGAAATCGGAAATATCAATTTTTAACGTCAATTTGAAACGCGTTCAAGACGAACTTAAAAACTATGCGGCTGCCGGAAGTAGTCACGATCGTCAAAAGTCGTACAAGTAAAAAATAAAATCCATTGCAAATATTCTAATTCCACATATTTATTCAATTAATCATGGTTTCAGAGAACAATTGACGGCCAAGGTGTCGGACCAAGAACGAGCCGTTAAAAATTTGAAGGGGGAGGAGAAAGAGATCGCGGAGAAACAAACGGAACGGATTCAACAGGCCGTCATGTGGAGGGATCTGGTCAAGTAAGTCTAGCTCGTGACCTTTGACCTGACCCATAATAATTAATTAAACATTTATATGATTTTCATACAATTCAGGGTTCTTCAACTCAAGAAACAACTCAGAGAAGGCATAATACAGGAAAAATAGTTTTTCGACATGTTCTGTGACCATGTTCTGTCTGACCAATGAAAAAGTTAATCTAATTAGCGTTTCAGTTTACATTTCAATTCACCATTAATATTACTTATTTATTAGTGTATTATCTGCATTTGCATAAGTTAACAATAAATGACAAATTAAACGATAGATATGTAAAATTTCTTGTCATTTTCTGCCCCTTCATGCAGCGTTAGGAAAAACCCAGGGTTTTAATCAGAAAGTAACGACCCACGGGTTTTAATGGGTTTTATTAAATATTAAGCAGTACACTCAATAAAAATTTTTCGCAATAACGTATGAGAAATGTTTTCAACTTTTAGAGTATAGTTTCAAGGTAAAACCCAATAAAACCCAGTTAAATAAAACCTAATAAAACCCAATAAAACCCAATAAAACCAAGTTAAAACCCAATAAAACCCAATAAGACCCAATACAACCAAGTTAAAACCCATAAAACCCAGTTAAGACCCAATAAAACCCAATAAAACCCAATAAAACCCAGTTGAATCGTAACGTTCAAACGTTGCACCCACGTTAAAATATACTTATGGCATAGCATCATCATCATATTATGCAAAATTGCAAATTGCACAGAGTTGCATATTCGCAAAAATTGAGATGCTGTAAATTCATAGCGGGTTCTGTTACTCTTCCTCTTCGTTTGCATGAAGTTCGCTCACGATTCATTATGTTGTCCACTATTTTTTTGAAATCGTATATTCTCATTTGATTTAAAGTAATTTAAACCTCTCCTAACACATACACAATTAAGATAACTTATTAAATTAAAGAGTTGAAGAGTACAATTTAAAATCATAAGAATTCCATTCTTTTCATTTCATTCATTCATTCGTAATTTTTGTGTTTTATTTATATTAACCAGACTGACACGTCACATCAGCTGCTGACTGAATTATATTTAATTTGTATAATTCTTTAAAACAGCAGTTATCTATCCATCTTTTTAAAAATATGAGTCAACCACAAGCATCCGGAAGTAGTGAAGGGAGAGAAAGGGGGGACAGAGCTCCGACGACGACGGCGGTCAAGGTCGACTTGTCCATGGTCAATAGAGGAATATGGTTGGTTAAGGTAATTAACCAAATAATTGGGTTTATTAAAAAGTTGTTCAAATTGAGGTCATCATTAATTAATGTTTAATGTTTACATAGGTCCCCAAATATTTGGCTGCGCGATGGGAAAAAATTCCAGGAGACGTGTATGTTGCATAATTATTGTCCTACATTTAATCAGGTGAAGTTGGCAATAATGAACTTATCAACTTTCAGGGAAGCTGGAAAACTCAAGATATATAAAACAGGGGCCGATGCCGCACCAAGAGTGACCTTAAGTCTCAGCGATGCCACAATGTGCCTTAAGGAACCGGGTGAAAACGACATTCCAAGAGAGCACTCGTTAATTGCTGGTCCCGTCGTTCATCAAACGTTGGCTGCGTTTGATCACGTTACTGGTAAATAAAATATGCATACCATTTACAGTTTAAACTAGTCAATTTTATGGTTCTCTAAATCCGTATATTTAATAAATTATGTACGCAGGAATTAGCGACGCTCTTGTTCAAGAACCCGATAAAGTTTCCATTTTGGGAAAAGTCCATCAAAAGCTGGAATGTCGTCCTCCTTCCGATGTCGGTTACATGTTAATGAAAAAGGAAGAAATTAGGAAGGCGTCACAACCCGTCAGATCTGTACAACAGTTGGATCGCGTAGTCAATAATTACAAACCAGTGGCTGATCATAAAAATAATGTACTTAAAAATACTTGTATTAAATGTGTTACTTTACTTAAAGTGCCTAAATTTCACATATATTTTTAAATTTTCAGATCGAATACGAGGAACGGAAGAAGGCCGAAGGGAAAAAGGCGAGGGAAGATAAAGATAAGGTGCTCGAAATGTTGTTTGCTGCTTTTGAAAAACATCAGTATTATAACGTCAAGGATTTAGTGAAGATTACTAATCAACCGATTGTAAGTCAATTAATTGGAATGTAGCCATAATTCGAATAGGACTCGATTACTTATCGCCAAAATGGTCAAAATCCGCACATTTTTAATCACTTCTCGCCCGTGGGAATTTAATTCTGGACGACAAATTTAGAGAGCAGGTTGTTGCAATTTTTTTAGAAATATACACTTCCGATTTTGACACTTTTTGAATGAGAGAAGATCTCAAGTTTTAAGAAGCCTTCAGAAAAATTGGAACTCGTCGAAACTAGCGTAAAAACCTCGCCTCCATTCTATTAATCAACTCACTGACTACAAATTTGTCTTCTAGAATTTTAAAATAAATTCCCAGAGCCGAGAAATGACTAAAAACGTGTTGATTTTAGCAATATTGGTGACGAATCCTACGTTGAACTAATCCATAATTATAATATTGATTATTAATCGCTTATGTGCTATTTAATTGCAGGGCTACCTCAAAGAAGTCTTAAAAGAAGTTTGCAACTACTGCGTAAAGAATCCTCACAAGAATATGTGGGAACTAAAACCTGAATACAGGCATTACAAGCAAGATGTCGATGACTGATTTATGATCGCCTTAAATTTATCGTTCTCTTTAAATAGCTTACGAATCATTATAAACGAAAAGTATAAGCGCATTGAATCACGCAATTATTTGTATGTATATGACCAAAACGAACTTTAAACCATTTGTGCTACTAAATTCCGTCTGTAATCAAATACTTATCAGTACGTGAATTTGTCAATGATAATAATAATAATTTCGACGCTACACGTTTAAAAAATCCATCATTTATTTTAGTGACTAAAATTGATATTGATTTAATATACCAAAAATACTTGTAACGTACAAATCTAGAATAGCAATAGCCAAAAAAGGACAATCTTCGCCCACGTGGGCACGGAAGCCGTGGGGACATTAGTATTCTACGATAAGGGAGGGAGGGGTTTATATAAGATGGGCAGATGATGGGGACATTGTCCCACGGCCACTGCATTCGCCCAACTAGTAGGGTAATATCGGTACACATTGCGGTAATATCATACCAATCAATCACTTACTAAACAAGTGACTTAATTACTTTAAAATCTTAAATATATTACACTAGAACAATCGTTTTTTACTCTCCGCCGTTGTATTTATCATGGATCTTTCCGTCGTGGGAAAGTCTGTGTATTTCACCACTGAAACGCCCGAAAATGCGTTTGACGACTTTTTCTCATCCTTTTTCAAGAAATGGACCACGACTGCAAGAACGGAAGGAAAGTCGAGGGTGTCTTCCTCTATGAAAATTATACATCATTTGCATAAATAATTCATAACACTACTCATGATAAGTGTCTTATCTTACGATATTTGACATCGAACTGGTTCGTCTTCTTGTTATGTTCGGTATACTTTGTAACTTTAATGATTAATTTATGAGGTAAAATTGATTGAAGATCATCCAATTAAAAATATTTTTGTAACTTAACTTGACGTTTCCTCACCTTTAACATGTTGCAGTAAAAGTTGTTCCAGTTCCGCATCGTAATCCAGGAAATATTCGGGAAGGACGGATTGAAGAATTTTTTTCATGTCGGATTTGTGAATCGCGGCTGCATTGTTCTTGTCCTGTTTTTTGAATAGTTTCTGCACAACTGCATAAAAATAGAAAGGCAGTCGAGATATCAATTACAAATAAACACTTTCATGCTTAATATGGATAGAAAAGCAGGAGAAAGTCTTCAAGAGGAAAGGGAGGCAGTGTGAGACTATGTTCTTCATATATAACAAAATACTCTGCCAATAATTGCGAAACCTTTAAAACGGTGGTGGCACTGGGCATGAAAATCAGAAAACCGCAATATCCCCCCTCTCCCCCCCCACGGTAATTTGCATGGGTATAGTGCCATCACTGTAAATAAGTAGAAAAATCAGGAGAAAGTGTTGAAGACAAATATGAGGCAATGTGAGACTTGGCTTTCTAAATCCGTCGCAAAATACTCTGCAAATTGATTCAACGGTGGTGGCAGAAAACCGTGTTATCCCCCTTTACCCCAAGGGTAATATGCATCGTTATAGTGCCACCACCACCACTGTAAATAAATGCAAAAACAGGAGAAAGTGTTCAAAATGAAAGAGAGGCAATTTGAGACTTGGTCTTCTTTCATCATAAAACACTCGGAAAAATTCACCAACACCCCACGGAGGTGGCAGAAAACCAGAAAACCGTATTATCACCCCCCCTCCCCCAAAGGTAATAGATATGGCTAAGTGCAACCACTGCTTGACTTGGCTATCAGTTGAATAACACCAATAACTTATCTGTACTTACAATCTTTCGATTCCCGTTTCAATTTGTCCTCCTAAAAATATTCAAATATTTAAAAAATTTCCAAAATTCTTTTCCTATCTCGACGCGAAAGTCCTCACCATTTCGACCTTTTATTTTAATTGAGATAAGTATGGGAATGATGCCTTGTGAAAGCGAGTCGTAAAATCCACGTTGTCTTATTGATGCCTTGTGAAAGCAAATCCTCAAGTCTTATATTCCCCCCTTTACTTAACAAATACTTGTTTATTGATACTCCACGACCCTTCTTTAAATCGAAACAAACGCATATTCTTCCCGTGTGAACCTATATATACGGCAGACCTTATAATTTTTCCGTCGGACCCCCGACGACGAGAGGCCAATTATTGTCTTGTACTGCGGCGCACATGATCTCATACCTATGCATGGATATGCAAATATGTACATAGCCTCGAAGAATCTCATCTCTTTATCACCGTATTGGAATCCCATCTTGGTCGGTGAAATACAATGATTTACAATCTATCAGGCACCATCGTTGTTAGCACATTCGTCGCATACCGTTTATATTTATTGGTCGGTTATCTCTGCCAAGTAGATAATTAAAATGTGGATAAGACTCCTCGGAGCATGACGGCGACAATGTCAAATCAGCCCCTACCAAAAAGTGATATTCTCATTTCTTCTTAGGTACATGGATATGTAGAAGAAAGTTTAATGAAACTTGATATATATTCATATCGTTGTGCTATTCTCGGGTTGGGTATTGGATAACTACATATCTTTTTCATACCCATTGATCAAAATGCTCTCCGATTTTCTTTCTGGCATAACATGGTCGACGGATGCGGACAAGAAGGGGGGATTTTTTGTAAACCAACCTGTCCATATTAACTTACACTTTGTTTACAATACAATTCATTCATGCCAACAGGATACTTCTTTTTAGAGAACCGTTTATTACACACTGATCCCTAAGAATTATTGAAGAGATAAAGTTCAATATAGAACACGCCAAGAAATAAATATGTAAAAGCTTAATTTAGCTTAATTTAGCGACCATGAGTGAAAGTTTTGCTCCAAAGATTAGAGGTTTCATATTAAAGCGTCCTTATCACTAAAATGCTTCCATGATTTAATGGAAATCTTAAAAACCAATCATTCTCTGACATTTAAAAAATGCCATTTTCCAACGACATAGTCAATCCTGTGTAGGAGGAAATAGCAATTTTCCGTCAAGGTTTCTGAGGTATTTAATCTGGATCAAAAACCATGCAATACACCATTTTGCACGCTTTTTTTTGTTCGAGATATGAATAGATTAAGATATTTGAATCATAATTTAAGCAAAAATCTTCCAAGTGATGACTTTCAGAAAAATTGACTCCATTTGCTTGTAATCACCTTCCTTATGTACATACATATTTTGTCCTAGATCCAAAAATGCTCACGTTCCGTTCCCTATTCAAGTGTGTAATGTAAACGTACTCGTGGATGTAGAACATTAATCTGAACAAAAAAACGGACGACCTCCATGAAATGCTGGTATTTATTAAATTAGTAACTTCTTCTTTAGCTGGCACAAACAATCAGGCCAATGCATGCATGTACACCACTAACTAACAACGCCTCTCTCTTGTCACTGATGAGGCTGCTTTATCTCAATGAGTAATTACATCCCATTCCAAACAAAGAAACGGTCCAATTCATTAGTTGAATTTATTCATCGGATCAGATTCATTTGTGCGAATTTCTGTTTTCGAGTTTTTTTTCTCGAAGACTTATTTTCCCAAATAACTTGAACGTATTTTGATATATATATTTTTTACATTGTCATAAAAAAGATTGAAAAAGCTTCTGTTGGGCAATTATGCATATTAATGAATGCATGGTCTGGACTTCTCCGAGACATGTTAACTTACGTCTGGCCGCTTATTACCTGCAGTGGCCGCGGAAGCGTGGGGATATTGCCCCTTGTCCCCACGATTATTCGATGTCCCCCCATCGTCTGCCCATGTTAGGTACACCCTTCCCACTCCAATCCCACATTGTTAATGTCCCCACATGTCCAACGGCTTCCGTGGCCCTCTCCTATCCTACAAATTGTAGGCTACAATGTTAATGTCCCCACAGCTTCCGCGGCCACTGATTACTGACAAGTTGACAATAATGTGCAAGCAGCCAATGCTTCTCATTTTCATTATTCCTTACTTGCAACTTGCAATCAGACCTTAGTAGACGCCGTTCTTTGATGCTTGACACTTTAATAAGTCTCAATTAGTAGAAGGACAATATTGTATTTTTATTATTCCATTCCACTCTACATTCTTGTAGTGTTACACCAGTCGGAAACTATTTTTAGCAGTGTAACATCATCCCTAAAAAGAACATGGGGTAGCATTTTTATTAAATAAGCATGTGCTATTGTCTGTTACATGAAGAAACATGTCGGCCTGCAAGATTGTAAAAAAATGCATTTTTCACTCGATGAATAAATTTTCTTATAAGTTTTAATTTAACTTGGACCAAAATATTTGCTGAATTTAGATCCGAGATACACATGCATAGACCACACACATGCATATTGCATATCCCCGAGGAATCAATGATTCTATAAAAAGATGCTTGTTTTCCTTCTAACCAAATATCGATAAAAAAATTGGAGAGGATTCAGTGTTTCGGGTGCAAGTAACCATTTGCAAGAAATAACGGGGAGAAAGTGCTTTCTTGCAGCTAAATATTTTGACCTGCAAGAAATTCAAGGTGCAAGAAACTATACATTCCGCCACTTTAGTTCACACGGCACGTGGCTTGATGGGCATATTTACCACTTTCTCCCAGTTTCTTGCATTTCTTACGTGGCTTATTTCTTTACGTTTCTTACGTTTCTTATTTCTTTCTTGCTTCTCGGAGCAAGAAATGTAGAAAACCCGGAAGAATGTGGTTTCTTGCAGCAATTCTGACCTAAAAGAAATGCAAGACGCGAGAAACTACGCCAAGCCGTCATACGGCGCTTCTCACTTTCTCCCACTTTCTTGCACCTCGCATTTCTTAATTTCCAATGCAAGAAATGTACCAAACTCGAAACACTGAGAGGATTACCCCACAGAGAAAAATGCCTGCTTTAAAAAGACCACAGCTGTGTTTCGAATAAATCTCGCCATTACAAGGAGGCAGAGTGGTTAATTAAGTGTGAGAGAATTAATTGTGTCGCATGACATGGTCGTCGTCGTCGTCGCAGACTTTGTCTATCATGATTCATGACTCCCGAATAATTGTACCACACGACGGCGCGTGCGTGACATTGACATTCCCCGATCTCCTGCCCCCGGAGTAATGCGTCTTATTAAGCAGTTAAAAATAGCAATGCATCCATATTTAAAAAAACAATCCAAATATTCAATTACTGCATGAAATCTCTTCCTTTATTTATTGATGTACAGTAAGTAATAATATTATCCGCCCAGAGGTGCAACGGTGGTCGTAGTTGCAGCCGTGGTCGTCCTCTTCCAGGGGAATATCATTTCGAAAAAGTTGTTGAAAAAGAATCTTTCCTCAGCCGCCATGTGAGGCATTTCCACCTAAAATTTCGAAATAATGATCAAACTAAAATGTTAATTAAGAAATGCAAATTATTAAACTTATTCTGACTTGTTCGTCCTGGTGGAAGTGATGATGCCGATCCTGCGGCGCTGCCACGGTCACTGCCAAAATTGCAGCGACTAAAATCGCAATGCAGATTAGTTTTCCCATTTAAGCTCTGCTAATTTTTAAACGTTCAATGTTTAACAGTTTAAGCTATTTTCAAGAGCAAAGTTGACCAATATTGAGAATAATTGTGTCAGGTAACACACTTTTATTTATACGCTAGACATGCAAGGTCACCCCAAACGCAGGTCTGGTCATGAATTTATTCCAGACAAAAAATGCATTGCAATGCAAATCTGCTATGAAATATTTTTCTCCTTTAATCAATTCAGCAACCTTGAAATGATTGTGTTGAGGGAAATATTTCTCAGAAATGAGCAGCATTCCGGGTTAATTGATTATTTAAAAAAATACGAAACACATGTACGTACATATTTTATTTAGCATCCTTTTCTCATGTAAAATTAGCCTGAACCGTGCAATCGCAATGTATTAATTATTATTTAAATTGGGTAAAAATCTGTGGCGTCTGGTTACAAAAATTCACTAATCATGGTAAATAGATTGAGAGGTACACAAATAAAATCACGAATGTGCATACTATTTACCTACATTCACTCTTATGAAACCGGTATTAAGGTGGTATAGTATGCGGGTTTTGAGTTTGAATTGTTGCGTCTCAACTTTCCCTTCTTCCATATATTCTAATGGCGATTTTGAAACCTGATCATCTCCGTGAGTTTTTTATAATATGAAGGTTTTAATGCACCTAAAAATCGATAATTTTTAGGCTTACAAAGTTGCGCTGGTCTGATCTTTATGTTTTTCTTCCATGAGAAAATATTTAAGTTTTACTGATTATTTTTCGTCTATTTTATGTGTATTTTCTCATGGAAGAAAAACATAAAGATCAGACCAGCGCAACTTTGTAAACCTAAAAATTATCGATTTTTAGGTGCATTAAGATTTTCATATTGTAAAAAACTCACGGAGATGATCAGGTTTCAAAATCGCCATTTGAATATATGGAAGAAGGGAAAGTTGAGACGCAACAATTCAAACTCAAAACCCGCATACTATACCACCTTAATTCATTTCCTGCCCTGAGTACGTATATGTCTCTACCAGCATGGTAATAACGAGCATTATCGTTTAGTAATGTTATTGAAAACTTTACCACTAAACTTTTTGAAGTATTTTTAAAATTTAAAATTCTCAATGAGCATGGGAGTTTGATGTTGGATATAAGCGAACAACTATCTGGGAGTAAAATGGTGAAAGAAATTTCAAAATCAGAGTAAAATTGGATATTTGGCGTGGATTTGAATGAGTGAAAGCACAGCTTTCTCCGGTTTTTTATACGTATGTACATATGTATGTATGCGACTACCGGATTTTTTGCAGGGTGTACATTTATGTACAGATGCACATTAGTTTGTTTCTTTTTGTGCATGATAAATTGCGAAGCGATGAGGATGTATGTAGTAATTTTAGTTATCTATGATATGATATGATTATCAGTCAGCGGTCAAACATAGTTGTATGATTAATTTCATTGATTACCAATTATAATAATGATCCACAAACGACATTACTTCTTTTACCGAGAGTGTGATTGAGGTTCCATATATTTACATAATTCATTTACGCTAAAATGTTGAAATTTCAGCAAATAATTTTGAGTGCAATTATTGCCATAACTTGTGTGTCCACTGAACAAGTACCAATCACCCCGAGACTGGACCTAATTAATGGAAATGCTGACAATAACACGTACACAATATTTACCAAGCAAAAGGGGGACCCTGATCCAGTCTTTGTGTACATGTTGACCCATACGACACACATCTGCAGTATTGGCATGTAAGGAAAATTTTGAAAATACATACAAGTATTTAAGGTCTCCCAGCGTATGCGTATGCTCTCCGATTTTTGGGCAAATTAGTGTGAATCGATCGCAAAAATTAGTATGAAATTTGCAAAAGACGCGATCTCCCAATGGGCACGTTTGGCAGAGATACATATTTGCATACGAAGAGGAAAAAACACTCGGTGGAAAGTGTAAGATTTGTCAACTTTACGGATCGTTTTCTCCTCTTCGGATGCAAATATCTCCGCCAAACGTATCCATTAGCAGATCGCATCCTTTGCAAATTTCATACTAATCAAATCCACGATCGATTCTCACTAATTTCCCCAAAATCTGAGAGCATCCGCTGTGCGATTTCCATCAATATCATGCTAATAATTCCTATTTAATTAGTTGGAGATTTTACCCCATGCCAAACTTTGCAAGAGACCCGGATCAACCTGCCCTGACCGGATATCAAATCGGAACATCCGAGAAATACGAATGTACCTCTGTTACCCCCGAATTCGCTGGTCTCCTCGCAGCCACCAAGTCCTACAGATATCTCGGGAGTTCAAACCTCAACCAATTCTCCGTCTCCGTTTATTCCGAACCCAATGCGTTCGGTCGAGAACAAGTTTTTGACAATTTGGCCGAGTTCTCTTTAATTACCAGCCTCCCCTTCGGCGTCAATTCCTACCTCGTGACAGGAATCACTGATCCCGACGCTGCGAACCAACTCTGGCTCGCCCCCGTGGTCAAGGTCTACTGGGAAACCGATGGTCGACCCGGAAACCAAATTTGTCTCGCGGTCGTGAATCAAAATGTGGGTGGGGGTGGGACAGCAAAAACATTTTATCGCAAGACGCTGACACCCACGGGGAACGAGCCGAATGAAATTGTCCACTTTGGGTCGTTCCTGTTCTTGAGATATCCAACAGCTACGGGGCCCGGTTTTTGTGATGAAGATATCCAAGATAATATGTTGGGCATGATTCGATTACCGCACCCACCTGCAGAACACGTCAAGTATAATAGGACCGAGAAATATATCGTCCAGGAATCATAATGATGATGACATGCCATTTAAAATTTGCATAAATTTGTAAATACTTATTTAAATGTAGATTATGTATTTAAGTTATTTGAAAAAGTTGACATATTAAGATTTTGAAATCTATGCAATTAAGAAAGATGAAAGATAGCAATTCGTTAAATAAATCAAGTTATTATCCTTATAAAACGCTTACAAAAATGGTTAATTAATTTTTTAAATGTGCTTGTACGGTACAATTTGAGGACGTTTTTACTTTATTTTATTGATAATTGCGAGCTTTCGAACGATTTAGACTGCTAACGAATAATCGGTGATTTCATGTAACCTGAATTAAACGAAATTGCGTAATCAGATCAGGCCTACATTCTTTGCATGATTAGAAATTCACAAATATGCATGATATCACGTATACTACTTATCTACCTGTATTTATCTTTAATCAATGCATATGTACTTATCACACACTACTTTCATCTCCTCATTCATCAACAATTATCGAATTATCTAAAGCTAAATTAAACCGTCAACATTTCATTTTTCGATATCCATTCCCGAGCAATATTTGTAACGTCCTGTTCAAAATCTAATAAAATGCATCTCTTAAAATTACTTTGGTTGACTATTTTCACCCTGTATGGAACAATTGCCTTGGCCGAAGGTGAAAAATTGGCAGGACTCGTGATATACAACGCGACTCATAGCTTATCAGTCGTGAACCTTGAAGAAGCGGAAACCAATCGAGAACTTGTCGATATCTTGAAAACGGCCAACATGGCGTGCAGCGTAGGGATGTACGTAAGCATGAACACAAAGACAATTACCGAAGGGCGGATATGTATTTATTATTTCCAACTTTTCCATTTTATGACGCCCGAATTTGTGGGTGTGTCTCCCAACTTTACAAAAAATCAAAATATTTTTACGTATAACACATTTCTAGATATTTATAAATATTCATTTCCGCTATTAATACTTGACAAATACGGAAATATTTTACATATTTTTTCGAAAACACATATATTTTGTAAAACATTTCAACGATGTGAAACGACGAAATTGATTTCTTCAAAGAAATTGGACAAAAAAATTCATAGTATTAAATTCAAAAGTATTTGCAAACATTTTTATGCCAAAATTTTTATTTTTGTGGTTTTGTTTGCACACATATTTCGTAAATATTTTGGCCATTTTTCCTATTAAATAGTAAATATACACATATTTCAGCTATTTTTTCATAAATACATATCCGCCATCCGTTCTGTATACATTCTCACATTCGTAATAGAAACTTTCCATAATTCATTTTCAGCTGGAGATTTTACCCCAGACCTAACTTTTCCTACGACCTCGGAACCTTCCCCGGTTATCAAATCGGCTTCGACGAAAACTACCGATGTTTCAACATCGCACCGACCAATGGAGATATCGCCAACATGTTATCGTACCGCTCACTCGGACCAATTTCCACAGACAACAGGTTAGACTTGGATCAACAATCGATAACCTTGTACTCTGGAAAGTACACTTCCGGACAACGTTTGACCTTCACGTCCAGCTCCCAATATCCCATTATCAACATTACAAGTACAATTCGTGCCCAATCTTTCGTCATCACGGGTCAACACGACGCCAATCCTACCACCCCGGAAGACTCTCGGGCCCCCGTCTTTAACATTTTTTGGGACTTGAACGCCAGCGTGGACGGGAGGTCGTTGTGCGTCCAGTTAATTAATCTCAATCCACAAGAGGAACGATTCAAAATGCACATTCAAAACGAAATGGAGTACATTGATAAGGACGGGATAACAACGCAAATTCAGTTTAATGCCCTCAGATATTACACGTACCAAGTTGTCCTTGCAAACCCTAGACTTTGTGCTGAAAGATTTGACGTGACAGCATCAACAATTACCAAACTCTCTTCATTTACTGAAATTCTGTAATCAATCAAAGCCATAAGTTATTTATCAATGGCTTGATGGGGAAAATACTTTTAATTGTCAAATCAAAATGCACGATTTTGAGCTTTGTTCTTCACAGGGTCTGCATTTCCGGGGATGTGACACCCACAAAAAGGCGAAAATCTGCATCGAGAAGACAACGAAGATGCATGGTTTGCTAAGAAATTATTAGCTTTTTATTATCGCACTGTCAAAATACATTGTTCTTTTCGATTTTACAAGAATAATGCATTTTGACAGCGATAAAAAGCTAATTTCTTCACAAAACGTAAGACTTTCATGTAGATTTTCGTTTTTTTTGTGGGGGTGTAACACCCCCGGAAATCCAAAGCTTGCAAAGAAAATGGAGCTTAAAATACTGTATTTTGACAAATGACAGTATTTTGCCCATAACACTCAACAACTTCAACTTCGTCTTATCAAAGTTTTAATAAAGCAAATATATAACTATATATATATTCTATAATTTATCAGCGTTCGTTAATTAATACCAATCATAATTAAAGTTTAAAATAAAAATTATCCTTAGAACGTTCAAGTTCATCAATGAGAAAATTGAGACGCGTGGGAATTTGGTTCCCACACGACGATTGATACACACTCCACACAAATCAATCATTCCTTTCTTCTCGCGTTCTTATCTTTCCTAATAAAGTAAACATCACGGACAATTAGTTGCCGAAACACATCCCAATTTTTGTGTTTACTACAATTTCAAAATTTTTGTAACAAAAATAATCCTTGAAAACCAATCAATAAAACTCCCATTTTGTTTTGTAAATAAATTTATGTACCTAAATAATGAGGCTTCTTTCATAATAAAGAAAAAACGCACGTTTTTACTTGGTTTTTAAAAAAAGTTACTGTTCTGACATAATTTACATAATTCTGGTTGGTCCGGAATTTTGGGACTACTAAAAAACCACCAACTATAACAAATATTAAGAATTACCCAACAAACTACCAAAAATGGATAGTATGATGATCCAAAAGGATTTTATACTAGCCCCAGGAGAAGAATATGTGCAATGCCCGTATAATTTCGCACACATTGTGACGTAAGTACATACCTAATTTCTAATTAATTATTAAATACTTGTTTTAAACAGTATATCATAAACCAAACCAGTTGTTTAATATACGATACTTCGTGGAGCGATCTGACCATGAAGAGTTGATAATATAGTTCCCTCTTTCTTTGATTATCTTTTCTAGAAACGCTAAATTTATCGTACACTTAACCAAGTGCAGGAGGGATTATGAAAAGGAACGTGAAAAAGCTGGCAAACGGGTGAAAATGCTAGCCTGTCGGTTTAACGATACCCACATCGTAATTGCCCCCGAAATTAAATTTCACGAAGAAAGGTGTAAGGACAGATTCAACGTGGTGGAAACCGTACGATATCACACGAGTGGTATGGTTGGACATCATTTTTACAATTAAAATTCGTTACAAAATTTTACTAACATGAATTTCGTACATAAATTCCGCAGAGGAGTTTTCCCGTAAATTGGACGACGACGAACGCCGCCGTAAGGAAGATCGGAAGCGAAGTAAGAAGCATAAAAAACACAAGCATCACGATCGCGACAGAAAACGTCGAAGTAGCAGCAGCGGAAAAGAGCGTGGGAGTGAAAAGCATCGGAATGGTGACAACCCCAACAAGGACAAAGAAAAAGACCGTGGAGTGGAGCGAGTTCTTCGGATAGATATCTATCCAGAGCAAGATGACGCGAATAACATGAATAATAACGGCCGAGGGCCAGGAGGGGTATTTAGCAACGGACGGGGAGGAGGAAGAGGGGGAGGGGCATTCAATAACCGGGGAGGAGGAGGGGTATCTAATAACGGCTGGGGAGGAGGAGGAGGAGGAGTATTTAAAGATTATGGTCATGGTCACATTGATAACCGGTTTAGGGGAGAGAAACAGGAGGTGCGTCCACCGAAGAAACCAAAATATGATAAGCATGTCATGTATAACAACGGTGAGCATGAAAATATGTGGGGCGACGATGCAGAAGATTGGGAGGCTGAGGCGAAAGGGTAAATATGATAAATAATAGTGGACAAAATGCTCAAAAATACATTATTTTGAGCTCTGTTCTTCGAATGGTTTAGATTTCTAGGACTCACCTATAAAATGACCGGAATCTGAAGACAACAGTTTTACGAAAATAATGCTTTTATGAAGAAATTAACTTTTTATCGCTGTCAAAATACATTGTTTTCAAAATTGAAAAATATATGCTTTGCGACTGCGATAAAAAGTTAATTTCTTCATAAACCCTGTATTTTCTTAAGGCTGTTGTCTTCTCCATGTAGATTTTCGTCTTTTTGTGGGTGTTACACTCGTCGAAATCCAAACCCTGGGAAGAACTGAGCTCAAAATACTGCATTTTAACAAAGTGCTTTCTCCTGATAAACAACAGCATCACGTAAATTTCTTTCAAGTAAAACATTACTACAATTATTGCAGAAACGGGGCAGCTTACGAGCCACAGGAAGCAATTAAAGAGAAAGTAATTCTATATCAGCCAGGAGGACTTAGCAAAGCTGAACGGAAACAGTACAGAGCAGACCAAAAACTCCGAGCTGCACGCTTAGCAGATTCCGGACATGACTCGGAGGACAGCAACGATCGAGGAGATCCACATCCCGTCAGCAATAAGACAGATCCAGACTTTGCTGAAGCAACAACAAATTTTGAACAAGTGGATCCTGGCAACTTCTTTAAAACTTGTCCTCCACCCGAGGACGATTTCTGGAAGTCGCCACCACCTTCCGATTATGAACCAATTCCATCAAAAAGAAATAGTTTCAATTATGAACGAACTACATCAGCAAGAAATGATTTCAATTATGAACCAATTTCATCAAAACGAAATAGTTTCAATTATGAACCAATTACATCAAAACGAAATGATTTCAGATATGAACCGACTCCATCAGCAAGAAATGATTTCAAATATGAACCCAGCCCCCCAGCAAAGGTGGAGTTTAAATATGAACCACCCATTTTACTGAAAGTATCCCCTCCTCCAAAAATCGAAGAAGATTCAGAGAAAGAGGATGGAGAATGTACTGATGAAGAATTTGAGGCTTTTATTGGTGAAGATCCCTTCAGCTAAACTAAATATTTGTGGGGAAACTTTTGATACTTTGGATTTCAACTTGACTGTTCTTTGATTTATATTTCGTTACATTTACATATAGTTATTATAATATTTGTTTTTAAATCTCTTAAATATCTCTTTTTTTAAGTCTCGAGTCCCGACGTGAAAATTGGATTTTTTCTCGTATCGCAATCGCATCGCAAGAATTTGTTTAGGTTTCAGGGGAGTTAAAAATATGACCAAAATCAGATTCCACTTCTCTTGGATTTCGACATGTGTAAATCAATCCAACTATAATTTTAAAAGGAAACGTATCTTGTGACATGTCTCGTCTTTGAATGTGTTTGACATTTTAGACCCAAAATTGTAAAATTGCTGCGTTTATCTATTTCAGTTTTAACGATATTCGGGATAAAATTAATATTGGTAAATATCTGTATCTTAACTTTACTTTTGAAATATTTTTAAAAATGACTCCAATTCCTTAACGCAAATAGTGTAAAGTGTCCACAAAAAAATTAAATGTTGTTTTACTAAATGGTAAGATAATTTTAGTCCAAGTAGATATAGATATACATACAATTCGTGCTAAACTGGAATAAAAAGGGTATCGTCCCCCTACTCTAGAATCCAAGATTATTGGACGAGTTAGTCCCTTTATAATATTTAGAAAATAATGACATTTTCTTAAACTCATTTTCAACTGGTTTCAGAAAATGGATAATAACGTTACTTAAATTAGCATTTTAATTTTTAAAATTTCCATAACTTTATCTATCTCTTAAGTTGGGCCAAAACTTTCAGAGACAATAGGAAAAAAAATGTTTAGCAAACATTTTGGATTTCAAGATCGGCTCTGGAAATTTTAAAAGCGCAGTTTTGCTAATTGCCTAAAAATCGTGTCCGAATACTTTTATTCATCCGAATACTTTTATTTTTAAGATAAATCAATTTCATCAATTTTCATGACAACATGCAAAGAACGGAAAGTTTTCGAACGGTTACATTTTTGCGAAATTCTCACAAAATCTCATCTCAATTCGCATCCATAATTTTCTCTCCCCAATTGCACACCACCTATCGACCAACTCACTCTCTCGCAAAACTTCCATCAGTTGGTTTCATCCATAATATGTTTTGAGCCAATCCAGAATTAGACCACTCCAAAAACATTTGTTTTTTCTGGTCGTCGCCCTTCGTAATTCATAATATAGAACAAAAAATCAATTTGCAATTATGACCATTTTCGCTCGTGGGAGTGCCGATGTAAGTTTTCGAATCGCTTTTAATAACTTATTTTTTGTAACTGATGTACTAATTAATTTATTTGCATAATCAATAAACAAATTTAATATTTCTAGGTGGCAAAATGTTTCTCCCGGCGTTTGCACGCAAGCCGGACGATGTCCGCGGCCATGTCGAAATTTGACCCGGACGTTCCCCTCCCGTACAGCAAGCTGAGAAAGAATTTCGACGTTGTTAAAAAGCGACTCAACAAACCTATGACATTGGCTGAAAAGATTTTATATTCACATCTCGACGATGCGAAAGGTTGGGATTAATTAATTATTACTAATTAATTAATGACATCAATTAAATGGACGTATTCCTTTCAGGTCAAGACATCGAACGTGGCGTGTCTTACTTGAGGTTGCGACCGGACCGAGTGGCTATGCAAGATGGTAATTAATATTTCCTTAATTAATTATATGCAAATGTAGATAAATTATTCAACATCACATTTTCAGCCACCGCTCAAATGGCCATGTTGCAGTTTATTTCGTCCGGCCTTCCCAAAGTCGCCGTCCCCTCCACCATTCACTGTGATCATTTAATCGAGGCGAAAGAAGGAGGGACGAAGGATTTGGCCAGGGCGATATCAACGAATAAAGAGGTTTACGATTTCTTGGCGTCGGCCGGTGCGAAATACGGGGTCGGATTTTGGAAACCTGGAAGTGGAATCATTCATCAAATCATTTTAGAAAATTACGCCTTTCCAGGATTACTTATGATTGGTAAGGAAGTTATTATTAACTACAAGTAATTTTCCATTATCTCTTTCATTCATGCATGCATTCAGCCTCATCATGATGAGTCATCATCCCATTATATTTACATTTAAATGAATGATTTGTTATGGTTTTATTTTCATGATAACTAAAGGTAAAGGTCTTATGTCAGGGTACATCTGAGATACTACTGCCTCCACACGTATATTGTGGGTACAGAGTTCTCGATCATTGTGCTAAGTAGCAGACTTTATACTGTATTATTTATCATTTTGGCCTCCTTCCAAAATGGTTTTGTAACAAAACTGTTTCATGCATACGCTCGATTATATTACGTAACGTAAGGTTAACATTGATTTCAAACGTCACGTGACAGAGTATAAAAGTCGTGAATGTAATGTGATCAGGAATAAATGAACCTTTCCTAATATTGTATATACTAATATCAAAATTATGCTTTTCCCCTTAGGTACTGATTCCCACACCCCCAACGGAGGTGGACTCGGAGGTCTCTGCATTGGCGTGGGCGGCGCTGATGCCGTCGATGTGATGGCTGACATCCCGTGGGAGTTGAAATGCCCAAAAGTTATTGGGGTCAACCTAACGGGAGCCCTGTCAGGATGGACCTCGCCCAAGGACGTCATTCTTAAAGTTGCCGGTATTTTGACCGTGAAGGGAGGCACTGGAGCTATCGTGGAGTATTTTGGGCCTGGAGTTGAATCAATTAGCTGCACTGGAATGGCCACAATTTGCAATATGGGTGCCGAGATTGGAGCTACCACCTCCGTTTTCCCGTATGGTGGAAGGATGAAGAAGTATTTGGAAGCTACAGGTGAATTTCTTGCAAAATCACAAATTTTCACCTACTTTCGTCCCGCATATATTTAAACTCACAATGGAGGTCTCTCAACGTGTGCTCTCTGATTCTGACCAAATTAGAGTCAATTAATCGCAAATTTAGCTAATTTGAAATTGGCAAAAGACATTACTCACATTTAGCAGAGATATTTGCATCCAAATAGGAGAAAACGCGCAGTAATTGGAAAGTGTAAAATTTGTTAACTTTAGGACGCATTTTCGTCTCTTCGATGCAAATATCTCTGCCAAACGTGCCCATTGGGAGATCGTATCTTTCGCAAATTTCATACTACTTAAATTTGTGATCGATTCACACTATTTTGCCCAAAATCGGAGAGCATTCGCTGGAATACCTTCATTCTCAATTAAATATGCCACTTCTATAATATAATACAAATGATATCGCATTTTTTAGGACGTCGCGAGGTGGCTGCCGAAGCAGATAAAAACCAAGACATTCTAATCCCTGATAAAGGAGCTAATTATGACCGACTCGTCGAAATCAATCTCAGCGAACTGGAGCCACATGTAAACGGGCCTTTTACACCCGATTTGGCTCACCCGATTAGTCGTTTAGGAGAAAAGTTAGTCAAATTCATGTGAAAATATGAATTATAATTCTTACTTAAAATATAAACCTTTTTGTCCACAGCGCAAAAAAAGCTGGCTGGCCTATGGACATTAAAGTTAGTCTGATTGGAAGTTGTACAAACTCTTCTTACGAGGACATGGGGCGTGTCGCTTCTATTGCGAAAGAGGCCATGAAATACGGACTTAAGGTACAGTCAGCCATGCAAATTAGTGAATGAAGATGCAGCAAGTTAAAAATAAGGCTTCTAATAATATCACAATGTTTTCAGTCCAAAACTGAATTCCATGTGACACCCGGGTCTGAGCAAATCCGAGCAACCATCGAACGCGACGGAATTGCTCAAACTTTAAGGTAAGTGGATTTAAATAATTAGATTAATTGGGGAGATTATTAGATTAATTAATTATTAACTATTACAGAGAATTCGGTGGCACAGTTCTTGCCAATGCTTGCGGTCCATGTATTGGACAGTGGGCTCGACATGACGTGAAGAAGGGAGAAAAGAACACCATTGTCAGCTCGTACAACCGAAATTTCACTGGACGCAATGACGCAAATCCGGCTACGCATGCTTTCGTCACTTCCCCCGAATTGGTGGCAGCTCTCGGTAAGTTCTAATTAAGATTAAGAAAAATCCATTTATAAAGCCTATAAAGAAGACAAAGTTAACATTGGACTCAGTGATTCATCACCAAAATCGTCAAAATCTACACATTTTTAATCATTTCTCGGCTTTGGGAATTTATTTTAAAATTCTGGACGACAAAATAGGCAGTAGTTCGATTAATAGAATGGAGGTGAGGTTTTTAAATTAGGATAATCCAGTTTCGATAATCCAGTTTTTCTGAAGACTTCTTAAACTTGAGATTTTCAAAATCTGGTATATTTTTTTTAATTGGCAATAACCTCTGCAATTTTGTTGTCCACAATTTCTAAATCAATTCCTACTCTTAGAGCTTACAAATTATCTAAAATGAGCTGATTTTAACTAACAAAATCATTTCATATTTCAGCTCTCGCTGGAACGCTAGACTTTGATCCAAGAACGCAAAGTTTGACCACTGCTGATGGGAAGAAGGTAAAATTATCGGAGCCGCATGCCGACGAGCTTCCAGCCAGGGGATTCGACCCGGGTCAGGACACGTACCAAGCTCCTCCCGCGTCTGGTGGAAATCTTAAGGTTGTCGTTGACCCAAAATCGGATCGTTTGCAACTCCTGGACCCTTTCGCCAAATGGGACGGGAAGGACTTGGAAGACCTCTTGGTATTGATCAAAATTAAGGGAAAGTGCACCACAGATCACATTTCCGCAGCTGGCCCATGGCTAAAATACAGAGGACATTTGGATAATATTTCTAACAACATGTTTATTGGGTGAGTACTTACTTGCTAAAGGATGAAGTGAAACCACGGTATTCCGACCCCGGGTTTTACAGGGTTGGGGTTTTACTGGGTTTTACTGGGTTATAAATTAATAAAACCCAGTGGGTTTTACTCAGGTTTTACTAGGTTTTACTGGTTTTACTGAGGTTTTACTGAGGTTTTACTAGGTTTTACTAGGTTTTACTGGTTTTACTGAGGTTTTACTCAGGTTTTACTAGGTTTTACTGGTTTTACTGAGGTTTTACTGAGGTTTTACTAGGTTTTACTGAGGTTTTACTGGTTTTACTGGGGTTTTACTATGTTTTACTGAGGTTTTACTGGTTTTACTGGGTTTTACTCGGGTCTTACTAGGTTTTATCTAAAATTCAAATAAATTCAAATTCGCACCCCTCGTTTGAGGAAAATAAGATTTTGTAGAGAATGTACGGATGGGTTTCACCCTTTTGCTACATTTCGTTTGCAACGGTTTATTAGTAGTGGACAAAAATCATAAACATATTCATTCAATAAACGCCTCCTAAATGAATCATATTAATTTCTGCAGGGCCATCAATATTGAGAACGACACCGCCAATAAAATTAAGAATGTCCTGAACGGAGAATGGGGGGGAGTTCCGGATGTTGCAAGACAGTACAAAAGTGAGTATTCTGATAGCCTTGAGAACAACCCATATTATGCATTCACATATTAATCTATCTTTCAATTCCAGGCCAAGGAAAAGGTTGGGTAGCAGTTGGTGACGATAACTACGGGGAAGGAAGTAGTCGAGAACACGCAGCTTTGGAGCCAAGGTGATAATATCCGGTATCAATTAATCTCGTCATAGACGATTGACTAATTATTATTTTTACAGACATCTTGGAGCCCGTGCCATCATTGTTAAGAGTTTCGCTCGAATCCACGAAACTAACCTGAAGAAACAAGGTCTTCTTCCATTGACCTTTGCCACCCCAAGTGGTACGATATTATAGAAGATGTTATTAAATGGTTTTGTAGTATTTTATGAATCATTTTATTTACATATTTTCTTCTTTTCCTTTCCCTCAGACTACGACAAGATTCAACCCGGGGATAAAATTAGCCTGAAAGGTTTGGCTCAATTAGCTCCGGTAAGAATTTTATTTTAATACCAGATTTTATTTATTCCTATGCTATTTCTAATTAATAACTTTTATACATTCATTCTTAAAGGGCAAGCAAGTTGACTGCGTAATCAAGCACGGGAACGGAAAGACGACCCCGATTAAGTTGAACCATTCTTTAAATCAAGGCCAAATCGAGTGGTTCAAGGCCGGCTCAGCCCTCAACTACATGAAACAAGCAAAGAAGTAAATTGCTGACAATAATATTACCTGATTCTTTTCTAAAATATGGAATTATGGTGATCAACTTGACTTGGCGTCACCACCACCGCGAAGAATTATTAGATAGTTTCATAGATAGACAATGTGCAATTTAGTACGTTTCTTGCCGCTTATTGTCGTCGTCATCTTAATATATCATTCATTATATTACGTAAGATACGTGTACCTTATCAGAATTTCTGTTTAGATGATAGAAGATGGTCCAAGAAACGATTTACAAATAGTTACAAACACACATGGGAATTGTTAACTGCAATTAGTGATACGGAAATATGGAATTATTATGTTCAGTCTCTAGTCTCGGCATAGAACAAAAAAAGACTATTAAAATACGTACGTTATAAAATAATTAAATAAATGCATCCATATTTATTTCATAAACATTCAAGGGGACTTTGCCCCCCAGAAATTCAGCAAAATCGTATTATCTTCATAAAAACCCCTCCTGTTCCTATCTCGCAATGCTAATGTCCCCACATGTCCCCCCCCCACACTTCCTCCGCCACTGGTCACAAATAACAACAACAATTTTGCAAATTATCGCGAAATCTAATTTGCATGCGAATTTAATACCACATTTTTTACCCAACTGCATTGTCGCACTTTGCCCCATTGCTCCACATTCTGCGTCATTTCAAACTAATAAATACCCAATTTTCTCTTTGCGCCTTTCCACTTCACAAAAGAAAGTTAATTTTTTGATTATCAAAAATTATCCAATTAAAAATAGCAATAAATAGTTCGGAAATCAATCCATATTAAAATCACCCTCTGATTTGTGGCTTATGTTCAATCTGAAGTGAAAAGTGAGGTCAAGACAAGAAATAATATAAATAAACTATTGTACAGTAACTTTATAATTATAATATCATATTATTAATTATCTAACTGACAAGTGAAAATGTTACGAAGTTGACGTTCTTCCCACTATCAGTCGAAACCTAGTGTGGGGGTTTTAAGCCGAAGAAATGACGGACATAGTCGCCAATGTGCTTAACTCTGTGAAAAACTTCTTTTCACAGCATTCGCCTTTCGGAAATCCAGCCGCCGCCGTTGTACCTCCCCGGGGGCAAGTGAACGGACGAGTGCACCGTCATCAGCTTGAATTTGGACAAGTTCCGAGACTTTTTTCTGTTTCGAGTGACGACAATTATTCTAGGAAACGTCCCTTCGAAAGAATAATCGAAGTTGAGCAAGAGTACGGACAAAATTAGTGTTATCTTTTATACAAATATTGTAATATTTAAATTATGTATCTCCTTATTTGCTACAGGATAGAACTAACTGACGACGAGGACGAATGCTCTCCCAATAATTCCCATTTTTCTCGTACTTCGACCCACGATTATTTCCCGAAACGATTCAAAAGTTGGGCTCATGATAATACGTTTGAGTTTTTTGATGAGATGCATAAGAAAACGAGGAGTGCCTGTCCGAACCCCAATATTCCCGGCGTAGAACGCCAGCCTTGGGAGTTTAACTTCCCCGAGCCCAAAAGCCAAACGGGCAACAAGACATCAGACATAACACCATCCAAGAATAAGACATTGAAACAGAATAATGTCGCTTCTTCTTCCTCATCTGCTCCTCCTCAACCTGGCGGTATGATAAATAAATACGTAATTGGCGCTAAATTATAGAGGTTAAAATAATTATATCTTCATTCAGATAAGCATCCGAATAATACATCTACGCCAGCCGGTATGCGTGAAAGTAAGACGAGGACTTCAGGAAATCACGTGGGTAGCAGTTTCTCTGGAAGTCATACTTCGGGAGCTAACAAGACTAATAAGGTGGTTATATTTCTGGAACACTTATCAACTTGGCAAAATTTAAATAATAATAATACGCCTTTATTATCCTCAATTATTAAATTAACGTAACGTCAAATATTTCAGGATGTGGAACTAATTACAATAATTGATGACGACACGATAGCAGTTGATCATCATCAAGCCTCATCCTCATCCCAATTTACTGCACGTTGCAACAATAAAAAGAAAGTTGATACTGTGTTACCGCCGAACACTACTTTGAAGAAATCCTTCATGTCACTATTATGTAATACAGGAAAAAAGGCAGTTGATCCGATTTCAAGCGTAAGTTGTACAATTAATAATATTAATTACTCACCATCTCAGCGTATGCTCTCAGATTTTTATTAACGAGTGTCAATCAATTGCAATTTTTTTGGAATTTGCAAAAAAAACGCGATCTCCCAGGTTTGGCAGAGAGATATTTGCATCCGATGAGGAGAAAACGCGCAGTAAATTTGGAAAGTGTAAAATTTGTCGACTTTAAGACACGTTTTCTCCTCTTCGGATGCAAATATCTCTGCTAAACGTGCCCATTGGGAGATGGTGTCTTTTGCAAATTTCATTCTAACTAAATTTGTAATCGATTCACACTAATTTGCTCAAAATGGGAAAACATACGCTGGGAGACCTCCTTGTCTACATATTAGGATGTTATTGTTGGATATCGTTGCTTGATGGATAAACCATTCAAAACATGCTTTTTTGCAGACTATTCGTTTAGAAGAAAAAAATGCGTATAAGGATATGCTTCTAAAAGCGGCGGCTAAAAAATCGTCGTAAGTTTCGCCAATTGGAATAATTTTCAATTTAACTTTACAATTTTGTTCTTCCTTACGATACCTACTAATTTCCCATTACAGGATATTTGGTAGACATTTGCAACGATCCAAGATTAACAATTCTGAAGCCCTAGCACTTTATCACAACTGGCCGGCCTCTAGTCCAACAGTGTCGTTTAAATATGGACGAGAATCCAAAACTTTGGGGTTATCGGAACGAGTGAAACAAGACCTTCGACTTTTCTCGACACCCACCGGATCAAGATCTTCAACCGGCAGTACACCAATTGGATCATCATCACCACCCATTTTGATTGACTTGGACGATGAAGAAAAAGAAAAATCACAGCAGCTTGTACCATCCAACAATTACAAGTTAACATCACCACCACCAAGACACCCGGCCCCCACAGCCTTGTCCCTTTCAACTAGTTTCGCAGACCTGGATGACGCCTTAAATTCAACGAAATATGAATATTACACGGATGAAGACAGTACTCCGACTCCTGATCCTGACCAGAAAGCGATTTGTGGCAGTGAGGAAAGCGATCAGCTGCCGAAAGACGACGACATTGTAATTTTATCGGAAAAAATAAGGGATAAGTACAGCAGTAGTCGGATAAATAGTCTCGCTCTGGAGCAAAACCTGTCACCCTATATTAACAGATCGTGGCTAAGCGGAGTGTAAGTTGGTCAACACTATAAAATTTATTCCAAACTAGAAAATAACGATGATTCAATTCTCATATTCGTAGCTCAACATTGCGGCGTGATTATCAAAAACGACTAGACCGAGAAATACAAGAGCATTTACAAACCGTGGACGTTCTCAACACCGAGTCAACGCTGGAAAAAGACCTACGCGAAGATATTCGACGGAAATTAACCTTAACCGAAATTATCGTGCTTGAAGAACCTCCTCCAAAATTGCCCGATCTAACGCAAGCTATACGTATCATTATTGACACGGCGGTGAGTGAACAAAATTACTTATCTAAATCTAATTAGGAAAGTGGACTTGATTAGAATTCTTATAATTATTATAGAAACGACCTGGAAGAGATGACGACATTCTCGCGAAACGCTTCAATATCGATTTCACAAGGGGAGACGTGAAGACTTTGGCTCCATGCAAGTGGTTAAACGACAATGTAAGATTTTTTTATATTTCTGCAATTTTTAAATGACAAATTTCTGCAGATTCTAAATAAAACCATTAATTTCTCTTACTCAAGGTTGTCAACGCGTATATGGAACTCATTTCGCAACGAAGCAAAGCTCAGCAAGATGTCCCCAAGACGCACGCTTTTACAACTTTCTTTTACCCTAAACTACTTAAGGAAGGGTATTCCAACGCGTTGAAGCGTTGGACGAGAAAGGTAAATACTTTTACAGTTTAAACTATGCATGATCCCTGAAATTTTTAAGTTATCCCAATCTTTATTTCTTTAAATTTTAGGTGGACATTTTCGACCACGATTTACTAGTTTTTCCAATTCACTTGGGCCTCCATTGGTGTTTAGCTTGTGCGGATTTGAGACATAAGACTGTCAAATATTACGATTCTCTCGGTGGTAAAAACGACAAATGTTTAAATGTGAGTTTAATTTTAACCGTAGTTAAGTTTGCCTTGTATAATTGCTCGTGGATTAATTATTTTTATTTGTTCTTCTAGGCGTTGTTGAACTATCTTGCTCAAGAAATGCGAGAACGTAAAGGAACCCTACTTAATAAGGAGGAGTGGGAATTAGAAAACGTGGATGACGTACCCCAACAACAAAACGGCAGCGACTGTGGTGTCTTCACGTGCAAATTTGCCGAATATTTATCCAGAGATGCGGACTTAACATTTGTTCAGGAAAACATGAACTATTATAGGGAACGAATGGTGTACGAAATCATAGAAAATGATCTTATGTACCCGTAATAAATGAATGTGCCATATTTGCATAGCCTATATTTTTAACTAGCAAAGTATAGCCGTAGATTTATACGGCATTTATGTTCTGTATTATTAGTAAACTTTGTAATTAACCTTTCACTTTACAAGTTTCCATTTCCTTTTGAGGTTGATCTACACATATAATTTTGGAAATTTTTTCCATCTTCAATTACTTATTGCTATCACTAACCTACCTGCTTAGTTAAGCCCGCATGACGTATAAAACTTCGTATTTATAATGAAGCTACTACTTGTATGCAAATCTATTGTAAGTATTTTTGTAAGGTATCAAAAATATAATAAAAATTAAATTAACCAATTCAATGAACGAATATAAGAATAAACTTATGATGATTAATAATTATCAATGAATGAAATATTTTAAATTTACTCTCTTTATTAGACCGTTGTAATTCATAATCACATACATATTGCACAAACTATTCTTTAATAATATATATTGATTGATTGATTCATTGATTAGTTATTGTCGTTCTTATTACATGCTTGCAAAATTTGGGAACAGTATCAGTTCATTATTGTATTTACATATTATTGCTAAATAATTATATACTCTGCTTGCTACAGAACAAGTCTATTGGTTGGTAGGGTCATTTTGGCACACGTTTAGCTCAAATAATTCGTTGTATCAATCAAGTAATTAATTAATAACTACTATTTTAACGAAGCTCATAAATACATAGCTCAATCTTCTTAAATAGCTGCCAATAAATATTACGACTAAAGTCTTGCTCAGCCACCAGTCTCAAAATTTGAGGACTGATTGTAAAATACATTATATATATTCCTCTGATATCATATTAATGACAGAAACCGAGAGAGCAATATGCAAATTGAGTTGAAGCAGAAGTTGGGGTTGCAAATTCTAAATTATAGCTCCTAAATTTTGCAGATTCATTACTATGAAGTCACGCAATTAATGATACATATGACTAAATATTAGAAAGTTAGACTTCACCAGCATCAGCCGGAGGTGGTTAGAAAAAAAGCATGCAAAAAATGAATATGAATGAACCAAAAATTATTAGAACAGAACATTGACGACAATAAATAAATTATATGACACATTTCATTTCAACTCTTATAATGACTTTGACTCATTTTCCTTTTGATTGACGTCGTGGTGGAGCCGTAGGAGGTTCAGACGCGGCAGAAGTGTCCGAAGGCGCAGGCGTAGTGACCTCTGCGGCTGCTGGGGCGGGAGCGGGTTCAGAAGGCGCAGGCGTAGTGACCTCTGCGGTTGCTGGAACAGGTTCAGATGGCGCAGGCGTAGTGACCTCTGCGGCTGCCGGAGCGGGAGCGGGTTCAGAAGGCGCAGGCGTAGTGACCTCTGCGGCGGATGGAGCGGGAGCTGGTTCCGAAGGCGCAGGCGTAGTGACCTCTGCGGCTGCCGGAGCGGGAGTGGGTTCAGAAGGCGCAGGCGTAGTGGCTTCTGCGGCTGCCGGAGCGGGAGTGGGTTCAGAAGGCGCAGGCGTAGTGACCTCTGCGGCTGCCGGAGCGGGAGTGGGTTCAGAAGGCGCAGGCGTAGTGGCTTCTGCGGCTGCCGGAGCGGGAGCTGGTTCCGAAGGCGCAGGCGTAGCGACCGCTGCTGGAGCGGGTCCAGAAGGCGCAGTTATCTCTGCCGGTTTGGACTCTGTTTGCTCGGAGGCTTGCGGTGCAGCGACTTCTGGCGATGCAGGGACCGCTTGCGACGCAGCGGCCGCGCGCTCTTCGGCCGCTTGTTTTTCTTCAATCAATTTTTGCTCTGCGACTTTCTTCTGCTCAGCCAGCTTTTTCTCGACGGCGAGTCGCTCCTCGGCTAAAACGGCCTCGTCCACCTGCTCTGGTTCAGTTTTGGTTGTTGGCGTTGCCTGAGTAGGAATAGGATCACTGGTTGTTGTTGGTGGTGCCGGTTCTGCTGGTTTCTCACTTGGTTCGCCAGATTCTGAAAATATGTGCATTATACATATTGACAATATAGCTTATCTAGTTAAATGAATTGAATTTCGAACATTTGTAAGTAAACTCACTGTCAGCTTGTGCCATCGACGCATGAATTTTTTTCATAATCTGCAATAATCAAAGAAATAAGGAATTGAATTTGAGTGATGATTGCAAAAATAAAAACGGCGTAAAACTTTTGCAAAAATAAAAACGGCGTAAAACTTTTGCAAAAATATAAAAACGGTGTAGAACTTTGCAAAAATAAAAACGGCGTAAAACTTTGCCCAAGAATTAGCAACATTTTGAATTAAATCTAACTTTAGTACCAATTAATTTAACCAAATTGTCTTATTTATGAGGATAAACATACAAAGAAAAATAGTAAAAAAAACACCTTATCGAAAGAATCCTTCCCCAAGTAGTCGATGTGACCCGATTCCCACGCATGTTTCCTCATCTGCTCCTCAAATTCAATCTGTTTATCCGATTTACTTCCTTCCAGCGACATTTTTGCAAATGCTCCGGCAAGTCCAGCCTAAAAAAGTTTGCGCAATTTACGGATTACTTATAATTCATATTAACTTAAAATACTCTTAACTGTAAAGAGTAGCATAAGAAGCGGAGGCAAAAAATATATGTAAATGGCTTATCGTTAGATCATTATTCAAGCACAAAACTAAACTAAATAGAATCCCAATGCCTGTTTGTGGTCGAAGATATGCATATTACGTATCCCTCATTGCCATTTTCATGCTTATCGGCAGCAATCAGTGTTTCGGGTTTGGCACATTTCGAGTACTGCAAAGCAAGAAACTGGAGAAATACAAGGTGCAAGAAACTGGGAGAGAGTGCAAGAAATATGCTTATGATAAGCAGCTTATCCGTCCGAGCGTCCTATAAGCTCTAGCGGCGTCGATTCTCGCGCCTTGCATTTTTTGCAGGTCAAAATACCTGCAAGAAACCTTCCCGTTCTTTCTTGCAAATGTTTACCCGCACCCGAAACACTGTCAGCAATTATAAGTAGCTTATCCCAAGCAATTTGCAGTTTGCTGCTGCTGCTGCTGCGGTTTTTTTTCATAAAACTTACAAACCCTGGTTCTTTTTCACTTTGATTTTGTTCAATACTTTCGGACGATGATGTAAAACAAGCAACCGATTCATCGGAAGGCTCTTCCAGAGCTGAATTTGATTCTAAATTAAAAATCATTGGAGGAGGAGGAGAGGACGATCTTATGGAAGGTGCCGTTATTACTGGCGTCGTCGTCTCTGGCGCAAACCTTTCAATTGCTACACTTGTCCAGTGAAAGATGGGTGGTTGAGATTGAGATTGATCTGATTGAACAACTGCTGGTGGTGGATGATAAGACGATTCATGAATTTGCAAACTGAACGAACTTGGCTCTGAAGAAGCGTTGGCCGTGGGCGTGTGAACGTATAAGAAGGGATCCTGTACCTGTTCTGCCTCAGCCTCAGTTGCCGACTGATGACCACCTCCGCCCTCCATTCATTAAACACCAAAACGGTTAGTCGACCGAAGAAATACTAATAATGTTAACGAAACGGATATGTAAACTGTAAAAAAGAGATCATGAATCATGACTCTTGACTGAAAGATATGGGGGCAATTCTGTGTAACATATGCTCTAGATTTGCATAAAATGATGAAAAGTTCTCAATTTTGAAGCCTATTTTTAGAATCTCAAAAATTCAAAAGGTCCAAAACCTTGTGTGTTGAATAGGGTTAATTGTTAACAGACACAAAACTCACAAGATAAAAAAATATAGCGAATAAATTATCTTTCTTACCATTTCCGGCGACAATTTATTGTGCACATCGGTGCGAAAAATATTCCACCAAGATTGTAGAAGCTCCTAAAAAAATGTAAGTCATAATTACTCATAAAATCAAAATATTATCATAAAAACCAGAAGTGCAGCCTGAATTAGCCCGAGTCAGGGTGTTCTTAATATCTAATCGAGGTAAAGTACCACAAGTAGAACCTTTTTATTTATTTTTCGACACATTTTGCTCATCTTCCTAATTTAGCAAATTCTACGTGTGTGCAAAATTTCAAGTCGGGAGGATAAATTTTACGAGCCTAATCGATAGACAGACAACCATGAGGGGTAAATAAGCCCCGACTCGGGCTAAAACAGCATTATTCTATCTGTTCAAATCAATTATACAAACTGTTTTAAAGCTGGACATTGAACTTACGAACAAATGTTCCTGGCCGGATGGGGCTCGAACCATGCCAGTCGAACTGTCAAAATACATCAACCATGGTTTTTCTGGGCCAATGAAGTGGACGATTTTCACATTTGCACCAAACCTAAAACAGAAATTCATGATAAGTTAAAGTTAAATAAACAGAAGCTCCAAAACTCATTTCTTTCAGCAATAATACTGGGTCAATAAATCATCCATGAATGAATGAATGAATCAAGTCTACAAATGAAGATATGATTGAGACAAGGACGTATCTAAATAATTCTACACCAGTAAATAAATACCAGACTGTGCAGAGCATACAAACATGGGCAAAGTGGCCGCGGAAGGGTGGGGACAATACCCCTCAGTTATCCCCATCATCTTCCCATCTTACATATACCTCTCCCACCCCTATCTACACTGTTAATGTCCCCACTGGTTCCGCGGCCACTTCATCTGCAGTAAATTAATATGCAGAGTAAATTCCTACACACACTCAAGTTCAATCTCAACGAGTGGATAAGAAAGTGGGTCACCAGGAAAAAAATTCAGATGCAATGCAATACGCATATGTCTCTACTCTGACTTATCTGTATGGATAAGTACGTCTGTAGTATTGGAACTGGGCTGGCTTACGTACATTTTGAAGGCAGGTAGATATGTGTAGGCGGCGGACGCGACCATGTTGTAAATGAAGGGCAGATGACGGCTTATATCCGAGACAGACCAGTCATTAAAGTATAAGTTCAAAAGACCTTGATCACCACCTAAAAAACAACTATTTTTAATAACAAACAACTCTACCCACGACGTACAAATACGCTCAAAATTATGTCATAATCAGAGGGCGGATATGTATTTATTTGCAACTTTTCATTACACCGACGGCCAAATTTTGTGGTGTGTTCCCTAGCTCTTAAATACAGATCACAAAATATTTTGTACATATTTCTAGGTTTTCAGACATAAACATAAATATTTCCGCTGTTTGTTTGAAAAATAGGGAAATTTTTTACGTATTTTTTCATAAACGCATATACTTTGAGACGAAATCTGTTTGCTAAAAAAAACTGGACCTCAAAAAATCCAGAGTGTTACATCTAAAAATACAAATTTTGCGAAAATATTTTTCTTTTCGTACATGCTTCACGCATATTTTGACCGTTTTTCGAAAATATTAAGCACATATTCCAGCCACATATTTTTCTTAAATACACATCCCCCCTCCGGTTTTATTAACTCTTATCATAATTAACGTCAAAATTACCGTCGAACGACCCCCTGGCAATTGCGAATGCCAACAATTTATCAAAAGTCTCAATTGACGGTTTGAACACGAAGACGCCAGAGTTGAAGCAATCCGGCCATCCGACATCTGGTGAAGCTGAAAACTCACTACGGTCAAACAGTTCATCACAATTTTGCAGGATCTGCAGAAAGAAATTAAATAAATATTGACCCACATTACATTTAGCAACATTGCAAAATTCATGCACACATACATACTCGTCGGTCATTGTATTTTTTGCATTTTGCTCTACATAAATATCTACCCGGGTGTGATCCGAATCAGATAAAATAATCTTGTCTCTCTCATTTTAAATTTAGATCGTGACTATTTAACTGCACATGCATACATGCAAGAGAGTAAAAACGAATGAATGAAAGATCGTTCCTTCTTCTCACCAGTGTGTCAGCATCCAAAAATACACATTTCGAAAACTGCACCAGCTTCCAGCAGTGGAGTTTGGTAAAAGTGATTCCCAACTCGGGGCGTGTGAGTAAAGCTAAGTTTGCAGCGTCTTGGGAGTCAATGATGTTCACGTCGTAAACCACGTCAAATTCACTCGATAATGCTTTCCTGTGAAGGCAATGTGATTGTAATGAAAATTCTTTGGCTTGGTGGCCGCGGAAGCGTGTGTGGGGACAGAGGGACAATGTCCCCAGGGGCATTCGGTGCCCCCACAGTGGCGGCGGAAGTTGTGGGGACATTAGCATTTATAAATTGGCGGAGGAGGAACTTATTAAAATGGGCAAGATACGAATTTGCTGAATTTCTTGGGAGGGACAATGACCCCTTGTCCCCCTGCTTCCGCCGCCACTGTGTCCCCATCAACTGCCCATGTTATATAAACCCCTCCCATCCTAGAAGGTCAATGTCCCCACGCCCGCCCCCACGGCCTATTCAGCCAATAGTATAGCCTCTAAAACTTCTGAGAAGTTATTTCCGGGTTTTAGAAAATAATACAAAATATTCTACCAGGAAGCTTTTCAATTTTTTTCAGACTATTTAAGATTGGCTGACCAGCTTCCGCGACCACTGACGACCACACCGGCGTAATATGTAGACAACAAACCTCATAGGAACTGACACTCCAGATGTGACCATTACCACCAACTTCCGGGTCGTGTTGACGCGCTTCAAGGATCTCGAGACGACGAGGGTCCCCAAGGCGTAGGAATCGTTCGTCGCCAGTGTAACCCATGCTTCGTCTTCTCCTATTTTTGCGTAATAAAATATTCCTTTAACTACCAACCTACCCAGAGAAATATTATCAACAATTGTCAACAATTTCATACCTGGCATCTTAACCTCGTTCCACGTATATAGCGTATTTTCCTTATGAAAGACTAGCTAATTCTCAAAATATAGTCGGTAATACTAAATAAATTTAATATGCATGTATCAAATATATGTAACTTTACTGCGTTATAAATGCGACGCACGAACACAGAACCAGCTTTAGCAGCCGGCCAAAGAACTACTAAACTAATATGAAATGAATGATCAAACATATACGTAATCTCGGCTTGTTTTCAAGTTGAGAATCTCGTATAAGAGACGAAGACCCGACCGAAACTCATCCGATGACAAGCGAAGTCTTTTACATACGTACGTATCAAGTATCAAGACTTCTTCAGACTTCAGGGTTGGAAGTCTTATGTATTTACGTACTTTGTTCATAGTCTGCATGCTAAAAGTGCATTCTACGACGAAATCAAATGACGTTTTCTGAACTGATAGATATGCATATTTGACCTATTTATAATTATCCGCTAATGGTCCTAGTCCTAGCATGTAATGTACTTTTCATCCTTTAAGATAGCTTTTTTTGACCGACCGGCCTGTATTGCTTTAGTACCACGGTTTTCAGCGTGGCATTTAATTATTCTCGTCTAGTCTTGTCCAAACCTTCCAAACTATGTCCCTTGGAATATACCTTTTTGATAACTACTTACCCAGAACTACGCATCTGGGGGAGTTTGATGAGGCACCTTTGTTTGGAGCGTCATTCTTTTTTCCCCGTTTTCCAAATTCATTTACACATTATCGAGAAGAACATCGTACCGTTTTTCAGTTACATATCTAAATAATTGCGTCGTATTTCTATTTACTTTCCTCTCTTGACACCAATTTGGTTATATATGCCACGAATTTTGCATCCCCCTCCTGATTAATGACAGCAATCAAGAACAATATCACTTTTTTCGTTACACAATTTATTTACCTGGCTGCGTAACGAGTCCAAAAACAAAATAGGTAACTGCGGAAGGCTGGCGTCCATCTGTGGCGTCGCTGGTCAAACACGCACATTCAAACGAACGAACGTTCTTCTTGTAGCGTAGACTCTTATTTAACACGACCATTCATGTCGACTCAGTTGTTTTCCCCACAAAAATTCCCAGAATATTTCCACATTGTTCTCTTTTATGTAAACATTGTACCACGCACATTTATTCATTTATAGTATTTTAGACTTTTTCATTTTATGACGCATCATCGACAAATTTTGATTAGTGAGTGTACCATTCTCAAACATCGTCAAAAATTTCAAAGTTTTCTCAATATTTTTCAGTATTTCTAGGTTTTCTTCAAGATCAATGTTTTTGTAATATTTTAGGTATCACCTAAAAATATATAATTCGTCTAATTTTAACAAAAATATATCAATATGTAGTTCGATGTGGAATATTACACGAAAGACTGGACTCCAAACAAAAATTCTCGAAATTAGGAAGGATTTCTGCACTTTTGCAAAAATAAATGTAATGATTCAACTCCACTTTGTATTTTTGCAAATATATTTCGCATCACACAAGTAGTCAAAGATGCTTTCTCTTAAAGTCAATAATTATACTTTGCCTTTATTTCAATCAGCTATAAAAAATCATTTTCATGTACTAGCATTTCGGCTATTTACAAAAATACGTGGATAAATTTTTTTTGACAAAACCCAACAAATTAATGAGCAATGAATTAAAATAGAAATGTAAAAAATTCTATATTTTGTATTTTCCCCGTAAATATTTTCACCTTTCTTTTCATATGTACATATTTCTTCGATTTTGCATAACTAAAATGCATGCATGTATAAAACCAGCTCTTTTTGGTCAACAGGATTGACATGACATAACACCATTTACTTTTCCCAAAGTAGTGAAAGTGTTTCACGTAATCCCACCGTAATCACGCACTTTTTCCATAAAACCACTTTACCTAATGGGTCCAGTCCAAAAACACGGAATGGTCAGAAAAAAAGAGAGCACGTGTCAATTAGCATTTTAGTCGCGTCGCATACCTATTTATTTCCTTGTCAGAGAGGGGACAAAACCATCTCAATATCTGCCCATCCAGCGCGATTAGATAGATGGTTATCACCCCCACCACGAAACAAAATTCGGGCGAACAAAAATCATGCAACGATTACTACGAGACAAAACGGGAAACGTTTCCCAATCCAGGTTTTGTGCTGGAGGAGATATCAGCAAATTTCTTGTCTCAATTTCTCAAAATTTCATAGCGTTCTACTTCAAATTCCTGAAATTTCTGAAAGCTGATAATCAACATTTTTCCCCTGGAATCGACTTTCTCTTTTCAATTTCTGAAAATTTTAAATCATTTTCCAAATATTTGTTCCTGAAATTTCTTAAAGTTGAACTTCAACTTTTTTCCCTGGAATCTATTACACCGACTTTCTCTTTTCAATTTCTGAAAATTTCATACCATTTTAAGAATATTTGTTGCTAAAATTTCTGAAAGTTGAACATCTACTTTTCCCCCTGGAATCTATTACAACGACTTTCTCTTCTCAATTTCTGAAAATTTTTGGGGAATTGCATTTTTAACTTGAAAAATGGGTGATCCCGAGGCGAAAGGAATGATGATAAATCCCGTGATTTCCACAATATCTGGCCCTTTGTCCCCACAACTTCCCCCCGCAACGAATAATAAGATCTCCCCCCTCAACACTACAAAGTTTGGCTGCTCACCAACCTACATTTGCAGCGTGCCTGGATTTCTCAGACTTTTGAATATTGTAAGCGTAAAGTTTTTTCTGTAAAATTTCATAAAAAAATTACACAATTTTCAACTTTTTTCTTAAAATTTTCCACCCAAAATTTCTAAATATCAATTTTTTCGCAAAATCACATTTTTCCAGACAGTTCCATTTTTTTCTTAAGAAAATCTCCCAAAAATATCTTGTAATTGTTCACCCAAAATTTTTAGATGTTTATTTTTTCGAACCCAAATTTTTCCAGGCATTCGGCTTTATCGCATTTGGTCTTTGGTTACCCGGATATCCGCATGAATTTCTCGGAGAACGGATCAACCAACAAACGGGCGACACTGAAAAAGGTAAAGGGAATAAAGCTTTTACTTTTTTTGCAAAAATCTGCATGTGCAAATATGTAATACGTCGTGAATAGGCTATGGAAATGGATGGACACGCGAACCTCTCAACCAATTTGTGCTGGCAGCGATTCTAATCTGTTTGGGAGCTTCGTGCGTCATGCTTATCGGGCTCGTCATCGTCAAACAGGCATCCGTCGATTGGAACAGATTCGTATGTTAATAACCTCCTTCACTTCAAATTCTCATGAATTCACAGTGTTTCGATTCTTGCGGGTTTGCTACATTACTTGCAGTGGAAAGCATAAAACGCAAGAAATGCGAGGTGCAAGAAATTGGGAGAAAGTGCAAGAAATCTGTACCATCTAGCCACGCGCCGTATGATTATGCGCGGCGGGGCGTCGTTTCTTGCGCCTTGTATTTCTTGCAGGTCAAAATTTTTACCTGCAAGAAACCACTTTCCCCCCGCTATTTCGTACAAGTGGTTACTTGTACCAGAAAAATTGCATTTTTTCCTCCCAGGGCACGTGGGAGAAATGGGAAAAAACAATTCTTACCGTGGGAAAAATTAGAAAAACTTGATGTTGATAAGAGAAGCTCACTCAAAACGTGGCGAAACGATATCCCAAAGATACACTTTTTCCCAATTCCCACCCTTTTAAATAGTACTAAAAAGCGAAAACCCCAATTTTCCAATTTTCCCCATATCCCGAGCACTGGTAAACAAGAAACCGTTAAAACCACACTATTTCCCCACTCCACTACTAAATCCCATTTTCCAGGTCAAAATATTTACCTGCAAGAAACCACTTTCTTAGTGCATTTCTTGCACTGCAAAGCAAAAAATGCAAGAAATGCAAGGTGCAAGAAACTGGGAGAAAGTACAAGAAATGTGCGGCGCCGTACGAAGTACAGCGGCGTGGCGTCGTTTCTTGCGCCGTGCATTTCTTGCAGGTCAAAATATTTACCTGCAAGAAACCACTTTCTTAGTGCATTTCTTGCACTGCAAAGCAAAAAATGCAAGAAATGCAAGGTGCAAGAAACTGGGAGAAAGTACAAGAAATGTGCGGCGCCGTACGAAGTACAGCGGCGTGGCGTCGTTTCTTGCGCCGTGCATTTCTTGCAGGTCAAAATTTTTACCTGCAAGAAACCACTTTCTCCCCCTTATTTCTTCTCTCAAGCGGTCACTTTCACCTGAAATAATATGCTTTCAAAATTCAATTTCCACAGAACAAACTTCTCCATTTCGGGCTCGCCGTGTTTTGCTTCATCGCTGCGATCTGCTCCATTTTTGGGGTCTGGTACTTCAACGAGAACTGCTGCCACGTGTCGATGGATTGGGAAGGAGTCGGATTGTCATTCTCGGTCAGAATTTTCCCACATTTGTTGCCAATTCTTTTCACATACCTATTATGTAAATCAGCACATTTTTCTCCGATGGAAACATATTTTACAATTCTGGACAGCAAATTAGTATTCCTCCTGAGTTGCCAGTTTTTATAAATACACACTCCAGTTTTTGGCAGTTTTTGGCAGTTTTTGGCAGTTTTTGGCAGTTTTTGGCAGTTTTTTTTAGGACATCTCAAGTTAAAGAAGCCTTCAGAAAAATTGAAAACTGGCTTAAAAAACCTTATCGCCATTCTACTAATCAACTTTCTGACTATAAATTTGTCGTCCAGAATTTTAAAATAAATTCCCAGAGCGGCCAGAAATGCTTAAAAACGTGCTGATTTTGATAATGAGTCCTACCGACGTTACCTAATTTTACGTAAACTAATTGTACATTTAGCTTTCTGCGGGTGAGACGAACTACGTGCGACACTGTTACTGCTACTTGACCAAGTACCTCAACGTTGGCGACCAGTTCCAGTCCTCCGTCCGCGAAACCATTCTCTACGAAGCCACCAAACACCCCGACGTTTCCGGCTTCGATCACCACTGGACTTTCATGGCGCACGACTTGGATCCTCATTTCGCAGCCATTGTAACAATCTTATTCAACAAAAATGTCACCTTTTTATGAAAAATATCTCTAATTTTAAAAATTTTTCAGTTTATCCTCTTCCTCAACTCGATCTTCTACTTTCTCGGATTTCTCTTCTCAAAGTCAAACAAGGTCTAAAAAAAACAAGAATTACAAAATTGGGAACATTCATATTAAAATTGGGAGAAAAATCAAAACCCATCATCGAAAAAATTGCAATTTTGCAAGGCTTAAAACCTGAAAAATTCTAGGAAACTAATTCGACGACATATGTGGAAATTTTTCAATATTGGAAACTTCACAAAATTTGCAGACATCAAAATTAAACGCACCATTGCAAAATTTAAAATTTCACAAAGCTTAAAACCTGAAAAATCCTTAAAAACAATTACGAAAAAATCACTATTTTACTGCTGAAAATTTCATGCAAAAATTCCCGAGTGATCCAATTTCTTCACTAAAATTCCCAAAATTCGACGCCCAATATGAAAAAAATCAGTATTTTACTATATCATATTTCTAAAAAGATTCATGTCCATCTGCATCCTAATTTATCTCTAAATGCAAATTTTCAAATATTTTTCGTAATATATTTTAATTGACTTTATTTTCCTATCTTCACGATTAGCATCATCATATTGAATATTTTGAATCGGGTAGTATTTATTTATTTATTTATTTATTTATTTATAATATTATTTCCAACTTTTAAATATAATATTTTGGATCACGCTGAATTATACAATTTAAGGTTTGTAATAAGGTAAATCGTAATCATATAATTAATTAAGTTTAATTATATATTTAAATAACTAAAGTAGTTATAAATCGGTGTGTAATTAATTATACAAGTCAAGTCAAGTAGTTTTGTGGTGTGTGTGTAATCAACGTGCCTAACCAATCTATGGTAAAATTGCATACCCACGTGCTTTACGCGCACGTGGTGGAGGATTGGATTGGAGAGAGAGAGTACTTAATTAATTCATAATATTTAGCTAATTATCAATTAATTAATTAACTATATTTAACCCATTTTTTAATTGATTCATCTCCATTATAAATAATTGATTGTTTCTTAATCTGGATTTTCACCTGGATATTGGAACAATTAATTAATTAATGATGCAAGCACATCAATATTTTGCTATACTTATCTTATAGAATTACTGACTTTAATATATGTAGATAAGGTAAACTTGGCTTATCTTACGTTAAGTAGATAGATATTCCTTCTTGCAAATCATAATAATTTTTAGCACGAAATTTTTTATCATATTTTACAAATTTCTAAATAAAAAACGGCAGCCACAATTTAAAAAGTTATCCATTCATTTTTTTCCATAATTAACAAGGGTATCAATTTTTAATTAATTAATCCATAAATTAACTTTTTCTCTTTGTAAATTTAAAATTAATAAGACTTTCTCTTTTTACATAATTATTTTAACAAGATTTCAATTTCAAAAACTTGTTAAAATATTCATGTCTTTAACTTTTGCTTGAAGCTCAATCAATCTTGGATCACTTTTCAGTTATTTTTTGTTCAGACAGAGTTTAATTAATTAATTAATTAATTAATTAATTACCAAGTAAAAAGGTGGTGGCTGGCATATTAAATAAGTAATTTTTTATACATGTGTGTATGTAAATCTCCTCAAAAATTGATATGATCATTTTAATCAGTTAAATAAATTGGCAACTTTATCATTATTCATTATTCGCAAATCCATTTTTGCAATCAAAAATCCGTAATATTTGTATTTTTTAGCACTCGCTTTGAAGAATAAAGGAAAAACTGATAATTAATTAATTACCGTAATTATAATTATAATGAGCGATCAGAAAAAGGTGGCATTAAATTAAATCATCTTTAATTTCCTCATTAAATTTTAACTTACAATTTAATTTCTCTTTTTTCTTTCAAAACTAATAAGTTCGATAGAAGAAGAAACCTGACTGTTTTTAATCGTTTATTTTAAAAAGGTGATTAAAAACGGGCCGATTAAATTCTTTCCCAAATTCGTTCCCAAAAATTGGAGAAATTTCGATTTCATAAAAATCTCCAAATTTTTGGTTTTACGACTGGAAAAACGAATTTAATACCGTTTAAAAATCACGTCCTTATCTAGTCACCGGGCGATTGCTGTAGTGTGTGTGGCTCAAAAGTGGGGGTGGTTTCTTCACAAATCTCGATTTCTTTTTTGCAGAAATTTTTGCAAATTCGCGAATTTCTTTCTCCCAAAAATTACCCACCCACCCACCACAATTTTCCCCACTCCTTCAACACTGATTGTATATAATTCTTACCTTATTATAAAATTACCTTATCCGTTAAATAAAACCTTATCTTATCACTTTCTACTAACTCTTTTTAATCCCTAGTCTTTTTCTTCATTTATTAATTGATTGGCTTATCTTTTTTTGTTAGCTGGTGTTCAAACAAACAAAAAATTAGATAAATTTCCAAAAAAAACTAATTAATTAATTCAAAACAATTAATTAAAAGTCTTAAATGTATCAAATTCAGGTCAACCTAAATTAATTATTAATTTGTAACTGAGCCTTCTCCCCCAAAATATAATAACCTCAAATAAACCCTTAATTAACCAATTAATTAAAAATAAAGAAACTGACTTGATTCAATTACAATTAAAAAAAGAAGAAACTAATCAACCCGAATTAATTAATTAAATTTACATACACTTTTAGACATGATGATGATTAGGCAACAGAGCGATGATGATGATTATGATGACGTACTTACAAATATCAGTTCAGGGATGACTTTAATAAATACTTAAGTAACTAATTAATTATAATTACCCTACTAATTAATCATGTAAAATGTATGTGCATCCTTAATTAATTACCTGTTTAAATAAAACAATTATGTTGTATGCAAACATTTCGTCCTTCACAGAAACAGTTTTTTAAGTCCTTACTTGCATATGTAACTTTCACTTTTTTGTTTAAATATGACTTTAAATTACTTACTTTCGAATTTTCCCTTCCTGTATGTATGTAAATGCAAAAAGGCTACGGTTTTTTATTAGTTTGATGTATCAATAAAGCACTCTTGACCAGAGAAAAAGTGAAGATTTTTTCAGATTCAAAAAGCTGCACGTAATTAATTATTTTAAGAAACGTAAATTATTTTAGTATGAAAAAACAACAAGTTAAACAGGTCATATCAAAAGTTTCCGAGCAAATTAGTAACTATTTTTTTAAGTATCGATATTTTTTCTTTAAATATTACTTTGCGAGTTGCATAATCGGTTGGATCATAAGGAAATCAATTAAGGCTCTAATTTAAGGCTCTACATAATTTAAAAAGGTTCTCTCATTTGGCTGCTTATGGCTTGTGCTGATTATGCTAAATCTATGTATGTAATTCTCACGTGAAAAAAATCGAACTGGCGAAAAAAATTCGCACACTTTTCTGCAGAAAAATTCTCACCAAAAATTTTACACAGAACTGTATAATTCTGTATACTCTAGAGATATCGTATGGAGAATTTTGCACAAAATTCCCACAAAGAAGAATTGTCCCCAGAAATTTTGCACAGAATTGCATAATTCTGTGTACCTAAATATATTCCAGAGATATTATTTCTGCACAAAAATTCGCAATTTTTTCAACACAGCTCGATTTTCCCATGAGCTTTTTAAAGTCAAAAAGTTTCCCTATTTTTTAATTGTCTTCTTTAAAAATGATTGATATCTTTTGCAGTGTAGTAAAAAGTTTTGAGTTTCAAATCCATGAATATTTCCTAAAAATAGCAAACTTTTATAGTAGCAGAAATCGATATCGAGGGACAACTGGAAGAAGAAATCCTGGCCAATTTTACTTTCAGAAATTATGCAATTATTTTTTTTCTAAATAAATAGTTAACTTATAACGCGACACGTATTAAAATAATATCAAACTGGATCTCACTCTCAAGTGTCTGACCAGACTTTAAAAAAAATTCACTGTTTTTTTCGCAAATTAAAAATTGTCTTTCCCAAATTTCAATTAAACTTTTTAATTGTATAAATTTCGCAAATCATAATAATAACAAACAAACAAAGATTACTTATTTTTTCTTCAAGCTGTATTAATTATTCAACGGGATTTTTTTCATAAGTGACAAGATGATGATAATCGAGACCATGATAAAGTGTTTTTTTTAGTAATTAATAAGTAATTAATTAATAATTAGCATCAAAATTTCCTTACTTTATCACCAATTCTAGAAATTCTTTGGCAAAAAGTGTGTTACTAGATTTTTTAGGTCTACACCTAGCATAAATTTTTGCATATTATTCTCAATTTTGCATAATTTTCGCACACCCCCCACAAAATCTTGACTTTTGATATCTCTCTGACTTATGTATTTTACAAGCTAGTTTTTTATACAAGTTTTACATGGAACAATTTGCATAATAATTATTTAATTGATAACTCATTTAAATATTTAAATTACCACCACATTTTTTTATACAACTACACACACGGAGAGACATTTTCATAATAATGATTAGATTTTAACAGTCCTTAACTCTTAAGTGATTACGTAATTAATTAATTAATTCTTAATTTAATGATTCACAAAAAAGACACACATTTTTTAGGAAATTAAGAGAAAGGTTTCGATTTTAAGTTTCAATTTGCATAATTTTTTTATATCCAATAGCCCCTTAAAATTAGTGAATAATTAATTAACCTCCTTAAAAGTCTTAAATTTGGGCGTGTCGTAGCATATTTACATATTTACGAATTAATTAATTAATTATTGTGTGCAAATCGTGCAAAAGACAAGGGTCCAGCGTTGTCTGTGCAGTTTTTGCAAAAAAAACAAAAACAAACAAACGAACAAATCTGCTTTTTTTCAAAATTGGACAAGACAACGAATCATTTTCAAAAAACACTTTTCAATTTTTCTTCTTTTTCTTCTTCGTATTTCAGGAAACCAGTCCCTCCCACAAGAATTCAAGGAAATATATATATCCATTTTTGAAAACAAAACCAAGTCAAACATACATAATTTCTTAAAAACTATGCCTAGAAATTTTACCCACTACATAATTTGTGTACACTTGACTTTTAAGGTTCGACTTTTACGATTTTGATTGTAAAATTTCTTAAATTCCAATCTCAATCCGAATCCACTTTCATTCCGCACTAAATCTTAATCACATCATCATTTCCATACTTTTTTTTAAATAGCTTAACAATTATCGGGAAATATTCATAAAAGACATGACATATGACGTGACATTGATGATGATGACCTCGTGACCTCGTTCGTTCATTCATTTATTTATTCATTAAGTGAGTGAAGGGAAAGAGTAGAATCGTGGTGAGTAGTATTTAGAGTGAGAGATTGAAGGACTGAAGTTTATTTATTTATGTATAGAAATTCATCAAGAGGAGAAGACTGTCTTGTTTTTTCTGGAGCAACTGATTTGCATATATTTGATTATCTTATCGATGGTTGTTCGCAGATGCGGCGGCGGCGGCCGCTGGAGGAGTGGGCGTCGCCGTCGTGGCAGTTTTCCCATTTCCGGGCGGTTTCCCTGACGTGGAAGCTTTTGCAGAGGCAGCCCCGCCGGCCGGGGTCGGACCCGCGTTCGGCGTCACCGGCGAGCCACCCTCGCTCCGTGGGGGCATTCGCTCGTTTATCGCGTCCAGTCCGCGCGCCTCCTCGAACGACATTATCTTGTGGTTTGCAGAAAACCCTTGCAGAGCTAAGGGAAAAAATTAAGGGGTTAAAAGTTGCAAATATTTGTTACTTTTTGGGCGAGGTGGATAAAATAATTTGGCAAAATGTACAACAGTTTGAGCCCCGTGCTTTCAAGGGTCTGGATTTCCAGGGCTGGTACAAGACGAGAAATTGAACATTTGAACGTTAAAAATGCGTAAGTCAGTTGAAAATACAGATTTTTTTCAAGAAATTAACGTTTTAATCGAAGTGAAAAATACTTAATTTGGAAAAAAATCGTGAAAATTTAGTATTTTGGCCTTGATAAAAACCGAATTTCTTCACAAAACACGTATTTTCGCCTAATTTCTGCAGATTCTCGTCTTTTTTCAGCTGTAACACCCTTGGAAATCCAAGCCATCGGAAAAACGTGACCAAAAATGCTGCCTTTTGACAACATATTTTCCCACCCACGCTTTCGCATTATTATTTTTGCTCCTCACCATTCCGGAGTGTCGACCTTCCCCCAGACAACGCACCCAGGGGTAAATTCCCCGTGGGAGTGAGCCCCTTAAGCTGCAGGACGCTTTCACTCTCCTCCCTAAAGGTAAAATTAGCACAGAATTAGCACAGTTTCTCTCCCTATCTGGCTTTTTTCTTGCGAAATGGAAATTACCTAAGGACGGAGAAGACACGTGCCATTTTGCCAATGGCTCTAATCTTGTTGCGGATAACCTCCTTCCGTGCAGCAGCTGAAGCCGCTAGAAAACATTGCAAAAAGATCCGTCAAAATTTCGATACCATTCTAGTCTACACATCGACTGCGTACTTTACTAACAGAAATCATAAGTACATCGTCACACACAACAACAACCACAGAAATTACACACTTATTAATTACGTCAGCCAATCCACTACAAATTCAGGGGTGGGAAAAATACTTTGTCAAAATAGCGTATTTTGAGCTCCTTTATTCCCAGGGTTTGGATTTCCGGGGGTGTCACACCCACAAAAAGACGAAAATCTGCGTGGAGAAGGCAACAGTTTTACGAAAATACAGGTTTTTTGAAGAAATTAACTTTTCATCGCAGTCAAAATACATCATTTTCACGATTTTTTTAAAAGTATTTTGACACCGATAAAAAGTTAATTTCTTCACAAAACCACAATTTTCGTAAAATTGTTGTCTTTTCCACGTAGATTCTCGTCTTTTTCTGGGTGTAACACCCCCGGAAATCCAAAACCTGGGAACAACCGAGTTCAAAATACTTTATTTTGACGCAGTATTTTCCCCACCCCTGCTAAAATTTACTATTTTTTACCACAACAGTTAATTAATCGCTATTCATCATCCATCTACGAATATTTAGTCTTTTTACGCAAATTTCTACACGACACACACTCACAGATACACACGCTCTACCACAAAAAAATTATCCCGAAATTGCCAATTCTCCTGCACGTGTTAATCACTTTCTTTTTTACGTATTATTAAGTTACAAGGATGAATTCAACCCTTGTTATGTAATCGCAGCGCAAAAAATATGAGCATCCACCCACCAAAAACTGTCACGATAAGAAAGAACCCACACCAAATAATAATCGCCTATGACGCCATGAAAATGAGAACTAAACCAAAATAATAGAATAACAATGATAAGAGAATCGAGGTTTTAGTGTAAATCTCATACCTATTTTTTCAACAAATTCATACATACCAAAACATGTGCCAGCATTAGTGAAAAAACGAAGTGAGCATTTTGTTAATTCAAAAAAATACTTTTCATAAAAAAATTTTAAAAAAATTGTGTTATTTTAATTAAATTAAATACTTGCAAATCTACATTCCATAAATAATTGCAAGACTTCAAACCCAATCATACTAAATTTAATTCCAATCCTATTAATAAAATAAATCAGGTTTTTTGCAGAAATACTTCAAAATGCATCTCATCAATTCCAAAACGTGCACAAATAAAATAAAATCGATTATTTTTCTACAATTTCTCTTATTTTGTGTTACTTGCAAAATTAAAAAATATTCTTAACCCATAAATTTGCAAAATAATTACAGAATTAACGATCCAAAATTTAGCAAAGTAACATTCTTACTGAAAACCCACGCTAAATTTTATCTACGAACGGAATAAATCAGATCTTTGGTAGTAAACGAGCCACAAATTATCATGCAAATCAATGTTGTTAGAAATTTTCCCCCAATTTTCGCAAACTTATCATGCAGCCCATATTCGCAATCCCAATTTTCGAAAACTAATCGTGCAGCCCAATTTTTTAGCAACTTTTTCCCCAATTTTTGCAAACCCATCATGCAAATCATTTTATTCCCAAATTTTAGTGTTAGTCAACCTACATTCAGGACTAAAAAGAGGGGAATTATTGAGGAAGGATGAGCAGTCGTGTCGTGCGGGTGGTGTTTGTTTTTTAGCAACTGAACTTACCCAGCTCTTTGGCTTCGCTCAGTCGTCGAATATAGTGCCCTGATCAGACAACAGTACACAAGAAGAATATTTTTCAGAGCAAGAAAATAAGGACCAAATATTAAACAAACAAATTCAAAACGTATTTCAAAAAAAGAAAATCTCAGAAAGAACAAGAGAAAAACCTAAAAAAATTTGGATTATTCAAGTTGAGAAAAAAAATGCACAAAAATCCTCACTCATTCAATCTGCATTTTTTAAAATAAAAGCAGTGACCATGTTAATTACGAGGTTACGTAAGAATAAATACATAAATATGTAAATCAATTCCCTCCCTGCTCAGAATTCAACTTTGACTTGACCACGTCATACAGACCGATAGTGTTGCGAAATAGCTCGAATTATTTGGCAAGATGGTTGCGAAATATGGAAATTTCCACATTTTCATTTCTCACTTCTCGGAAAACTAAGTCATCATTTCCACGACCGCAATTTGATCAAATCCAGGACCAAACCAACCACTTGACAGAGGTTGAAATGAAAATGAAAATGAAACTGAGTGGATTAAGGAATACCGTTTTCTCTCATTAAAAGACCTAATCCTAATCCCCACTAACTCCACTCTCTCCAAATTAAATCTATTAAACTTTCACCTCCAAAATAATCCCTGCCACGAGAAAGTCGTCTCCTTCTCCCCTCCGGAAAACATACATATGCCAATTCAATTCACAGGTGAAAAACGTAAGAAAAACTTGTTGCCTTTAATTCACCGTTGCTTTTCTACAACAAAATTATTTGTCGCCTTTTTTGAGCCAGCAAATTCCTCTCTAATAAACCAGAACCTACTCAATTTATGTGGCGTGATTTTTACACAAAAAAATATTCTTTACACTAAAATCAGTTCAATTCATGTGCCAAAATGCATACAAAAATTGGCAAACTTGCCTCAAATTTGTTAGAATTTACCCCATGATTTTGAGCAGAAAATCATAGCCCAATCAGTTCAATTTCAATTCATACACAAAAATGCAAAAAAAAAATTGGCAAATTTGTCACAACCTACCTCATTTGAATATCATGATTTTGATCAGAAAGTCATATACCAATCATACGTAAAAATGCAAAAAAACTTGACAAACTCCTAAAATCCTCATCTCATAATTTTTCCTGTAAAACCCTACATTTTTCCCTTCTAAATGCATACGTACATAAACAATAATTCTCTCTCTCTCTCAATATTATTCTGCTCCACGCTCCGAATGGCGTGACCCTGTTGAGTGAAAGCAGACCGTGTCTACTGGCCACATACCTAACGATGTATGTACATACACACGTAAGTAAGTAAATCCCTATTTTTTACCCCACTAAAACACACACCACACCCGATCTCTCCTCATCTTGATCCATCCATCCATCCATATTATCCTCATCTCTCTCTCTCTCAAATGCCACCACCCGTGTGGTAACACAATCCAATCCAATCCTCACATATCCATCCATCCATCCATCCATCTACACCAGCAGCAGCAGCACAGATAATGATAGCTCATGCTTTCCCCTCCCTTCTCCTCCACATCCTCCCAGGTACGAATATACGTATGTCCGTCCGTGTCTAATAAGTGACGTCAATCCCAACACAGATCCCATCTTTTTCCCCCAAAAAGAAGAAGAGTTGTAGTCGTCGCAGTTGGAATCAAATGAAGAGAAAGCACCACCACCACCAACGAACCAAGATGAACACATCACCACCACCACCACCAGATCATCATCATCATCGTCAAAGAGAGAGAGAGAAAATAAATATGGACCGTATATCCATCCACATGGAGATAAAAGTCCAACTTTCTCCGCTCACGACCCTCTCTTTTTAACTCGCTATCATCCAGGGGTTCTAACCACTTGCTAGAAATAAGGGCATCAAGAAAGCGGTTTCTTGCAGGGAAATATTTTGACCTGCAAGAAATGCAAGGTGCTAGAAACTACACCCGGCGCTATACGGCGTGTGGCTAGATGGCGCAGATTTCTTGCACTTTCTTCAGTTTCTTGCACTTTCTTCAGTTTCTTTCACCTTATATTTGTTGCGTTTCTGCCTTGCAGTGCAAGAAATAACATAAGAAAGTGTTTTTTTGCAGCTATTTGGACCTGCAAGAAACGCAAGGCGTAAGAAACTATGCCCCGTAGCATATACTTCATACAGCACGTGGTTAGATCACGCACATTTCTTGCGCTTTCTCTCATCCTCAATTTCTTGCCCCCCACACTTCTCGCTTCGTAGTGCAAGAAATGTACCAAACCCCCCAGAAACGAACCCTGTTAACTAACTACCCATCCAGCCCCAAGAATAGAAAGTTTTCCCCTCTCTATCAAATCCATCCATCCAGCCTAAGGTTACATTACTTTCTCTCTCTCTCTGGCCAAAAATTGGGTCACATTCTCAATCTGCCTCCTCGTCAAATTAAAACTATCCGACCGACACAGATCCTCACACAATTTCCACCATCCTCCCCTCCCCACTCCATCAAGTCCCATCACAAAAAGTGCTGCCCAACCTATGCAAAACCAATTTCCGGAAATCTAATTTCCCTCACAGGTTGACTTCAAGTACAGATTTTGCAACAAATTTAATCCAACTCGTTTTTGCAGATGTCCTCTCCTCCTTTCCACACTTCTTTTCCTCCCCATTTTTTATGGATGGCACACAAATTAAGTTAACTTTTTAAGTAATTGAATCTCTCTCTCTGTCTCTCTCTCGCAAGGAAACTTTCTCTCAATTCAGGAATCCCATGCAGCTTTAAAGAAATCGTTAATTTGATGAAAAAGATAAATAAATTGGTGTCTCCTCCTCGTCTCAACCGCTACAAAAGAAAGGAGATTCAATTGATTTGATTGCGGTCTATTTTTTCCAGAAATCACGACGAGTAAAAATAAATTAGAGATGGAATCTTCTCCTTGATACCCAACAGGAGCTCATTTCCGGTCTAATAATTCACTTCAAACGAGCAATCAAATGATACCAATTTCTCAAATTTCTTTACAAAATCAGACTCATTTGTTCCCTTTTTGTAGACAAATTGGTTTCAAAATGTGAGATATAAATTTCTGACAAACATCGGCCAATCTGATAACCTAATCATCCAATTCGTATCAAAATACCGTCTCAATTCGTATCCTGTGATCAAATCTATGTGCAAAAAAATGGCAAGATAAATGCTATCATCATTTTTCTAGACTTGTCCCAAATTGTCCCAATTCTTCACCAAAATGCCAACTATTATACGTTAACAAGTTGACTAAATCTAACCCAAAATCAAATCTTCATGTTTCTAACACGCAAAAAATTGTCTCTCATTTCTAAATCACAAAAAACGTACAGTTCGACTCGCAGAAAAGAACATTGCAAAATTCACTCAGCAAGTAAAATCATAATTTTTCTACAGGTGGAAAAGTCTCCCAATTGCTCACTTTCACTCCTACACAAATTCGCAAAAACGTTCACTTCGACTCGCAAAAAACTCCCCAATTGCAAAATTCTCTCAGAAATAAAATCATAATTTTTCTACATGGGTATAAATTCCCTCAATTTTTTTTACTTTCACCCCTACAAAAAATTCGCAAAAAAACCCGAATTTGCATAATTCACTTAAAAAGTAAAATCATAATTTTTTTACACGTAGAAAATTCTCCCAATTTTCTCCTACAAAAATTCGCAATACTTCCCGAATTGCAAATCCTCTCCCCTCATACCCAAAACTCCCCCCCCCCCACTCCCAACCATAACGGAACCATTTACACCTCTTACTTAATTTACATATGTACTACTCAACTGCACATCTAAACGACAAACACACACACAAACCACACAATTAAATTTTAGACTTAATCACACGACATCAAGACTACGTAAGAATAATAAATAGTCAACACCGACAAGAACAACAACAACCAATCCAACATTACGAGGCGGATGCATTAGGCGGAATGAATGAAATTGACGCGTACCGTCGTCCGCTTCCTCGCCCTCCGTCATCAACTCGTCGTCGGAACAAATGTTCAATACGTTCACCAACATTTCCGTCACTGCAAGAAAAAAACAACATTCTCTTTTACCAAAACTGACCAAAATGAGAACTTTTTGCTAAATGTATGTCTCCATTCGCGCAAATAATTCAGAAACCTTTCTCTCCCACGAAGGGTAGTGACCAGGTGAAGACATCCATGAAATTGGGGAGCCTGAAATTAAAAAAAGAATAATTTCTGGGTCAAATTTCCGCAAATTTGGGGAACAATATACTGAGAAACATGAGCATTAGTGCATCCGGATGCACTAATTTGCAAAAAAAATGGCATGGAGGGGGATCTCTGAGACGGCAATTATTGCGAAATCAGTAGATCAAATGGATTGACATGTCTCCGCAAAATTATTGCAAAGTAGGAACAATATCCATTCAAACATGGATTGGATGATACTAATTTCGCACAAAATTGGCATCCAAGATTTGTGCAAAAATCAGCACAATTTTTTGGACACTCATGTTCCAGTGGTCTTAAGCTCCCTCCTTCTCACCAGTACGGATGCGGGGAACAATTAAATTGGCGAATGTTCATCACGTTGTTCTCATATTTCAATACGGCAGCCTGAATAAAGCACACAAAAATCAGTTAATTAATCATTTAATTAATTAATTTCTCAGATTAATCAAATCCACTTTTTTCTTACCTTGTTATTATACACATCAAGATAGTTCGGTGCAGAAAAGATGGTTATTAACGATGGGAAACCGGTCGTCTGACTTTTCCTGTACATCCGATAGCTGCACACAAAGTAAAAATTCATGAAAATTCATCAAACTTTACCTCATTTTCATAATTTATGCATATTCAACCATAAATAGCTCACCCTGCATCCTGTGCTTCGTGAGCTCTTATAATGGACAGGAGGTTATTGTTTTGTAAAAAATCACAGCAAGCTGCATAGCTAAAAAGAGACACAAAATATTCAAAAATTACACCCAAATTCACCTCGTTTCAACTTATTTTGACATAAAACCAACCAATTTTTCGAAAATACACACATTATAGTTTGAATTTTATTGTATGAAAATATATAAACTTTGTCAATGTTTTGATCCTTTTAGACAAAAAACAAAAACTTGAATTACTTTCGAAATCAAAAACCATTTTTTAACCTGAAGAAATTAAATGTACTTATTCAACCCCACTTGTGATTTATTTACGCATTTTCATTTCAAGGTGTTTCCTAACTCTTTTAGATCACAAATTTCCAACTATTTTTTCAAAATTTCATACTTTACGTTTTCTCCTTCGCGAATAAATATTTTGGCATCTTTTCGACAAAATGTCCACGATTTTTCATACATACCTAAACATCTTATCAATATCTTAATTCTCCCCTACTTTGCATAAGTTTATATGTATTTAAAACTCTCAGAATTTCCATTTTTAACCACATCAAAACCTTCAATTCTTCTCAAACTTTCAACTCTTGCCAGGAAATAAGATGAGATATTTTGGGGAGACAAAATACATAACCATATCTTATCGACCCCTGAATGAATATGAATCCCCTAATCGGATCACTTCCTTCCTTCCTCTCTCTGCTTATGGTTTGCTTGCTTTCTTTGACAGCTCAGCAGCAGCATCAGGGACAGACAGACAAGGAACAAGTTTGTATTGTGTGCGAGAGACTAATAAGTAAGTAAGAGAGAGAGAAAGATAAGGAGATGCCTGCTTCGGATGGTCGCCCAGCCCTGATTTCTTTCCACTTTCTCTCCATATTCTTTAAGGCGGAGGGGATTATCAGTCCCCGCGGAAGCGTGGGGACAGAGGGGGAACAATGTCCCCACGCAGATATTCGATGTCCGCATCAACTGCCGATGTTACATAACCTCTCCCTCCCCTGCCCCACAATTCTAATGGCCCCAAATGTCCCCCCTGGCTTGCGCGGCCCCTGGGGATTATTTTCCTTTATCTCGCTCCCTGCCTGCCTGGTCGTGTCAGATCAGAACGACTTAAAATTAAGAGCTTTCCTCCCTCCTCCTCGTCCTCGCAGCGTCGTCCCGTGGTCGACACACTCTCAACAATTTACTCACATAAGCAAACTCCTACTAATTTACTTCCAAAATTAATTTACAAAGTCTCCTTCTTACCCTGACAAGGAAAATAATTACAATTTCTTAGAAAATTTACCTTTAAGAAACTTCAATCTAGGTAGAAACTTTAAATTTCTTACAAAATCAGCCTAAAAGGACTTGAATTTCTCCGAAAATCTGTTCTAAACACTTTCATTTCTTCGAAATCAAAGTAAAAACTTTGCAAATTAGGCAACAACAACTTTGTGCTTCTGAGAAAATCAGGGTAAAAACCGTTTCTCGGAACTTCTCCGAATTTCAATCCCTTCCTCTCTACCAAAAATTCATCCCCCCTCATTTTTTAGAGTGTCCCCTCCTCCCATAATCCTGCCTGTCCCTATTTCCTCCGCCTTTATGTACACATCACATCTCATCAAGATAAGTGCGTATCAGCCCGAAAACCAAATCACATTAGGAAGAAGAAGAAGAACATCTCTTAGCTCTTGCGACAGTGACACCTCGTCCGCGTCCTCCTCCACTCTTAGGTTGACATTCCCCCAGGGGATGGAAAACCCAAGTGCTTACATGGGTACACCTTGAGCGGCAGAAATCAGGACTGACATGATACTCAAATCATCCCAGACCGGAACCTTTTAAACCTTTCTCAGCTCACAAAACAAACACGACGACGACGACAACTTTCCATCCATGCAGATCGATCTTGTCAGCTCGCTCGCTCCGGCGACAGGAAGGAAGGAAGTATGCATGCACAGAACACTACGTACGCCGCGTCGCCCCAATTTCCATATCCTGTCATAAATACATTTCGCCACTAAACCTAACGTGTATCCATCATCTCCCTGTCACCAGGGGCCGCGGACAGAGAGGGGACAATGTCCCCATCCACGGTTATTCGATGTCCGCATCATCTCCCCATCTTATACAAACCACTTATTTTCCCTTATCCTACAATTTTAATGTTGCCAGATGTTCCCACGGCTTCCGCGGCCACTGATTCCGCGAGTAAAACATACTTTAATGAAGTCGCCGCGGAAGAGGGGGGGACAATGTCCCCACGGTTATTCGATGTCCCCATCATCTCCCCATCTTATATGAACCTCGCCTTCCCCTATTAACGTCCCCAGGTGTCCCAGCTTCCGCGGCCCCTGCTCCCTTCCCACTCTTCTTATCTCGCCGGCACAGCACCCGGACAACCCGGTCATTATCATTATTCTCCAATTTAACTCCCCCCTCCTTCCCCCCACCCCACGAAATTTCATCCTTCCCTTCTTCTCCGTCGCAAAGATAACAACATTGATTTTCCGGATTAGGTTGGATTACACAGTGTCTACGCTGGAGGAGGAAATCTCGTCGAGAGGAGAAAGCGGTGGTCATAGTTTGTGGTCTCTCTCTCCTCCTGCGGTTCTCGTCGACAGGCAGGCAGGCAGGCATCCCTTGCTTCGTGTCCATCGCCCTGTCTTCTGGCTGCCGAGAAAGTGTAAGTGAATTGAATTTAAGTCAGTCCTGAGTGAACTGCCAGCTTCTCGCCTTTCTCATCGGATCCATCTGCGTGGATGTGTGGATGGTCGTGTGTATGTATGCAGAGGGACATGCGCTCGAAACCGAAAAGCAAAGGAGAGATGACAGAATAGAGGAAAACACAGGCCTACTTTCTCCAGACCACCGGGGAGAACAGAGTTAATACGTTATACGAACCAAAACCAGGGACAGGGTGCCGGTTCCCTCGAACCATGCTTTTTGAGCGTTTAACTTGCTATATTTCTTGCACTGGGAAGTAAGAAACGGGAGAAATGCGAGGTGCAAGAAACTGGGAGAAAGTGCAAGAAATATGAGCCATCCAGCCACGCGCCTTATGAACTATATCGTCGGGGAGTAGTTTGTTGCGCCTCGCCATTCTTTCTGGTCAAAATAGCTGCAAGAAACCACTTTCTTGCAACTTGCACAAGAAACATTGCATTTTTTCCTCACATGGCACGTGGGAAATATGGGAAAAAAGTGATTTAAAAATAGAAAAACTTGAAGCTGATAACAGGACAATCAAAACGTGACCAACGAATACCGTAAAATCACACTTTTTCCCAATTCCCCCCCTTTTGAATAGTACTAAAAAGTGAAAAACCCCCAATTTTCCAATTTCCCCCATATCTCGAGCACTGGTAAAACGAAACTGTTAAAAACCACCCTATTTCCTCCTGCATGTTAAACTTGGTCTCTCGCAACCCTGTGGACCACCACCAGCCTTCTCGTCATTATTTCTTGCTCTGATGGATAAGCCAACTTATTATCTCACCACATCCCACAGACAACAAAGGAGGACAACTTGTTCTCATTATTTTTGATCAAAGCACAACCCAACCGTCCTCGTCCTCGTCGTCGTCAACACACGCCTCACTCCCTCAAAAAGTGATCACTCAACTGGGGGACTCACCTATAGAAGTATGAGCACCCACGAACCGTGTTATGAGTAAAATGCTCCGAAGTATTCTTCTCACTGCCGAAATCCTCGAGCGGATCGGACCAGAGGAGGTCGCACATCGGTCCGAAGGCGGGCGGCTCCTTGAACCTGTCCAACCGCCGGATGTCGTCCAACGTATGGATTTCCGGCGACAGGCCGCCATGCACGCACAAAAACTGTTGATTCATCAGCGCTGCGAGAGGCAAACAGTCGAACGCCTCCATACACGCGTCGTACACCTTTTCCGAATACTTTATCTTGCCTGGAAACATGTGAACATATGGGGTAAATTTTCGGAAATTAAGTTTAAATCCAGAATGACTTACATTCCTGTTTGAAGGTGAAGTACTCGGTTAAATGCCTACACTCATGGTTTCCTCGGAGTAAAAATAGCGTCGTGGGGTACGTTAGCTTTAGCGACCATAAATACAATACACACTGAAAAATAAACAGAGGGTAAGGTTAGTTAATATGTAATTCTGATAAGCCCGGTAGATTGATAAGGTATTTATCTGCATACCTCTATACTAAAGTATCCTCTATCGACATAGTCGCCTAGGAATAGGTACTTGGTCGATGCGGGGTCCCTGAAAAATTGAAAAAATACAATAACATATGCATTACGTGTCAACCATACCATCATCACCACCACTCGCGATAACCTAGCGACGAGTGGATAACCGATTGCGTCAAGTACCACCACCACCACGACTAAATATATTTTTGTTTTCGCATTTCATTTTGTCATGCAACTTTTTTTTTAAACAAGTACAATTTGTGTAACTAGAAACAAACAAAATTTTCTACTAATGAAAAATTTACAATAAAAATCTGGATTTTATTACGAAAATCATAATTTCGAAAATGCTGCAAATATAAGAAATTACAAAAATTCTCTTACACAAAATTTTGCTAAATCTGTAACAATTGTGTAACTTGTAAGTTAAAATTAGAAGTCACATGAAAATATTTAATCGTCGTGGTGGTATTAGTGAGGGTGCAGTGTAAATATTCACTTATCCACTCGTCACTATGTTATCACGAGTCGTGATAAGTCCATGTTGACGAATGCATTTATGTTAAGGATAACTTACCCGCCCACATCGAAGAGCTTCATAAGGTCGTAAAACTGCCCGTGAATGTCGCCACATACTGGGAGAAAAAATCAAAAATCAGAGTGGGGTAATTAGAGGGGGATTAGAGTGAGTGGGGGGTAAAGTGGTTACCTGTGACGGGGGCCTCGATGTCGATCATCGTTCTTTCCGAGCGGAGGAGTGTGGAGCCGTCGTGGATCAGTTTGAGGGCGGCAGGTTCCTCCATTCGACCCTCCTGGATAAAGTGCTGCTTCAAACGCTCGTGATTAGGCTTCCCCGTCCGAGAGTCAAACACTTCCGCTAACGTCAACTTGTGCGAGGGGGGCAGGGGCACGCCTGCAAAATTCAGACAAAAGTACGAAAAATTTAGACGAGATGTCAAATTTCATACAAAAAATTCTACCAAATTCATCAAGAAATCGTTCCAGAATTTGAGATTTTTACCATTTTTGTGTGCAAAATTTTCCAAAAATTGGTACAACACTTGTCAATTTTGAGCATTTCTAGTATACAAAATTTGCTCCAAGATTTGCAAATTGTTCCCAATTTCTGTACAAAACTCATCGCCAGATTACTCATCCAAAATTTCAAGTTTTTACGCTTTTTGTACAAAACTTATAAAAAATTGGTCCAAAACGTGTAACTTTATCATTTTTATGTGCACAATACATAATACATTTTATTATTTGAATCTAAATCTTGTAAAATTTCTCCAAGGATTAGCATTTTCACATTTTTAAAAAAATGTATCCCAAAACTGTTAGATATTACTGCCAATAACATATTGTCAGAAATATGATAATTTAATTTTTTCTGCGTAGATCATGTTCTTCTCCCATGACAATTATAATCTCTCCACCACCACGAGTAGTAAAAGCATGACACGGCTTCAATTTCCCATCGGAAGAAGAATCCTCTTATCATAAACTTTTTACTTTCATCTGTCTCTTACACGAAAGATAAGATTAATTCCCGGGAAAGAAATACCCCCACTAAATTCGGTCAAATCCATCATAAAATTTCCCCCCGATTTATACTCGTTAACATTTTTGTGTACCAAATTTATCAAAAAATTGCTGCAAAACTTATCAATTTCGTCTCAAACAAAATATGCCAAAAAAATTCTAAAAAATGCCTAAATTTCTTGAAAACTTTAATCTCTCCTGTAATAAAAAGCATGGCATGGACGACGACTTCAATTTCCCATCGGAAGAAGAATCCTCTTATCGTAAACTTTTTACTTCCACCTGTCTCTTCCACACACGAGGATAAGATTATTATTATAATGCCCGTGAAAGAAATACCCGCACCCGGCTCAGTTCTCTTCTTTTTTTTATTTCTCTCCCATATTTCAAACTACTTTCTCTTCTCGGTTTCATCCCTAAATCCCTAAATCTAAATAGATATATTTTTCATTCTTCTTCATAAATCTATTCTCCCCTCCGTGTAGCTCAGGCTCATCAAACTATACAATCCAGGGTTTAGCTTTTCTCCACGACAGGTGGGATAAAGTGGTTTTTACCGTGGGAAATATGGGAAAAGGAAGCGATTGGTCAGAGCGACTCGATCAAGTTGCAGTAAAAAGTGGTAACATTGTGATAAGTAGAAAGACGCTTTTTCCATTTTTCACGTATTTGAATGGTAACTGTAACCACTTGCAAGAAATAACGGGGAGAAAGTGTTTTTTCAGGTATTTCGACCTGCAAGAAATGCACGGCACAAGAAACGATGCCCCGTCGTTGTGCTTTAGACGGCGCGTGGCTGGAGGGCGCATATTTCTTGCACTTTCTCCCAGTTTCTTGAACCTCCCGTTTCTTGCTTTGCAGTGCACGAAATGTAGCAAAAGCAAACCCGTACGAAGCGAAACACTTGTAAAACAATGGGAAAAACACAATTTTCACATATTTCCACCTACATATTTCATGTGCCTGGTAAAACCACACTTTTTACCACTGGTCAAATCTGGTTCTCACTAATCGAAACCTTGTGCACTAGGGACTCCATATAGGAGCGTTCCTTTCTTCATTTTCCGCTCGAGAGGCAGGTGGTGGTAGGAGAAAGAAGGGAGAAAGAAAAAGTTTTCCAGCCCCACGTTTACTTTCACTTTGGGAATGGGATTAACTAAGCTGGAGAAAGTCCCTGGCTCAGTGTTGCTCGACTCAACAGGTAAAAATCCATACTTCACTTTCTCCCTGCCCTTTCTCCTAACCCACCAACGGACCAAAAACTCTAGTTTTTTCTACCCGAAATATTATTACCATGCAGGCCAAAAAATCTATGAACGTGTTGCTTACACTTTTTTCAGGCCAGCTCAATTTGTAAGTGTTCAAGGAAAAAAAAGTGATAAAGCGCGAGTGACGGGACGGTTTATTAAAGCTGTCTCAACACTACACGCGTCCATTTCAGTTATCATCAACACTTTCACTCACTGTGATGATAAGCGAGATGAGAATGATAAGAGAAAGTAGCAGCAGTAAATATGTAACCGTCATTTGTAATCTCATTATCTACAATTTTAAACATTATATTTTCTAATTTTACTTGAAACGACACTTTTGTGCTAAAATTGTGATTTTCTCGGTACAAATTTTTTTTGAAAATGTATCATAATCTAACAAAAATCTTTACATTTTAAAAAACTGTATCAAAATCTCGATATGACAAACATAAATTTATTTTAAATCAAATTTTCATCAAATAGAAAAAACTCAGCAGATTATCTCAAATACTCTTAAATTATCTCGAATTAATTAATTATTTAACGATTTTTTCAATTTTACCCAAACGACATTTACATTTAACAATTTTGTTTGTACACTTTTTCTCTCTAAAAAACGATGAAATTTCCAAAAATCAATCAATATTATCAAAAATTTTAAAAAATATCTCGAGGCGAAATTTGTAATTGTAATTTGTACCAGATTTCGGGAAATGAATACAAATTTTGGAGATGACCTAAAATTTATCAACTACAATTTACTAATTTTTGAATTTTATTCAAAACGACGTTAACATTCGACAATTCTTGAACCAAAATTATACAGCATTTCTCTCTGAAAAAACGATGAAATTTCCAAAATCTAATTAATCAAATATCAAAAATTTAAAAAAATCTCGAGATAAAATATGTAACTTTAATTTGTATCAAATTTCGGAAAATGAAGAAAAAGTTCGGGGATACCTAAAATTTATCAACTAAAATTTACCATTTCCTAATTTTATTCAAAACGACGTTAACATTGGACATTTTATTCAAAACGACGTTAACATTGGACATTTTATTCAAAACGACGTTAACATTGGACATTTTTGTACCAAAATTATATTATATCATTTCTCTGCAAAAAACTTTATGAACTTATGAAAATCTCCCATAAAAACGGCATCAAAAATCCTCCTCCTTCTCCACCGGAAACCAAAGCAAGCACACACCTGCATATCTTTTGTACACCTTGTTCCTATCTCTCTTAACGAATGGGGTCCTACTACTGGACGCCCCACTTCCGGGGGTGGGAGGACGGACACGCTCCCACCGCCTCCGGTGCTCCTCTTCCTCGTCAGTATCCATCGGAGCCAGGTTGTCATCGTCATCATCCGGCCACGTGGTCCGGCTGTACTCGCCACTCCCTTCAAATCCGTCACCACTCACGGTTTCCCCTTCCGACGACCCCAAGTCCAACTCCACATTGTCCTCTTCCCTTTCTTCCACGGGGGCTGCAGGCACAGGCTCATCCACAACCCCACCAACCTCCTCCTCCCTCCTCTCACTTCCGTCTTCCTCCATCCCGAGTTTTTTCAATTTCGATTAATTCTCTCCAAAATTCATTCGGTTCAAAATTTGCACAAATACGAATACTAATTTCAAATCCGACTTTTTTCTTGTCTCAAATCTCAAAAAATCCGAATCTTGAGAAACTCAAGTCCACTCAAGCAAAATTATTTGCACCAAAAATGTGCATAATCTTCCCTTAATCGACAAGTCCTAAATCACATAATCAATTCCTGTCAAAAATTTGCACAATTTCTAGTTTCCCCTGTCCACTCCACCAAAAATGATCCCGAGTAAAAGTTACACAATTTTCCTTCCTTAAATCCTCCAAAAGCCCACTCTCTCACACCCCATACAATTCACTCCACTCAAAATTCGTGTCTCAAAATTTCCACAATTTCCAAAAGTCCAGTCCAGTCTCCACCACCAGAGAAAAAAAATCAATTTTCTCTCATTTCACCTCACCCGTCACTTTCACATACCTAAACTTTCACTTTTATCCCTCTCCTATAAATCACTGAACCCACTCTTTCCCCCTTTCTCAAAAATCCACTCAAAACTCGTCCTTCCTCCTCCTCCACTACAAAATTCCAATCCAACACTGGAAACAAAACGCAACAAATTGTCCTTCTTCTTCACCACCACCGACCAAACCAAACCACTAAATATACACTTCACCAACTTTAACTAACTAACTAACCGCCCAACTTTTTGCAATTGCCCAATAATTCACGGCCAGCCAGCCAAACAACCAAACCAAGTAACGCAATACTCGATCAATAACAAATAACTAAATTTATTCGCGTCTCACTCGTAAAAAACCAAACCAAGCATCACCACCACCACCACTTCACATATTACAAGTTCCAATTCCCAACTGGAAGTGAGACTCGTATGCATATCGGGATTCAGTTTGGTTTACAATTTTTTCCATCCATCCATCCATAATCACATTCGCATTCGTCGTTCTGTTGAGTCGAAGTCAAACTTTTTTAATAAGAAGACCATGCACACGATACGATACGATACGATACAAAAGTCGCCACGCCAGGCTCACAAAAGTCACCAAAACGAAAGAGACCTGCGTTGCGTCTCTCAATCTCTGAATCTCGTCACTCTCGTCGAGGAATTACATGTAGTAGAAAATATGTAGATATCTCCACTCAATTATTGTCTCCTCGCCTTATCAATCAATCACTCACTCACGGAGGGATGATATCTTACTCAATTTATGTATGTGCTGATCACTGATCGCTTATCTCTTATCCGGACCCTTTGTTCCCTCCAACTGCACCTCGGACGGAATAAATCGCCCCCATTTATCCAGCCAGCCTGGAACTTGGACTCATCACATTTTGCCAATTGAATTCCAGCCCATGCTTTAGTTTAGTGGTGGTGATCATAAATACATACGTACGTACATACAATTCATTCCGCAAGGTCAACCCTTTTAGAGGAGAGGTTTATGTAGTTTGGTAGCACATCAAGTAGTTTCGTCGTTCGATTCGATTGCTGCGAAAACAAGGCTTACTTATGTAGTTTTACGTACTTTTGTGTTAAGTGTGTTAGTGGTTGATGAGTGAGTGGCAATGGTTTGGTAAATAAGCAGATATTTAGTGTTGGTTGGGAGTGGTGGTGGTCTGGTCGAGGTGGAAATGCGACAAGTGGTTCTTGGTTCGTGATGTCGTCCAAGTTTCGCTTAATGTAGTCACTTCCAAGTGTTTGTATTATCATCTCGGTCGGTCGGTAGGATTTATTAGAGGGCTGCTAAATGGTTAAGAATTCGAGGCAAGTGAGGAGTAGCAGTTCTACTACTTAATTCAAGTGATAAGACAACGAGGACTAAATTCTGTGGAAGAGAGAAAACCTGTCTTGTCAACAGTTAAACAAACATTGGGAATAAAGAATCGGGGGTAAAGTGTCTACTTAAAAATTCATGTGAAAAACAATACCCACAAAAATTTTGAATTATATTTTTCCTTCAAAAAACTCCCCACAATTTCGGGACCAAATTTTCCCCCACTTTTCCATCACACACGTGCTCATCTCACCACGTTGTTACCTTGTACATATGTCAATACCCACGAAAATTTCGAATTCTATTTTTCCTTTAAAAATTCCCCATCAAAATTTCCAAAAAACTTATTTCATACATTCATTTCTTCATACATAATAGATTTTTTCCCACATTTCCATCAAGCACGTGCTCATCTGTTACCTTTTCATGTTTTCACAAATTTCCCCTCAAAATTTCAAAATCCTACCAAAAAAACAAACTCTTACATACCTATTCCATCCATCCATTTAATTCTCTTTAATAAAGCAATTTCTCCCTTGAAAAAACTTTGCCCACTTTTTCATCACGCGGATCTAACAAGTTTTATTTTTCCGTTCTAAAGTAGCCGATCCGTGAGTGAGTGAGTGAGTGAGTGAGGTAAGTGAAGTAATGACTACTCAAAATTCATGGCGTGTCTTTTGCCAAGTAACATGTTTTCTTACACGGTCCTCCGCGTCCGCCTAACAAGGAGACGGAGGAAGGGAGAGAGAAAGGTGCGGAGGAGAAAGTGTCACGTCCACGTCTTTCCAAATCCAATCCAATGCCACCCGGGACGCCAGACTGCTACTTACTTACCCACCGACGACCAAACTCACTCACTCCTTGCTTACTTACATATACGAACATATACTCAAACTAAAGCTACTCCCACTTTATTCTAATCTCTCTCTCACTTTCTTCCTTTCTCAAACGAGAGGCAAGCCAAGCCAGGGGAGAAAATGAAGAGGAAATTTTAAGCCTGCCTGCTTTCTCCGGTCGACGTACGTACAGCCTCCTTCCTCTTTTTTACTCAGGTGGTAGGGTGCAAAAATGGGAGAAATTCGTAAGCTATTTTGGGCAACAGATTCCAGGAGAAAAGGGGAGAAATTCAGGCACTTTTGTGACCAAATTCCAACGAAACCGGGAGAAATGAGCTTGTTTTTGGAACGAATTGTGCCCAAAATGAGAGAACTTCAACACTTTTTTAAAACAAATTGTGCAAAAAATGAGAGAAATTCATCTTGAAAACAATTTTTGTAAAAAATTGTAAAAATTCTCTACTTGGAATGAATTTTAGCAAAAACTGGGAAAAAATTCCTTCCTCGATTATTTTATAACCACGTATTTCGTATTCTTAAATCGGGACAAAATTTCATCCGTAATGCTATAAAAATCCATTCTTTTGCGTTTAAAGTGACACACAATTTTAACTCGGTTACTCGGTTTTTGGTCAAAATTTAGCCAAAATGACATCATTCTCCTCCCAACCCTGTCTTTCATTTGTGGCAATAAACGAACTTCCATAAAACGAGACAGCTTAATTTTCCACGGGCGAGAACAACATAACATTTTACATGGCACACAATTTACGAGGAACTGGAACTTGGCTAAACTTTTGGGTTGTAGAATGCCGTGAGGGATGTCACTTTATGTTCCTCACTACTACTACGAAATTACGCAAGAAAATCTCTCCTCCAATCACAATTTGCATAAAATCCTTACCTCTCACTTCAAAAAATTGACTCAAATCCATCAATTTTCACTTAAGTAATATTTCTCGAGTCAAAAAGTGTGCAAAAGATTCAACAAAATAATTTTTGTCACGATATGAAGCCAGCATTTTAAAAAATAAGTGTTTAAAAATTGTTATGCAAAGTTAGATGGATGCTTAATCTTGTTTTTCCAAAAGTTTAAAGCTTTAAAATTTCATTTTTTTAAACCCTTAATTTTTTATCAAGTACAAAAATTCAATCGTACCAAAATTTCCGTATTTTCTACATAAAAATGCCACCAAATTCATCATTTAACACTAAACTAATAACCTTTGTCTCAAAGTTTACATAAAAAAAATAATTGTCACGGTATAACGCCAATATTTTGAAAATTTAATGGTTAAACACGGTTATGCAAAGTTAGATGCATAAAATCTAACTGATTTATTTTTTAAAAATTTTACAGTGGAATTTTCCTACTAGTCTTTTACCAATTACAGAAATTCAAATCCTCGTCCACCATTTCTTTACCCATCCTCCGAAGAAAACCTTTCATAAAATCCCCCCAATCACTCCCCCTCCCCCCAAAAAACAACACCAAACTTTTCTCCTTCTTCTTTTTCTACCTACACAGAAAAAAAGTTGTAACAGCTAATTAGCAAAAAAATACGGGAAACGAACCCTCCCAACAAAAAAAACTTGCTCAACAACAAAATCATCACCATCATTAAAAATTGTATTTCCAAACTAGCCGAAAACAAGTGAAACTTTCCAACTACCAATTTCGCAATAAAAAACTTTAAACTTTCCTCCGTTTCAAGAACCTGTCATAAATATTTAATATTTTACTTTCCCAGAAAAATGTACGCCTTCTTCACTCCACTGAACTTTCTCCCTTTCTCCCAGAATCCAGATCATGCGTATACCCGATTTCAGATATCTACTTCATTCTTCTTATCTCTAAATTAGCCGATAAGACGGCAAACAATTAATAAATATCTAAGCAAGTACTAATTTCGCAATCAACACGTTTCGCAATAAAAAACACTTTAAACTTTCCCCGATTTCTAAAAACTTTTCATATTTTATACTTATTTTCTCTAAATTACGCCTCCATCTCTCCATCGCACATTCTCTCCAAACTAGCCAATAAGAAGGCGAACAATTAAAAAATATTAAAGTCCGAAATTTCGCAGTAAATAAACACATTTCGCAACAAAAACTTTAAACTTTCCAAGATTTCTAAAAACTTTTCATATTTTATACGTACTTTCCCCAAATTACGCCTCCATCGCACATTCTCTCTAAACCAAAGGCAAGCAATTAAAAAATCTTAAAGTTCCAAATTTCGTAATAAAAAACTTTAAACTTTCCATATGTTACATCCTCATTTCCCCAAAATTACGCCTTCCATCTCTCTCCTCATCCAACTTTCTCTCTTCCCCGAATCGAGATCGACTTTCACTCACTCAGCCGATATCCATTTCATTCTCTCCTCCTCGTCATCTCATTATCTCCCCAATAATTCACACCACCATTTCCCTCAAGGACCCACCAACCATCATTTGATTGACACACATAATACGTACGTCCCTTCCTTCCTTCTCGAGTGACACTTTAACAAGGATGACATGACGCGACGTACGACGTACCAAATTAAGAGAATTTCTCACATTTCAAAAGCCGAGTCAAGCCACCAAATCAATTCTGCTTCCTGACTGACACCAAAAAAGAGCAGATTTCCATCATTTCATTTCATGCCATGCCATGCCCCGCAAATTGGCGATTATTTATTTCCCATCCTGCACAGATTACGCAGTGCAAATAATGGATTATTTCCACCAGTGGCCGCGGAACCCGTGGGGACATCTGGGGACATTAACATTGTCGGATATGGGGAGTAAGGGATTAACCTGGCCAGATGATTATCGAATAATGTTAGGGACATTGTCCCTCTGTCCACACCCTTCCGCGGCCCCTGATTTCCAGCCTCGTCGTCACGTAATGCGTAGAGAGGAGTAGAAGTGGACAGTAATAACAAGTATTTAGGGGATTAGGAGGGTCGGCTCGGAGCTCTTTTAATCTGAATTGACACATATTGTCCACATCCGAGGAGTCCAGCCTGATAAATCGGCTTAATTCCAACATAAGCTCATCCGTCCGATCTGTGAGTAATTGTCCTCGGCAGAGAAAACAAGAATATACCCATTGTCTCCTCCTCGTCACCTTTATTCTGACGAGGCGACTTTCTCTTTCCTCATTTTCACTCCGCTACACACTCCGTGCCAATTCGGCACTCTAAATAATATGAGAACTAAATTCGGAACGATTTACGGTCAATGATTGTTAGAAAAAATTATTCAAATTTTGTACCAAATTTCTCACAATAAAGGAATTTCTTCCACAATTATTGTTACTCTGTGACCACAGATCGTTACCAATTCAGTAACAAAATTAGTGCCCAGTTTCGGGAAAGATTTATTATTCATTCATAATTGCTCAAATAAAATTCTGGAGTAAATTCTCATTCATAAATTTGAATTTCTTTAACCACAAATCGTTACCAAATCCGTCAAAAGAACATTTGCTTCCTATAATTGTTCCACAAATTTTCCAAATTCAAATTTTCTACAACTTTCACTCTTCATTTTTTACACAAAATTCGAATTTTGTACAACAAATTAGGGTTACCCTTCTACCAAGAATTGGGTAACCCTGTACCCTACTTTGTTCCCACGTTATTTACCGTGTGCAGTACATACGTCGTATCCATACACACATTTTTCTTCCACTTGGACATGCAGCTTGTTAGTTAGCCTGGGTGAAAGCAGTGGGGAGAAAGTAAGCCACACACACCACTCCTCAACCGGACACCAGTTCGCGACTCGTTCAACCTCCCGGCCAATTATTTTCCCTCTTTTTCTCTCTCTTTTCCTGATAACAAAACTAATTGATTAGCACATTTGTTCAGATAAAATGATAATTGGATTCGTTAAATCTACTCGGCTTGTCTGACACGCAGCAGTGGGATAAAATTCTACAAACACCAGGGGAGAAAAACATGCACACATTCTACAGATTTTTTTCCAAAATCTAAATTTTCTCCTGAATACGTACAAATTTTCATAAATTGACAAAATCCGTAATAATTGGCTTCGTTAAACACTAACGAAAACGAAACGAAAAATAATTCCGCAAATATTTTCGCCATAATAAAAACGTGTGAATTCACACCAATTTTTTTATACGAGTATCAACAAAAACTGGAAAAGATGTGCAAATTTAAGGAATTTTCAAATTTTCCCCTTGCATCTATTTCCAGACCTTAATAAAATGGGGTTCGCTACCTGTGCAAAATAATTGTGCGAATATTTTCATTCTAAAAAAATGTGTTGAATTTTTAGAAAGTCTAATCGGAAATAATGATTTTCATAAAAACAATCAAGTACAAACTTTCCCTTTTATTTTCGTATGTTTTCGCATGTTTTGCATGAAATCAATTATGATTTCGTTAAACAATTTACAAATCATAATTGTGTTAAATTTCACAAATTGTTTCCCATTATTTTCTTAAATTACAAGCCAATGTCGCATCTTCTGCATCGTGCCGCATCCATAAATATTCAATTCCATTCGCATTTCTTTCCCTACTCAGACCCGATCTGATTTCCATTTTCGCATATCCCAAACTAATCAGTTAAGCAGCTCTGGCGAGATACATAGGAATGGCACAGGCCCAACTATAAATAGAGGTGGTTGGTGGGTGGGTGTGTCTCCGAAAAATAGTTGACTCCCGGGTATATAGGAATCCGGGTATTTCCTCACTACAAATACACCACTTTTATTTTCCCATTTTCATTTCCGCCTATCGCTTCATCATTTATTAAGCGAGGGGTTAATTCAGGATATCGCTCGTTCTTGATTTCACCACCAAAAACCCATCATTGATCTACCTGACCCATTTATATTTAGATTTATCCCACTATTTATTCACTATAAACACCCGCACCGCACCCAACCCTGCATTGCTACCCGGGTATATTTTTGGCCTTAATCAAGGTGAACTTTTCATATCAAATTCAAGGACAAAATACTAATTTATTTACGATCCGAGTTTAAATTTCGATACGATAAAGGGCAACATTTTAAGGATAAAGTCAACGAATCTTAAAATTTGAAATTATTATTTTTTGCAAACTTCTTTAAAGAGCAAATTTTCTATTTTTTATTGCAATTTCAAACTTTTGCACTTATTTTATACTGGTGCTGGTCCTGGTCAATCTTTGTACAATTTCAGTAATAATTTTATCCACACAATTAACTAGAGACGTTTTACTTGCACATGGAATTATTCTCATTTATGCCAAAGTTAAACTCGACCAAAATATTGATACATTTTTCATCACAAAATAAAACCCACAATTTTGATAAGCATCTTTCCAAATAGTAAAAAGTGAAAATAGTGAAATGTATTCTTAAATAAGTCGATTTTAAAAAGTTTGAAATTTTTTTTATACAAAATTCTTATAATTTTTGAAAATACATCATTTTTATTGCTACTATACACTGGGCGGATCTGTGTATAATTTGTTCAAATATAAATTTAACCCATACAAATTAAATTGACTTTTTACTTGTACAATTTTTCTTAAAATTCTTAAACGTCAAGGTTTTTCCACCTTTACACATTTTTTAGCCAGAAACTTAAAACCCTTTACATAAAATTCTTCTCTCTCTATCTCTCCCAATTTTTCGCATTCTTGCATTTTGAATTGTTCTGTAAACAGTTCCATTCCGTCGAAATCCACTTGGCGAGCAATTAGACCGTGCTAATTTTTAACCCCGTGCCCACAAAACCAAAACCATTCTCTCATGGCTTCATAATCCATGCAAAAAAATCATGCCTCTCCTGCATAAAGGATGTCGCCCGTATTTTTCATCTCTCCTCCCTCATCCACTACGCATCACAGCAAAAATCTGGACACAAAATTGTCACCGAGTCGGTAACGGTTTTTACAAGTACATAATTCGTGAAAATTATTCTCAACATAACAATCAGCAAAACTTAAGGTGGGTTGATGTTACATTCATTGATAACTTGCGCCATAATTAAACTATAACATTGGCGCAAGTTACCAACCAGTGAAGCACATATAAACACCCGCCCTGCACTGGAACTAATTGCTTTTTACCGCAGGTCAACCGTACTCCAGCTGCGTTTATGCCTCACTCCTTGGTAATTTACGCCATAATTGAACTATAGCATTGGCGCAAGTTACCAAAGCAGTAAAGTATAAACCCACTTTGTCATCAACAACTTATAATACATTAGTAATGGGTGCAACCTCTTTATAAGATCGTTATGTCCGTCTGTTGGTCCGATGACACCTGATTTATGAGGACAATGGGTTCGAAGATGAGCATATCTTACCACACCCTCTGGGGTTTCACTCCTTAGTTACATGCGCTTGTAACGGTTTATCATATTTTGTTATCACATTTATTACTGTTTCTCCATCCTTTTCGCACAACCCTTTCCAAAACATACGAATCTGCATACTAGATTGCTTTTCAATTCAATCCTTTCCTGTTTATTTCTCTCTCTCAATCCGCTCTTCCTCTCTTGAACGGGTGCCAAGCTGTTTTATTTTATTTCTTATTTATTTCCTCCTCCTCCTCAAACTAGGAGCACAAGTAGAGTTGCCAACTCGGCTTGGCTTGAATCGGCTTATTGAGTTGAGTTGAGTCAAGCTGAGTTGAGTTGACCGCAAGTAAGCCGCTGACTCAATAAGCCGGCTTATTGAGTTGTGAGTTGGAATGAGTTGGACTTGGCTTGACTCGGCTTGACTCAATAAGCCGCTGGCTCTGCCTCCTCGTGCTTACACACGTATGTACATACGTATATACATACATATTTACTTCCCTGGACTTGTATTGACATGTTATTTTTGTTTCAATTATTAACTAAATTATTATTCCATTTTGTTTTTTCACAAACTTAAATTGAAACTAATATTTATAATCTGATATAAACTCAGCTGTTTTCATCATAAATTCAT